GGCAGTCTGCTAGGTTATAGTAGGCCAGGCAAACTCCTGCGATAGTAAGCCTTATTAATTGCTGGTTATTAGTAATAATCAACTATTAATCAATGTTGGTTTTCACTGGCTAATTAATGGGATCCCGTATCTCGTGATATCACGAAGGTTGGGAAAAGGTGGTCAAATTTGTGGTTGTTGATAGTTGACTAGTTAACAAGGTAAAGTAGGAGCACAAGTGTGGCAGCACCCTTGCGTATGGGCAAGGGTGGGGGATTCTGCCGGTAGGCGGTGTGTCACGTGACCCACCGCCTCCGGCTGCATCACCTATATGCCAACAGGAAGGGTTCAGACTCCTGTGACAAATCACAAGCGAGATTTCTTATCCAACTCAAGGTTCTAAGCTGCTTTAGGAATGTTTGTATGATCTTCCGTCTACACATAGTTAACTACAATACCGATCAAGTTAGTGGGACCGGAATAGGCTGCCCAAGCGCCGATGCATGGCTGCGGCAAAAAAACTGAAATGTCCTGATTCGCCTTTCCCTCTACCTGAAGTCGTGAAACCGCGTGGATCTCCTATGACCAACGTGGCCGGTCTCAAGCCTCTGTATTGGTCACAGCAGATACAGAACCGCTGTCAGCACATGTGACGAAGTTGCTCAAGGAGAGTGTCGACTCAGTTTGTGCGATAAAATTCATACATGATGCTTTGAGGAACCGTTCTGTAGCTCATCGTAAAACTACACCATCGCCTGAGCCCAACTCCACAAATTCATACTCCGGAATCTTTGACTTCATTCGGCTTTCCTCGGCATCGACTGCTTCCTTCAGAGTGTACCGTGTGCGTTGAAGCATGGGGGCTATAAACCCTGTACCCTTCTTCTGCTCATCGTGTGTCGCGATCCAATAACGTGCGCCAGTTTCACAGACGGCCTTGATCCCATTCATGGCTCCGAGATTCAGTTGCTTCGTCATCCAGATGCGAACGTCATGGAGGCCATGGAGCAGTGCCAGCGTCGAAAGCCCGCAGTCCCGAACACACGACAAATCGGATGCCTGGACGCCGTGTGGGGAATAGAGTATTGTCTCGGCTTTCCCAAGATCGAAGGCGATCATGATTGCCGAGTGGAAATACATTGCGTTCCCATTCGTCGCTATGCGCCCTATCCCGATCCAAGAAGGCAGCCCTGCGATGCTCAGATCCGTCTTCCAGCTCTCGGTTATGGATGAAAAGCAGGGAGTGGTGATGACAGAGCTGAAGTGCTTCCACGACCGGACCAGCCGGGCAGCTTTGTCGGGGGCAATGACTGGCGTCGATGAAGGGAGTTCTCTTAGAGTTGCTTGGTGGCAGTGATCGGTGAACTCGTGCGATATGGCGACAGCATCGATGTACGAGTTGTTCGTCACCTTTGGCCCTCCTCCCCCTTGCTCCAGGCCAGCCAGAATTGAGTTGAGTTGATCCAGTGTCTGAACGCTGGACTCAACGACGTGCCATTGTGTGGAAAACCAGGTTGCAACGTCGGTTTGCGGGCCCTTGAGCCACGGGTCGAGAAGGATGTTGAATCGCCTTCGGCCAGATGGCGGAGTGCATGAGGGCGGGTATGGCAGTTGAATGAGCCATGTGGTGTCTGCGTTGAGGTGGATAAGAACGGGACGCTCCGTCTCGAGCGCTTCGAGCCAGGCAGCCCGGTCGCTGACCTTGATTTTTGGAAGGGTATTGGACGGTTCGTCGTTGATAGCCATGCTGAAGGCTCGTCTTGCGAAGTTGCCCGGTGTTGTGCAATTTTCGACTAAACGTTATGTGGCTGAGGGCTACCTTAGGTTTAGAGTTCAACGTGGGTGACGTAGTCTGCACGACCACGGGACCCTTCCGTTACATCCTGGTCATCACTACCGTCACTGTGATCTGTGGCTATCGCCGAAGTCGATATTACATCTACAAACAGTTGTGCCCTCCAGGCGAATATTAATATTATGCTGTTTCGGTTCGCGCAGTAAGGGTGCAAGTGGTTTAGACCACAACCATAGTTTCCGTTAATGACTTTCTCGACATGATATTTGAGGTGTGAGAAACGTAGTGCGAAGGGCGGTGGCAGAGCCTAACGAAAATTGTCCTTTTTAGGCGGTGCATTTGCGGAGCAATATGCCGTGGTTACACCTACGAGATCGAATGAAGCAAGTGAAACCCAATAAATAATGACTAGGAGGAAGGTCGGCGGGAAAAGGATCATCACTGGGCTGGCTGGAGTATGGCAAATGGAGTATTCAAGCACACCTTAGCAGCACTGTCAGCGGCGGCAGCCCTACACGAAATCGGGCTTCCTCAGCGGCAATGGCCCTACACTTGACCCTAATATGAACCTTGATGAGACAAAAGCATGTTGACGTTCAGGCCAATTGAGTTTCACGATGATGATGTTCGCGCAGAGAGGGGCTTCAACGATTTCAATTAAGGGATCTATGCGGCGCCTGTCATTGGTAGCACCAGTATATTTGAAGATAAATAAATGTTCTATTCCGTTCAATCTCACGGCGAGCTCAGTGTCTTAGACTACGAGCACGCAACCGTGTTACCCACCAACTCCAGAAAAGCAAACAAAATCATGAGACCACGTGCTCCGGCGTCTGGAAATGATACTGGGCTAATGAGGGCCAGTCCGTTTGGGGGCGCATCGGCCTCGCCAAATATCGCAGTCAAGACCCGAATGGCGCGCGGGGATCTCCTATGCGGACCTGCTACGAGCCGTCACCCAGCATCATCCAAGCTTTGGCGCCCTGGTGGCTCGCTGAAGATGGTTCGCTGATTCCTCCTCTGGTCATCGTACAAAGTGGTTTACATGCAGATCCATCTGCGTAGGAAATAGAATCGGACTCGGACTCGGACTCGGAGTCAGTCGTCATGTCGGGGGTGTCGTCGCTAAAATACTGAGGGGAATGCAACATTTCGGAGACAAAGTGTAGGGGTGCCAATCGAGCGCTGTAGGTACTGGTGGTTGATTCGGTACCCGAAGATGACTCTTCGAGGTCGGGCGAACAGAGAAACTGAGCGAAAGATTCGCCGTGTCCAAGTTCTGCAAGCGAAAGGTCCAATGCAAGTTGCAAGTCGTCGTCGTGCGAGACTTCCAGGGGGGCTTTGGTCTTGCGTGCCCTCTTGGCCGGGCGCATAGTATATTCCGGCCCATCACAGTCGATGGACTCAAAGCCGAAGCCGGAACCACGCAGGTGCTCATCGTCGTAGAGGAGGCCAACGCGATACAGTTCGGAGATGTCGCGTGCATCTTGCGGGCAAGTGGGAGACTTGGTGGTGCGAGCATCCCTAAAAGCCTCCTCCCTCTCCAGGGACGGCGTGCGACGACGCTGCCCACCGGGGAGTTTCTGGCTACTCATGGCCAAAGCGCGGCCCTCGGCCGCCTCGCCGATGCACCATTGCCGGTTGGGCCGACTAATCGGGCGACGACGGGTTCGCCGTTGCAGCCTTGTTGCTTTCTGATGGTTGGCAAGGAGGACGAGACTGAGCAGAGGGAGCTTGTGTTCGGCGAGCTCCCTGTTGAGGACGATGGAGCCGTCGGCGTGATAGTAGGCGCCGTTGTAGTGGGCGCGGGGGCGCGGCCTGCTGACCTGCGAGGGGCCGGGGGACAGGTGCCGCTGGGTGAGGTCTAATGCATCATGACTGTCGTGCAGTGCTAAACCCATGCTGTGCGGTCGGGTGGCTTTTGTATCCGGGAGGTGCGGGTTAGTTTCTCGGAGTGTAAGTGCGGAAGAGGGCGAGGTGTCCAGAGAAGCGCGTGGACAGGACGAGAGTCTCGGGCGTAGCGCAAATGTAGACGCAAAGGCGCGCGCGTTCACTTTGAAGGTGACTGGTCTGCGTGTCTGGTGAGACGGATAGAATGTCAACGAAGGGGAAGGATATATATCGTAATCCGTTGCCTGGTTTTTGCTGACGTTGCTGATGATGTTGGCTTATATGAAGCGGGCTTAGTGCAGGCTGTGACACGTAGGCGCCCGCGACACCCCGGTCTAGTCGTCCGAACCGTTCCCGAAGCCTTGGAGTCAATATTGTCGTTATGGTGGGTTGCAGCGGCCGATTATTGGGGGCCAGGCTTGTGCATGGAGAATGAGTCATTCTTGGCCATGATGGAGGCGCAGCGCGTGCTGTGTTACCTGCCAGGCTGACAGGGTAAGTGGTCTGCTGCCGTCTAATCAGCGATGTTTGCCTGGTTCTGTATTCGGCTATATTGTCGAGAGGCACCCAGCAGACGCCTGACCCAACGTCATGGGGTATTGAGTTTGAGGGAAGCTCGTGCTCGTAACATGGGCGAACCAGTAGTATCAACCGTGTTCTGGAGTGAATGATAATAACAAGACCTCACGCATGTACATCGCAACTGCTGGTCTCAAGGTCTTGTGTGCTGGATTGAGTGAAGCCCGACATTGCAACCCAAGGACACCCGCATTGGATGATTCATAATGGACAGGCCAATGAACCTCCCAGTTAGTATCTCTACTGCAAATAAATGGCTTGTTCCATTCCATGCACACTTTCGTCGGCTGTACCGTGCTAATGCGACTCGCTGACTCACAGCATAGCGAGCCCCTGGCGATCAATTGGGTTTCCTGCAGCCTTCGACACTGACCCTTGGCGCAAAGCTGCTCTGCAATGACTCCCACGTCCCTACTTTGTATCCATATTGGGCAGGTTTTGGACACCAGGAACAGCCTGACCACCGATTGAAAAGATTGATTGGACAATTGATGTCGAAGCTCGTCATGAAAGTTTGACTGGCGGCTGATCAGAATGGAAAGGGACAACGCATGCGCCGATAGCCGGTAGCTAAGCCTGTTCTTAGCCTAAAGATGCGGCGCGCGACCATGTTCACATCAACTCACAGGGGCATTGTAACGTCGACAAATCCGAATGTAATTCGAATCTCACAAAACACGCAACGAACAACGAGGAATTAACATCAGACCATTAACGCAGTGTGGCCGGTTAAGTTTATCCAGGAGTTACTGCTACATCATAATGCCTGCCCAACCTTCCACTCATCATAGTCGCTGGGACGTCTCGGGCTCGACGATGAAGGCATCGTTGTCGAGTTGGAGCGACACGACCGAGTTTCCAAGAGTGACATCTTGACAGGCTTGTCAGGAAACACAGCTGAGTTTGGACTCGCACGACTGCCGGATGGACCAATGTTCGTTGCCACCGTGGTCTTTAGCTGCGTCACCTTGGATGGGATCAACCTCAGCAACTGCCAGGTACTAGGCATGCATGCTACAGCGACACCCACTCCCATCTCGACGTATGTCCATAGAGCGACGGGTACAGAGTCGGCTACAGACGAAATTAGAACAACCCTTACAAACGGTATCGCAATGTGCGTTTCGTGTGCTTACCGGTAAGGTCTAGAGATAATCCAAAGTTGGCCAGAGATTTGATTCGCAAGATGCTTGCAATGGTAAGGCTGATGAAACAAAGATTAGCTTGACGATTGTGCGTTGCCTATATGTCCCAAAAGTACTCACAAGATACCGGCTTGAAACATAGCCATGACGCCAATCTTTTTCCGCTTATTCATTTGCAGCTTATAGATCTGAGTGACAGGTAAGACAAGCATTATTATGTCGAGCGCAATATTGAGAGCGACGTGAGCGAGACCGGTCACGGTCGCATCGAGACACGACCCTTGATGCTCGCCATCCCAGCCTGTCCAGAAATACGAAAAGGGACGGCATTGGCCAAAGCCGACAGCGACAAATGCCAAACAGATGAGCAGGTTAAGAACTTGTACAATCCAGAGACATTGGCGGAAGCGTCTATCGGGGAATATCTTCAGGAAGAAGAACAAAATTGATGCCTTGATCAGGGCAATCTGAACAAGGTAGAGGAGCTGGAGGAAATATAAGAGCTGTGGAATAGTCAGTCAAGTCGGCACCCAAGAGGTTTGTATAGAATACCTTGAGAAAAGAGGTAATCTCATAATCATGTAGCGTCCAAACTTCTTTTCCAAACCCTACCTCAGTGACTATGTTTCGACGCATTAGCAACCAGCACCTCATCGACCAACCCCGACCTCACTTACGGTAAAAGGATTCAGCATACACAGCAAGAACCAGAACCTTTTGCTCTCATGTCAGTAGATGGCCGGAGGACTCTAGATCGTTAATATATCTTCTTACGAATGCCACGATCGCGCATGTATCATCGGCCCCCCAGGCTGATAGCTTCGCGGCCTTGGTCGTAAGTCTCATCGCCATGAATACGCTTGCAATAGCGATGGCGACACTGCCGACCCAGCGGACCTTTACCGTTTCGTCGCGGGAAGATTTGCCGCACTGCGAATAGCTTGCGTTCGTGGTAGCTGTCCCCCTGTCAGCAGCCAATTTCCCGAGTACGAAGCATTCCTTCCACCCACCCAAAGTCTCTATGACGCTACATTGCGATCGTATGCAAGGCTCGACGGCAGCACTGAACTTCGTGTCTGTACAAAGACAAGCCTGGTCTATCGCCGAGCAGTTTGCCTCTGGAAGCGACTGAAGCATGCATTTGATCTGTAGGAAGCATACAGTTAGCTAGTCATATCCCATCGGCAAGCCTTCTCAGTAAGGTGTCATACAGCGCAGCTTGGGATGCCCTCTAAGCTCAGCGGAGTCGCTGCTGAAACAAGCCCGAAGTAGCTGCATATGAGGAGACCAAGCACGCGAGGTGCCAACATCTTGCTTCCTGGGAATGAAGGTTGTTGTCGAAGCTTGACGTGACACTTGCGCAAATGTTGCGCCTTGGTGTTTCAACGAACCGGGGACAGGGCAACGCTTGTCAAGTAGTGTAAAGACCAAGCAGCAGAAGGGGTGAGGACACAGTAATTAAAGGGACTTCGGTGATTATTAGAGACGGAAGCAGACAATACATGACAGGCGGAGGCCAGCCTAGCTAGTCTTACAGTGTCTCAGCTAACAATGCAGCCACCGACCGGCTTTCATCTCAATGCATTGGAATAGGCAGGCAAATGCGCTTCCGGCACCTCTAGCTCAGCCTGACTTGGCTAGAGTGAGTTATGCTTATTGGCTACGACTGAAGTTGATCTTCGGAATGTTCCATGACGGATTTGGTATAAGATGGGTCTCAAGTGTGATCAATTTAGGGATGCAGTGGCAACAACGCACGCCGTCCCTCCATCCACGACAGGCACTCAAATGTTTAGGTATTGGACTTCGATTTTGAGGACGTGTATATGATAAGTGATGCGACTTTGCATCAAATCATGTTTTCTGGTCCTTTCCCCCAGCCGGCAAAGCAATTGTGGGCAGATATGAATGTTGGAGGGTTCTGGCTTTACAAGCTCAGGGACGGGTGGCGGCGCATTTTGCGGTGTGAAAGAAGTCTTCAGCTACAGGTAAAGGAGAAAATTTGTGGCGAGGCAAAACGAAACAAAAAATTGATTATTGGCCGTTAGTAATCCATGACTCTCCGGCCGGAATCGCGTGAACATCAGGTCAGGTCATCAGTTCTTGCCATCGCCAATCTCTCTTTGTTATTTGCAGTCCGGATGCGATCAAGCGTCTCTTTTAGGCCCATTTAGACGCATTCGGCTTGGGTTATTTGTTGCCAGGCGGAAAGATGCGATGAAGGCGGTCACTAGTTCCTGTTTTAGAGGCTCAATGGTATAACTTCTTAGGACCGGCTGATCTCTTCTTTCTTTTCCTACACACGTCGGAGGGGGCGGGGCGGGGGCGCTTGTTGTTGACTCCGCGACCAAAGTCCCAAGCCATGACCTTTATGTAAGTTCGGCATTTTTATCATTGCATATCATCGTGGATACTATTGTTATACAATCCTGAGGTGCGATGCAATAAATCATCGATTTCCGGCGAGTTTGCGGAGGTCGCCACTCTGATCGGTAATTCGGTATTGACAAGGTGAAAGTCCTTTTAACGATGTTGAGAACTCGTTCTTTTTTCATGAGACTCGAGCTCTTTAAAATCTCGTTTCTTAATATCCTAATTCGACTTCATATCTCTCCGGTTAAGTTTGTTCATAGTACAAAACTTGCAGCGTCGATCCTTAGGATCCGACAACCGCCAAGTCAACTTTAACGGCCCGGGGGACCTGATCCAATTCGTCACTGCCTTTGTTTGCCGCGTTGACGAACAATGTTTGGCCAGGCTTCAGAGGGTCTACGTCATCAGCGCAGTGGCTTATTCGACAGTGCCCTTGTGATTTATACCGCGTCAGCCTCTCTCTTCTAGCTTCTGCAACATCATTGGGTTCATGGCGGTTACCAAGATATTCCAGCACTGAGGAATTGGAATTGTCGATATCTGTGAGGTGTGTAGGAGATTCAGAAAGGTGCTGTTTCCATGTAACGAGCCTGGCTTTCCATCCCCGATGAGCGTGCCCGAAACAATGAATTTTGGGCTGGGAATGCGCAATTGCGGGAAACAGCTGGGGACATCCAATCCACTTGCCATCGCCGGAGATGTCCAAGACACCTCGAGGAGGGCCATGAGTGACGATGACATCCGTTCCCGTATATCGTGGGTAGAGTATTCGAACGCCCATCCTTCGGTGCTGGGAGTGCAAGGGCTCGCGTAGACTTCCAACATCGCACCATTTCCAAGCACAAATTCATGCCTGCCTTCTTCGAGAAATACAATGTTTTCAACAAGTCAAAGCGTAAAATGAAGCGGGATGTATTCAGAACTCGTCTACTTCATTTTTAGTGATGTTGGTCTGTGGTGCGAGGCAGGTGGCTTTAAAAAAACATGCTCGCCACCGTGAAGCATAGAAATTTCATCTTGGTGTCTGGCACAGCCTTCTACTGGATAAGCCTCATGTGAGACGACTCAAGACATCACGAAGAGTTTTTGATGATAAAACTCTGTAAATGCTGGTAGTCATGTGTGAGACCACGTTACAACCCTCTAGAGTATTTATCTATATTATATATCTTAATGAGAATGCCGGGAAACATAGATAAAGTAGGTATATAAACAATTATATATAAATTTCCGACAAGTCTTTCCTAACTGGGCTGATACCTTGGAGCGACCATTGTCAAAGTGTTGGTATCACAGGCGATCAATCGAGTAACAGTAATACCGTATACTGACTATTGGTTGCTGAAGTTGGTGATTGACCAGTTGAAGAAGAAGGAGAAAGTGGCCACTGAGGTGGATATTACATGGTGAAGGTGAGCAACAGAGATGTGTCACGTGACCTAGGAGCGGTCCCACTTTTCCACCGGTCGGGCCGGTCGGCGATATCGCAACACAAAGATAGGGGCTAAGTCGAGGCCTCAGTGGCATAATAATTATCGCATGTTACCCCGCCAGACAAGGCAGGACGCGGGCGGCACAACACTTATATGGAAAGCTCCCCTGACACGGAAGAAGCGTAGTATAAGTCACGTGCAGGTAAGATAAAGTTTTCAATTTGCAGGACCTAGTGAGCGGTCAGCGTATCCATGTAAGCGATCAGTGGCGTGTACTCATTGATCAACGGAGCACAGGTAATGAAGCCTAAAAAGGATAAACAGACACAGCAACTGTATCAGGATAAGGACTTCTGTATATGACAGACTTAAACGCACTAAAGAAGAAATTTCCATGGCCCGTTAGCAATTTACTTGTGATTTACCATTAGATATCTTTTAGACTTCTACATTGCGATTCATGTTCAAGAGGAGCTATTCAAGCTACCCTATAACTATTGACCACGCGACTGATTACTGGGTGGTCACAGCCAGGCTAAGTTACTACTACCGAGTACCTACTAACTCAGCTATCTTATAGTAGAAAACCCGCTGCTAGGAACCGGACCCTAACATCGCAGCCTGAGGTCTCGTGAGAAGCGTGAAGGAAGGTGCGGTTGGTTGAGGTGGGGAACTGCAGGGGGCCTTCCTACATCTTGACGCCTTCCCAAGGGGTTGACGCGTTTGTAGCCGCGCCTTCCTCCCCCTCCTTCTTCCTGAAGTTAAACCACCGAGTTTCTCCTCGTCCTCGTCCTCCACCTCCACCTCTCAACTCTTCTTCCACATCATCCAAGAACAGGAGGAAAAACATAATCGCTCCTGCTTAACCCTTCTCGTCTCCTCGACCCGGTCACCGTCGTCAACATGCCCTTCACCTGCGGCACTTGCTGGCGTGAGTTCCCGGCCGGTTGGCACTCGCGTGAGCAGCATCTCAATGCGACTGGCCACCAGGTTCCATCCAACGAATGCGACACCTGCGATAGATTCTTCGGCAGCAGCCAAGCCGTCCAGCAACACATGAATGCCCTCAATCACTGGGCTTCCGACGTCTCCGACGACGACGGGCCTGTATTCGAGTGTGATGACTGTTACGACTGCTTCTCCGATGAGGACGACCTACGTGAACACGAGGTTCAGGATCACTATTACTGTGATCCGTGCGACCGTTACTTCCAAAACCACAACAACATCCGTCAGGTGGGTAATCAATTGATTAATTCTCTATGCTGAACTTCACACCACTGACGGCTGTAGCATCTCAATTCTAAAATCCATCGCAGTGGCACCATTGAGTGCCAGTTCTGCAAGAAGTCGTGCAAGACGGCCACCGGCCTCGTCCATCATCTCGAACAGGGCGCATGCCCCAAGGCGCCTCTCGATCGCGACAAGCTCTACCAAGCCGTCCGCCAGCGTGACCCCAATGGCCTCATATCAAAGAAGCTTCTGGAGTGGCATGGCTCTCCAACGTACAAAGCCACTGAACGGGCCTACAACTCGACCGTCCGCGCCTATGAGTGCTACCTCTGTCACCGACACTTTGGCGCTCTGCAGAGCCTTGACTCCCATCTGAACTCGACAGCGCACAAGCAGGCCCTATATCACTGTCCCAGCCGTAACTGTGGTCGCGAATACAAAACCCTCGCTGGCGTTATCAACCACTTGGAGAGCGAATCTTGCGGTTTCATGCGTTTTGAATCCGTCCAGCGCAACGTCGAGAAAGTTGTCGACCCACGCCGGATGATTGCTTTTTGACGGAGGTCACGACTTGTTGCCGATTTGTACACGGAGAGAGTTTCCGGCTCGATGAAGAAACTGTTGTCCCTAGCGACCGTTGGCATCCCGGGGCAATCTCAAATATTCCAGAGGGTTGGGATAAGATAGAAGATAGTCCAAGCATGATACTAGACTGGAAGACATGGCAGGCTCCCGCTTATTTCACCTGCATTTAACGGGTAGAAATCGTGACAACCCTCCATCAAACCAGCTGTATTCATTTACCTCATCCCGATGGAGTTGTTGTGAAGATACATGTTTGGCCCGAGGCCGAAGTCTTTCGGCTCCGGCGGGTACTGCCCCGCATTCGACCTCCCGATGCCCAATGAGGCGAGCGCGGATGCATGCTATGCTTAGGCTCAGATGTGTCGTTCTAGCAATGCGGACGGACACACTCCGAAGACCAAGTCAAATCGGTGCGGAGCCCCGGTGTGGAGGTCTCGGAGCCGTCCACCATTGGTGCCATAATAGGAAAACCGCCTGAATTGGAATCGCCCGCCCAAGACACCTGTTCCTGTACCGCCGTGCTGCTCTCAAAGCGGCAACTAACCGGCGGAGCTAATCAAAATGATACATGGTCCAGAAAATTGCATTGTCGTTATAAGAGGACCGCTGTCCTTCGTGTCTGATAGGCCTCGTCCAATTGAACTAGGGCCATCTCCTGGGATTCACCAACCAGCTCCGGTTTTGAAGAAGATCCCTGGTTGGCCTTAGTTGTTCTCTTGTGCGATCCAACCGTCAGACATTCATTCAAGAAAAGAAAGGCGAAGCCGAAAAAGCGGCATTTCATGCAACATTTGCGATTAAAGCGCAAGCAGAGTGGCGTAAGCCATTGCCGTCATGGGGCTCGAGCAAGACAGCATTTCAGACACGGGCAGAGGCGCAGAAGTGTCCATTGGCACGCACCCAACACTCAACAATGTCGACTTTGGTCTTCAAATTGGCTTCGAAGAGATCCTCGCCGATGTGGACCCTGACATCTCGCTCGACTACCTGAAAAAGGCCGACGCCCACGCGGGTAAGCCGCCGCCAACGCGCGTGCCACGAGAGACACTAGTGAGCACGCACAACCGCTACGTGAAGCAGCAGCAGGCTTCTGAAGAACAGAACGCTCCGCGAATTGTGAAGAAGGTTGTGCTTGCGCTCTCTTACCCGCCTTCTGTAAAACCTGTCGCAGAATTGTCGCCGGTAGGCCAAAACCTCCATCCCGAAAACACGAGCGGACCATGTTGATATCTGTAGATGCACCTGGACGACCTCCTGGTTGAGAACCACCACGAGGACAAGTATCTTATTCTCAGAACAATCTGCCCACCACACAAAGGAGCCGGTACCATCACAATCGTCGAGGATGATCATGGCAATACCGACAAGTTGGCGCTGTACAACCAGGGGAGCTCGACCATCTTGCAGGCTGTCCCGGAAGGGTCTGTGATCCTTCTAAAAGAACCATACTACAAGTTCAACGGCGATGATGATTTCATGCTTTGCGTGGATCACCCTTCAGATGTAATTCTACTTCGACATGGCCCCGACGACACACTTATCCCGGGCAACTTCAGACAAGCTCCCGGATCCCAGGTGGCATCAGAATGGCGAGATGCGGGAGATGTGGCATTCATATCAAAGAACCTGCCGTTGGCAGTAGCTAAGTAAGCCCTAAGACCGGCGTTGCCCAGTTTTGTCGACTTACAATGTTATCTCAGCTATACAAGGGCCTTGGAGCTTGCAGCAATGGACGACGAGGTCTTCAGAGCTGACTTGCTATTGAAACGTGCGGGCATCGAACTAGCAACCAAACTCTTGGACAGTGCAATCGCCGATGCTCTCGCATCAAGGAGCGGCGGACCGACCGACTGGAAAGCCTACTTCATCGCCGCCAAAGCCGCGTATGAACTCAGAGATTTCCGGATCAGCAAGCAGTACTTCGACTCAGCTCTGGAGCTGAAACCCGGAGCAGCCAACATCCAAAAGGACTATGAACGCTGCCTGTCAAGACTCCAAGAGAGAAAGGGAGACTACGATCTGGCTGCCATGACGCTGGCCGTGTCCCCCAAGAACATCCACATCGACAGGGCGAGCTTCCTCTCAAGGACCGAAGTCAGAGACTCGCTCCATCATGGCCGCGGCCTTTTTGCGACGGAGGATATCAGGGCGGGCGAGATGGTCTTCGCCGAGAGGGCCGCCAGCGTGCCCAACGAGTTCAACCCGAACCACAACGCCGCCGCCGCCTACGCTCAGCTCATCGAGCTGTGCGCGGACAACCCGACCGTCCACAAGAGGGTTCTCGACCTCTACGGCGGGACGTACAGACGCTCGGGACACGAGGGGACCATCGTCGACGGCAAACCCGTCGTCGACGTCTTCTTGCTGGAGTCCATCCGCCGCAAGAACTGCTTCAGCGGCGATCTGGTCACGGCGCAGGCGGCAAAGCCGGGCTGGGATATTTGGAAGCAGGGCATGTCCCGCGGGCTATGGGTGCACGCCGCCTACGCCAACCACGCGTGTCTGCCCAACACCAACAGGTCCTTCATCGGTGACATGCTCATCGCCACCGCCACGGTGGACATCCCCGCCGGCACAGAGATCACGCACATTTACCTCCCGCCCAAGGCGGCATATCTGCTCCGCATGTCACAGTTCCGGCACAGCTGGGGGTTCGTGTGCAGCTGCGCGCTCTGCGAGGGCGAGGGCAAGTCGCCCGCCGAGCAGCACAAAAAGCGCAACGCGGCGCTGGCCGAGTTCGAGGCCGTCATCAAACAGAGGCCACCGGCGCGCTTCCACCCCGACGCGACGATCCGCCAGGTCGAGAGGCTGGCCAACAGGCTGTCGGCGCTGCACGAGGCCGAAGTCTACGACGGCCCAGGCCTCCCGCGGCTGATGCTCGTCTGGCCGACCATGTGGCTCGTCGAGGCCTGGTACGCCCGGAAGCAGTGGGGCAAGGTCGTCCGGTGGGTGAACGAGCTCCTCCGCAACTTTGGCTTCGCGGAGCCCGTCCGGGAGGGCCGCCTGTGGGTATACAAGGACACGCGAGCGGTCACGACGTTCGAGGTCGTCAAGGCATTGAAGCTCTCGGCCGAAGCGTACGCCGCGCTGGGGAAAGAGGTGTTGGCGCGGGATTGTCTGGCCGCAGCGAGGGTCGGGCTGAAGACCATGGTTGGACATGTGACTGACGAAACGTTCAAGGCGTTTCGATGAGCTGTATTTCTTCTTCCGTTTATTTTTATTATTTTTATTTTTTTTAGCTTGACTCTAGACTTGGAGCACTTATCCCAGGCAGCTTCAGACAAGCTCCCAGATCCCACGAGGGCTACACTGACACTTACTTGATTCAAGACTAGATAGGCGTTTGCTAACCACCTATATTGCCCCCGACACCATCTAATAATGTAAATATGGCACAATGTCACAATCTTCCGACGCGTCAAACTTTTCCAACTTAGCCACGAGCTCACCACCCCCCCACGTTTGCGACCTTTGTTTCAACACATGGCTCTGTTCCCCATCCCAGTCTCCCAGTTGTTCCCGAGTAAGATGGAATCCTTGTGGTGCCGTCCTGGCGTACGAAAAGTCATTTGACGCACCTTCCGGAGACTGCGGCCCAGACGCTTCATTCTGCGAACCGAGGAGGACATGAGCTACATATTTGTCCCTGGACCTCTCCGCAGACTTCTTCTTCTTAGAACTCTTAGTTTTGCTCTGTGTAGAATCTTCGGCGGGCTTTGGCAAATCTTCTGAAGCGAAAAAGTGAACTTTGCGAGTCAATGACGACGTGGGCAGAAAGACGTCCCCCAAGTTGTGAAGGACACCCCTCGGGGCAAATTGAGTGATGTCCTTCTTTTCACCATCTCGAAACAGTGGCAGACGATGAACGAGAAGCCGTAGGGATTTCTCAGTCACAAACAAGTGATCCTTGGCCCATGACAAGGAGAAAGGGAGGTTCATTACATCCAGCTTATCTCCTTCAGCGAGATCACTTACTAGGTTGACGGACGTGCGGTAGATGAGATTTGGTGGGCTTTTTGCCGTTTTTCTCCGCGAAAGCCGGTGGGTGGTGACGAGGATTTTGAAGCCAAGTCGGACTTCGCCGTCGGTGTACCGCATCTTGATCCCCTCGAATGACGCCATATGAAGGTACATCCCGCACCCCGAGAAATGACACTGGACTGAGACCTGGCAGCTTTGGGGTTGCGACTTGGTGCCCGTTCGGATGAAGTATGCGTTCTCGGTGAAGTTGGCGAAGAGGATTTCGTTGTCTCCCAGAGGCCAGACGAGCAGGTTCGATGTAGGATGGAACGCTGGAGGCGACGCATACAGCCTAGTTTGAGATCTTTGGCGAAAGCTGAAGACCTTCGTCTGCTGGCGGCCGTCTTCTTTCTCGAGATGGTAAACCTGCACCTCGCACAACGTCCCCTTTTGCTTTTTCCGACGGCTTTCGAGCAGACCCTCGAGCTTCGCTATGGCTGTCTGAGTTTCCTCGTTGCCATCATCCGATTGGTTTGATGAGCTGTAGTCATATGCAGAATCACCGATTGAGGAAGGCGCCCCGTCTTCACTTTCACTCGAAGAATGCTCATCTGAGCTCCTGTCGACGAACATGTCCAAGGTTTTGGCCGAGGATAGGGATGAGGCCTGAGACGGCGTGTTCTCAAAGTGGACGCCGCGGCCGCTGTCGCTATTATCGCCTAGGTCAGACTCGGAGAGGCCGTCCTCTTTGATTTGCAAGCTGGAATCGGCGTCGAAATCCCCCAACATCCGATCTTCTCCGATTTCGTCAGACCTTGCAGAGGTTGACCCCTCGCTCCAAGATTCTCTGGCAGAGTTGGACGCAAAGGAAGATGTTTCAGTCCAGTCCAAAACATCATGTCCACATCTATCTGAGAACTCTGACTTTACTTCTAGGGAATCTGCAACAGAATTCGCAGTTTCTTTCCCAGAGCCCGAGGGGTCTGGCTGGTCTTCCTTGGATGTTTCCACGGCCGGTGCGGCGTCATCTGAATCGCTGTCGCTATCGGTGCTTTCGTCGTCACTGCTGCTCCCAGTGCTACTGTGGCTTCTGTGACTACTGCTGCTGCTGTTCAATAAAGTGTCTGTTGAGCTATTTCTGTCTCCGTCAGCGGCGTTTGCAGGGTCGACTTGGATTTTGATGTCATTCTCCGATATCTGATCACGCCGAGCCACTGCGAAGTATCTGCTGTTGCATGATATAGCTTGTATGTAGCTTTGGGGGCCATCGGGAAGCTGCAAGGGTTCATAAAGCGTTTCGGCGGCTGGTTTGGTTCCCGGATTGCCTGAGTAAAACTGCGAACCGACCCTCAGAATACTTCCGTCACTTGTGACTTCCAACAGTGGCGCTTTCTCGGCGATACCTTTCTTCAACTCATGCTGATACAGCCGAAGGCATCCTGGAGGCAAGGTGATCCTTTGTGTTGCTTTCAACTTGGGGCTTCTTCCGCGACTTAGGGCCCACCTCTCAACTGCCAAATGTGATTCCGTCTCACTAGAGGCAAATGACAGTCAGCACAGCGGTCTCGAACGAACCCGGTTTTTGTGTTCTTACTTCACCGTCAATTTGAAGAAATCAATTTCGGAGCCTCCTGGACCAATGCGGTCGTAGAACATCACTGTCTTAGCTGGTGGCTCAACGCCGACGTCCTCTAAGATGAAGCTTTTGATCGTGCTCGGAACCTTGTGAAGAAAGTTTGACTGCCCCAGGCAACCCCATATACATCGCCTGATCTCGCCCCTCAATTTGCCGGCATAGGTTGACTGAGTAGCTAGGAAGTGGTTCCACTCTCCAATTGCGTGATGATATTCTTTCTGGAGACCGGCGCCGCAGTGATGTTTCTGGACAAACCATCTTGGGAATGCCCTGACCAGGCTTCTCCGTTGGAGTACATCGTTTGAATCGTACCAGAAGTTGAAATGTCCTACATAGCCACAGTTAGAAAAGGCCACCATGAGAAACGCATGTATCTAGTTACCTCCAACGAACAAGGATTGGACCTGAAGGCAGGTCACGAAGTTTGACGATTGAACAAATTGAGCTACTATGTTACACAGGTCGGGTGAGTAAGGGACGTCATCCAGATGCCTATGCCAGTACTTGGCGGCGTAAGTGAGCAGTGCGTGCTCCTTGATGTCGCTCCCGCATGATGTTTCAAAGGTTATATTTCCTCGTTCCAAAAGGTCTTTATACCGGTTTTGCTGCAAGTACTTGAGGCATCCTGTGCCAAGTATCTCAGGTGATATGTGGCAATCGTCTTTGCCCGATAAAGCATTTGGGTGCTCAACCAAAAAGGTCCTCACTGCACCATGCGACAATGTACAGACCTGTCTTCCAATATGTTCTTTTGCTTCGTTCACGCGGACCAGGGGCCCACAGGCGTCTATAAGCCGGTCGCGCATCAAAAGGCATGTGGGCTGGATGTTGTCTCCTGGCGAGCTTTCGTGGATTTCGATAGCTTCACAGAGTTCGTCCAGAGAGAGAGGCCTTTTTGCATAAACGATACAGGATAATGAGTCACTATGTGGCGGACAGTCAGCAGAATGGAGTTCCAAACATGGCGTGTACGAACCTGATGAACTTGTGTTGTGTTGGTGGAAATCTCCGGACCAGTCGTTCCAAATACGTCTCGAAGTCGTGCGGTATGCCCTTGGCCACCATTTCCTCTACATCTGCGAACCTCAATGCTTCCTTGATGATATCCAGCATCAGAGTTGCCCAGAGGAAACTTCCATCGACTTGTTTTCTTAGATCTGCCAAGATTTCCTTCTTCTTGGACTCTTCAACCATGTCCAAGTAGTCTCTTCCCTCCAAAGCCGACTGGAGAAGCTTGTCAATGTCCCCTGTATTCTTAGCGGCACTAAGTTGTATTTGCTCAGCCGTTTTCAATAATTGGCGAATCGCTCTGTGATCCTGAGAGCTGCACCAGAGTTTCAGCCCCGAATCTGGCTCGGACGCGATGGTGATGAAGAAGGACAACACTGCGCTTGCGTTTTGCCATCGTTCTTTTTTGGAGTTCTCGAGCTCTTCATCTAGACCATCCAGAAGAATGAAGCAGCTTCTGGATTCTGCGACCAAGACAGCGACCATTCTCTGCAGCGCTCGAAGGGACGTGGGGTCCAGTCGCAGAAGCTCAAGGACCTCTTCCGAAATTTCGTCCTGCTCGTTGTCGTAGACCGAAAAGAAAAGCCGACGCGCTATGTTTCGGTATACCTGCGTTGGCGACAGCTCCTCGTTGAAACTGAAAAAGTGAAAGGCTATCGTAGCTTCCGGGCGTAGGCTCCCGAGCCTGTCGACGATCTGACTGCATATCGTGGACTTGCCCACACCGGCACCCCCACGAAGCCAAAGGATATTGGCCTCGGACCCAGCATCTACCCAGCGGCGGAATTGAGCATCCTCTAACAACCAAGTTCCAGTCTTAGGCATTCGAGTCTGGACACGCTGGTCGTAAGGGCGATCGATGCCGTCGCTCACTTTGCATCCGTCTCTGCCCATAATCCACTCACAAACCCTGCACCATCTTTCGACTACATCGCTCTGTCAGTATTGACTTTGGACAGGTTCAAGAATCAAATTATTCTTACCGTTATCTTTTTTCGATGCTCTTCGAAGTAGTTCGTCCAATTTGTCTTGCACCTCTTGCCTCTCCTCCACTGTTTCATCTCTCTCCTTTCTGCGCCGTTGCTCCTGGATTACTGGAACGAGGCGTTCAATGATTTTGCTTGTGTCCGTGATATCTGCGATGATCTCATTGATTTTGGTAACACTGATTGAGGTCACCGTCTTCAGCGCTCGCACGAACCCGGGTGTCATGCAATGATCCTCGACCCTGATCCAGAAGCGAATGATGCCTTTGTAGGATGCAACCAGGAGATCTCTCATGTGTTCGGACTCAGAGAACAACTGCTCATACTGCTTTAAAAGCTTCAAGTGGTGCGTAAGAGACTTGAGTTGCCCCTCGAGCTGGTCGAAGACTTGGTAGTATCGTCGGAAACACTCGACAACCGCCTTGAGACCACCCCAAATCAATGCCGATGGGTAAGGGTCTGCGCTGCACAGGATTCCAATGATGCCATCGTAGTCGTTGATCGCATGAAAGATGGGCTTCAGCTTCTGCGCCCGCGGGGAATCAAGTTTTTGCCACTCCTTCAATTTCACGTTAACATCGTCGGGATTGGTCACTTCTCCGTCAAGAATCTTTTGAATAAACTGAGGGGTCTTCTTCTTCGTTTGCTCTGGAATTAACTCATATAAAGCTTCCGAAAAGGCTGAGTCTGTCTGCCATGGCCGCGTCATCTTCTGCCAACGTCGCCCAGTAAGGGCTTTTATCGGTGCATGTAGTCGTTACTCGGTGGTGGGCAAAATTGAGAACAAATACACTCAAATCACGCGTAACTCAGGAGGAAGTGCCGTCAATAGTCATATAATGTTAGGTTACGAAACGAGGCATAGGAAGCTCCAACGGGCTGCGGTATATCACTGCTCATGTACTGGAATGATTGCTACTGCGCAGCACCCATTCATAATGTAAGGATTTTTACTTTGGGTACAAAGACCTTCCTTGTTTTGGAGCCGGTGCCTGCAGCCTGATCTTACTATCGACCCTGGTTCGACCTCACAGCCTGCCTTGCGTTGCAACGGCTGACCACCATCATAACACTGACAGTACTGCAGACGGCTTTCCCTCCACTTTGTCCACACATTCATCCGATTCATCCGCCTTGTGATTGGACATCAACAATCTGATTTGCATGACACGCATGATAAATATCACACGTGTGAAATTGGCATGTCGTCCCTTGTCTTGTAAGCCAGTTAGACTATGCCGATAGGCGCTTGCAGTTTCAGCTATCCAATGACACCGTATTTGGCGCCGCTATCAATCGCTTGTCGTGCTAGCAGATGCGGCAATATACGACATTCTCTATTTGTCAATCAGCGATACCTGACCCTACTCGACGAGGCAATTACCCGCTTTGCCCCGAGTTTCTGCCTAGTGATAGGGAACAATTTATCTGGGAGCCCACTTGCATATCAAGATTCACACCTCAGTATCCGATGTTTGTAGCCTTTTCTCAGTGTCTCTAGCTCTGTCCTCAGCGACTCATTGACTCCTCTCTCTCTTCGGCCATCTTTTCTTGAATCCCAGGCCATTTTCCTACGGACTCGTCACGGTACAGACATGGGGAACAATGAGAAGACGGAGGAAATTCCTGGGGGTGATTCCAGCTCCCAGGGCAAAAAGCTCCTTCGCGTGGACCAATTCTTCAGTCGGTAAGAGGAGCTCGATCCGTGTGAAAGAGGGCGTCAACGCTTACATCGGTTACAACCGCAGGAAAGACCGCCAATGGCGCTACGTCAAGACTGCCAAAGTTAGAACCGAAGAGTCAAAGTTCAGCAAATACTCAATTGTGGTACGGCGGATTATCAGCTCCAAGGGGTTGGTTGCGGATGAACGCGTCGATATCAAGAGTCCCAGGCTAGCGGAGCTTCTAAGAGTGCTTCTTGAAGGTCTGGGGGATTTAGAGCTTTCCAAGAGCCCCCTGAGGTAAGCAATTTCTTGTTCATGTTATGGACGCTGGTTCCTGACTTCTTACAGCTTTCCCCTCGGCAGCTCTACCACGCTTGGACAGGTCTGCAGGAGCGTTTATCCGAAGAGATAGACAAGCCTGATCGCTCTGATGAATTCGTCAAGGATCTCAAAACTGCATTGGAGTTTTTGGACGCCGACTTTGCAAAGACTAGATCGAATATGCAGTCGCTTTTGGAGTTCGGTGACATAACTTACGACTTACTCTGGGCACTTTTCACACCTCGAGCAGTCGTCTATACCGAGGCTAATACTATGAAAGAATCGCAGACTTACATGTTCTTCAGCGGAGAATATGTGATCACACCTACGGATGAGAGATGGTACGCGATTGAGGGCAAGATGCTTCATCATGATGGCGATTCACTTGGCTGGGGATTTCCAACTTTCAAGATTCCCCACTTCATGGGGACGAAGAAAATTACCAGCATTGACTCCTTCCCACTGAATTATCATCCCGAGAAACAGAAAATTCAAGAGAAGCTCATAGAACGGGGACGGAAGTATGTCGACATTGTTAGGCAGCCTGTTTGCCTGGAGTACAGTGGCCTTGCTGTCAGGCAAGAGACCAATCTTGACGGAAAGGTCATGGAAATCCAGTTTGCTTCAACCGGTCGTATCATGGCGGACCCAGCGACGTTCTACAATCAGAGACCCAACGAAACAATGATAAGCAAGCCATGGATTTACGCGGAGTGGCAAACCAGTGGCAAGAGTTTCACCGACGAGGAAGTCATGCTTAGCAACCATCGAGTTCAGGGCTTTGGGTTTACACCTAAGACTTGGGGCGGATTTGCGGTGTCCAGAACGCAACAGGTTGTTTGGAATATGAAGGCGTTCGACAAATTGATCATGAACGAGCAGAAGAAGACAATGATTCGACTGCTCGTTCAAAGCCATAGAACCAACGAGACGGCCTTTGACGATATCGTCATTGGCAAAGGTAAAGGGCTTGTAGGTCTTCTTTCAGGGCCGCCTGGCGTGGGGAAGACCTTGACGGCCGAGGTAGTTGCCGAACTGTCGCGGAGACCGCTATATGTCATCTCAGCAGGTGAGCTTGGGACGACAGTCGATAAAGTAGATAAGCAGTTGGGTGTGGTGCTTGACATCACACGGCGGTGGGGTTGTGTGCTCTTGATTGATGAGGCCGATATCTTTCTTTTCAAAAGAGGGGAGGCTCAACTTGAGAGAAATGCTCTCGTCAGTGTCTTCTTACGCAGACTTGAGTACGTTATCAAGAGCCGATGGCGTTGCTCTCATTACTGACAGATATTTAAGATACTTTCAAGGCATTGTCATCTTGACAACGAACAGAAGGAAAGATATTGATAAGGCTTTCAAGAGTCAGTTGACGTCTACCCTAAGAAGACGACTCCCAAAGCTCTTTGATTATCAAGAAACGATGGGTTACCTGTTCAAGGCTGACTGCTTTCCAACACAGGCCGCATTCATTTTAGATTCCACTACCCTGCGTTAAGTGAAGCAGACCGGCTTAGGATCTGGCAGGCAATGTTGGGCAACGTCACATCGCTCGTTGACAATCTACAGTTCAGCGATGCTGATCTGAGCAGCTTGGCTGAAAGGCCGATGAATGGCCGCGAGGTAGCCACTCCCTCTCATAATCCAGCTTTCTAAGTTAACCTCTTGTGCTGTTAGATAAAAAATGCGGTATCTTCGGCCGCATCGATCGTGAGGGCAAATAAGGAGACTCTAACCGTCGAGATGATCAAGGAAATGCTGCAGTCACTCGTTGGCGACGTCGGGTCAGACGACGAGGATTGAGCGCTGCGATGATAGGGACTGCTTGGTTCGATATTTCATGTTGATTTTGAGATCCTACTACTTGGCTAATTCTTGAGGTTTTTCGGGAAATCAGCCTTCTTCATGCTTTCCATCACTATGGTTTTAATCATGTTGCCCACATTTATTACCTGAATGGGCAGAAGCTTTGTCTCCTACACAGCAGCCATGATACTCTACGCGAGACTCAAACTGTGTTAACAAAATGTGCAGCCATCGGCATCGCTGTTCACGCTCTGGGTATCCCGGAAGCTTGGTACGTTCTGCTCTGCCAACGCCGACCTACCCAACATCTCCCTGCGCCATTTGCGTGACTTGTGGGAGAGGGATCATCAAGGTCTTGGCGAATGGCGCTCGGCTTGGCGTCACGGCCGTTGAGCATGATCAGAGCTTGGCGGCATCGCCATGGAGATGCCCTTTCTTGGCGATTGAAGAAATTTTCCATGAGCTTGGCAAGGTGCCTCAACCACTCATTTCTCTTGTCTTTTGGTGTCGTGCAACATTAGCAGCCTAGCAGCTAGACGTTGAAAGATCAAACGACCCGACATATTTTGAGCTGGCTTCCGGACCGCGAGATTTGGATGGTATTGGGTTCCAAGCTTTCCCCTCAAAAGAATGCAGGTCGGTGTGACCAACAGGTCATATAATCGCTCGTTACTTCAGACCAGTACACCACAGCCGTACCTACATACCCTCAAGAAACACTAGAAATTCACTATGAACCACCATTCTTGTGATTCCTTCATAGCGCCAGCGAGGAACCGACTCCCCCGCGCGTACCAGCACCCAGCCTGGGCCGGCTGGCTCATGGCGTCTACACTAAGCCTAACGCCAGGAAGCTAATTCTAAAATGACTCTTCCAAAATAGTAATTGCTCGTGTACTTATCGTCTTTTTGTGAGGGGAAATTCCGCTGGTGAGCGGGGTACGCAGCAACGAAGCTGCAAGCCAAGAGAACTCCTGTCCACCCATGCCTGTCATCCCCCACCCCAGAACAGGTCTTCCACTGGCTCCTCGAGCGACACCGATCCCATCATCGTGATACGTTGGCTCTTGATCGTAGCAAGTTGGTACTTGCTTGAGGGGCTCAACTCCAAGCCCCCGGCAATGTGGAAGATGCGTGCGCGGCATGTATTTCGTCCTTCCAAGTCGAGTTAGTTGAAAAGTGGAATGACCGTATGATTAAACAATAAAGCTGACTGCCCCGTGACATCTCCCACTATATATACCGCCATAGTATAATGCCTCTCTGACTTATGAGATCATCGGCCACAACGTTGACCCAGGTTCATCCAATCTTGGTCCCCTTACGTGGAATCACCCCCCTTCGTATCCTATAATGTCTACTCTCGCGTTGATCCTCTTGGCATCCACGCCTTTAGCCCTCGGCCAGACATTCCAGAGGCTCGGCGCCTGTCCAGACCTCGGCTGTGTCTTTCCACCAGACCAGGCCCATTTCCTGCCAGGCCAGAACTTTGACATCCGCGTCGAGATCCACGCGCCAGTCAACGGCACCGAGGCCTTCAACGGCGGCGTCCCAGACCCGAACTTCTCCCTCTCCATCACGAGCAACAGCCAGCCGGACGGCCAGCCCGTCACGGACTTCTTCGGTATCAGGGAGGAGCCGGAGCTGGAGACGTGGACTTTCTCATGGTACGAGGATCTATTCGCCCAGGACGCGGCAACCCAGTCGGTTGTCAATGTCGCCTCCAAGGCATACCGCCACCTGGCGCTGTACGAACCTGGCAACTACACCGTGGAGCTGAGCTACTACAACGGCACAAAGAAGACGCTGGCGGAGTGGTTCGTGCGGCCGCTCGCCGAAGAGAAGAAGGCGAAGAATGTCGTCCTGTTCATCGGCGACGGGATGACAACCAACATGATCACGGCGGCACGCCTACTGGGTCACAAGAGCGTCAATGGAAAGTACCAGTCGCGGATGCAGATGGACCAGTTTCCCATCTTGGGGCATCAAATGGTAGGTCAATTGGCGTGTGTTCCTCATTGATGTGGTCAAGGAAGCTGACGTGACGAAAGACCCATTCTGTTGACACTTTCATCACCGACAGTGCGAACTCGGCCTCGGCGCTGTATTCCGGACACAAGGGCACCTCGGACTCCATGGGGTATGTCAGGAATATTTTGAATAGGAAGCCCAATGCTAATTGGCCACCAGTGTCTACTCTGATTCGTCGGCTGATGATTTTGACGATCCTAAAGTCGAGACAATCGTGGAAATGGTAGTTCGTGTCTGGGTGAGCTTACAACTCTAATGATAATGGTTCTCTCTTGCTGACTTTCAAAGGGATCTGCTTGGGGAGCGGTCACTACAGCTGCTCTTGACGATGCCACGCCCGCTGCATTGACTGGCCACAGTAGATCCAGATCCAACGCTGGTTCACTGATCGACCAAGCTCTCAATGGAATGACAAACTACTCCTGGAGCAGCCATCCGGGACCTGACGTCTACTTTGGTGGAGGCGCTTCGACGTTTCTCCCGGGACCGTCCTCGTACCAGGGTAAGGATTACTACGAAGAGTTCCGTAAGCAGGGCTACTCCGTGAGCTGGAACGCCACGTCCCTTCGCGACGCTCCGATAGACGCTCCGGCCCTCGGCGTTTTCTCCACATCCCACCTGCCCGTTTGGCTCGACCGTAACATCCTCCCAGAGAACATTGCCGGACTCGAGACGCACCCCTCCGGCGACGGTTCCGCGCCCCTTGACTTGCCAGGTCTGAAAGAGATGACTCTCAAGGCCGTCGACATCCTCCTCGAGCGCAGCAATGACACCGGCTTCTTCCTCATGTCCGAGGGGGCTTCGATAGACAAGCAGATGCACGCTCTGGACTACGACCGGGCCCTCGGGGACCTGCTCGAGTTTGACGACACGATCCGCGCGACCATCGAGAAGCTTAAGAGCGCCGGCGAACTCAAGGACACGCTCATCGTCGTGACGGCGGACCACGGCCACGGCTTCGACGTCTTCGGCGTCGCCGACACCGAGTACCTCGCCGCCCAGGACACGGACCGCAAGAAACGCGACGCCATCGGCATCTACGAGCGCTCCGGCCTCTCGCAGTACACTGTCTCGCGTCCCGACGGCATCGAGTATGGTACCGGCCCGAACTTCCCGCTCAACTGGAGCCCCCGCTACGCCATAGCGCCAGGTTTCGGCGCCAGTCCTGACCGCAGAGAGAACTACCGCCTGCACGAGTCGCCTCGTCGGGTGGTTGTGGACAACGAAGAGGACGGCTACGTCGCGAACCCCGAGGATGGACAGGATGGGTTCTATGTCCCCGGGACGATCCCGACCTCTTCCTCGTCCGGAGTGCACTCGCTGACGGACGTGCCGGTGTTCGCCATGGGGCCATGCCAGGAGACGTTTGCGGGTGTATATGACAACACGGATGTCTTTTTCAAGATTGCTTCATGTCTGGGACTGGGTCAGTCCTCTGCGACTCCTCGGAAAAAGTGATGTTCCGCACGTATAGACATAATGTGGTGAAGAGCTGAGCAAAATACTGCCCTTGCTAGCGTCAAACTAGATCGGCTTCCCTGCGGCGTTTATCCAAAATTACTCTGCAGCAGTCTATGTTTTCAGTTCCAAATTGCAACCTTTGCGCATCCTTGGCCTTCCAGACTTCTTCCATATCCTCTTGAGCCCGTGTCAGCGACGGTAAGTGACGGTTTTCGTACATCGTCCTGAGTCTCTCGAGGACCAGTCGTCGCTGGCCGGGATCGATCGACTCGCAGCCAGCCGTCCATAAAGGCCACGCATGTGCTGACACGCAGGATGACGTAACGGGGGCCTGTAACAGGTAGTGGAGGCATCGTCCCGCGTGGAACGGCTTTGGCAGTGGTGTGCCATCGCTCCATACCCGACAGAGATAGACAAGGGCCGCGTGCCTATAAGCTTGTATGGTATTCTCGATGGCGGGGTCCCCGTCAGCGACGATGGAGAATCTCTCCAAGCTCTTCCTGATCGCGAGCCCTCTTCTCTGGTGTGCCTCGCCGCTCCGTCCTTGCATCTTGCTGATGGTGCTCACGATCGAGACGAGGGACGTTAGCTTTGCGAGGCTTTGCAGCCCTTCGAGTGGTGCCACGTTCTTCATGCTCAGAAGAGGCCTCGACGTTCGCGAGACGGAAGACATGACGTCGTGATAGAAGCAGAGGCTGAGAAGGAATTGCGCGCTGGAGCTGGTCCAACCCTTGGGTCCGCCAGAGTGCATTATTACGGCCTTTGCCCCCGCAAGGTGGTCGATCTGGCTATGAGCGTTGAACAGCCGGTCGGAGATCTGAAGCATCAAGATCGTCGCCAGCGACAGTTCCGGGTCCTGGGTCTCAATTGACTCTCGCAATGAAGACACGGCCGTGAGCATATGTCGTGAGGACAATATACGGAGGCTTTCGTCATCGTGGAGGACTGCCAAGTGCCCTGCCGCCATTGATGAGATTGAAAAAAGGAGGGCGTTGGAGCGGAGCATCATGGGCGTAAGGTGTGTGAGGAATGGGTTCTGCGTCCCAGATGCCATCGATATGACACTCGCCAACGAATCGTTCCAGTGGTGAAGCAGAAACCTGTTCATTGGCGAGAGATCCGGTGATAGACAGGATGGGTTTCTGATGAGATTGTTCTTCCCAAGATCTAGAGCCGACGTCGTCGTTGTCGTCGTCGATATCAGTGTCACGGTCGCCCTTTCAAGTGATGATGACGACGGCTTCTGTGGATCTGGTTCTTTTCCAGACCTCGAACTTTTCTTCTTCACAATCCTTCCTCCACCTGTCGAAGAATCGGCCGCCTTCCACCTCACTTTCAACCCGTAGCCCTTGCATGTCTTACCCAGACGGACGCAGCGGCCGCAATAAGGTTTGCCCTCGTCGCATTTATAACCTTCATCTCTACGATGTATATCAGTAATTGGTACAAGTTCAACACCACGGTCACCAGGTGACTCACCGACATGTGAGACAGCCAGTTCGGCACCTTGTGTACGGCATCTTCGAGTGAGAGATAGGGAACTGAGGCGAATGGACAGCTGGTTTCTCAGCGATGTGGGGTAAAAATCTGTTTGGGGTTCGGCGCTGTGCTAATTCCGATCTAGCGGTCTTCTTGGCATATACACAATCAGTTCGGTCCCGCCTCTGTTCCAACTCCATCACAACTTCGGGGACATCAGCCCAGGGGGAAGTGCAACGTAAGCGCAGAAGAACGAGGTAAGTCTCAGACAATAAACCATGGTTCCAGTCTGTGTCGTATGTCTAGGAGTGTTCTCTTGTTAGACAGAAATACGTAACTTTAGGGTTAGAATGCATGTCCTATTAGGATTTCCCTATTTTAGGTAGTTAGCTAAACCTGTCGTAGAAATCCAATGTTTCCTTCTAGGCTTTTCCTCTTATAGCTAAGTGGTTGGCCCAGCGCCGTTATATAACACACGCTTTATCCATAATAAAGATAATTTCTATATCCGTACTCCGTATAGTAGGAAGCATTCAGCCACCTAATCCGGGGTAGTCTCATGGCACGTAGGTCCCCCTAACCCACCGTATCTTGGTCGCTAGGGTCCCTGGCAGAGCCGATATCATCTATCATTTGCCACGACTTACAGGCCTGGGTCACAGCCATGGTCTTGACCAAAATCTTATGGCGATCTTCATAATGTGTCCCCAAGTGAATGCACCACGATACAAACCAGGGTCGTCATTATAGTTGGCATACTTGGTAGCAATCGAGGTACCCTAGACACTGTCTTTTCTCTGATTGGCTCAATGCGCCGTCCATGTCCTTGGTTTTGATGATGTCAACAGCGATGACAATCCAAAGGGGAACGGGATGTTTGCTTGGAAGCAGAAGAGTGTCTTTGGTTTTTGTGTGGCATTCTTGGGCATGCATTTTTCAGGCGACCATAGAGAGCAGCAAACTTTTTCGCAAGACAAAACATTTTACTGTGTTTCCCAGCTGTACTCCGTACTTTTGTAGGATTTTGGGTGTCCTGGACCTTGCCAAGGTCAGCCTTGGGCCTTGGCTACATATCTCATTATTAGTGATGCAAGCCTTGGGGAGAGCCCCAGAACAGAGATTTGTGAGCAAACATGAACATTGAACCGTGTAATCATCCAATCCAGAAATCGGTCCTCTACACTCTGTCTCTCGGGCTACATCAGAAACTCATCATCCCACTGTTTTGAAACCTCTCGCCTCGCCAGATTTAATCATCAAAGTTACTGAATGTGGCGGTAGATCTCATGAACGTTAGCAAGTTCCCTGGACGTGGGTGGGATATATGTGAAAACTGTGCGCAGCTGACGAACTGGTCTTTACTTGAACTTATACGGCAACGACGGCAGCACAACAACCACCCATGTCAATTTCAACGCCCCCTGACTATTCACATGGCCTGATCGATCTCACTTAAACGCAATGACTGATAAACTAAGGAAAGTATATTCGGGCCAATTCCCTTGGCGATAAGAGGCAATATTCTTTACAGTAAGTGGTCAACAGGCGCGAGCCTGCCTCTGCTGCTGCGAAATCTTCAAAAGCCGCACGTTGCCCGTGACTCCGGGATGAAATCTAGAACCAGACTATCCTGGGTTTAGCTGACAAACATATCGCTAAAACAATCTAATGGTGTGTAAATGCACGATGCGTGGCCTGGCCAAACCTGACGATTTCTTGACTGCCCCTGGCTATATGCTTGCCTGACCGGCATTGCGTACTAGCGCCCTGCATTGTACTGGATCGGTCTTGTTTGGAGCAGGTGATATTGAAGTCTACAGGCGGCACAGAGCACCCGAAAAGGGAAAAGATGAACAGGGGAGATGACGCATGTAACCTGGAACGGAATTCCTTATCACCTGCCCCAGCCCCTGAGCCACCGTTCAAGATTAAGTGCCGGGCACCATCTTGGAAATCAAGTTGATCAATAGAGGAGCCATCATCGGCGTCTGATAGGCGCAATCCTGGAAGTTTCCAGGTCACCGTCGCACGCAAAACTTCCATGTTTGCTTCCCAGTGTACGATGGAGGTGCGTTGAGTGCAGGGGCATCAACAATATTTGCTCAAGGCTGTTATATGCGCGGTGCGGGGGACAGAAGCGTTCAGACAATAAAGACAAAAGACAACGCGGCTCAAATTCGAATCCTCGGCGGCAGCATTCATGGTTCGCGCCGGTTCTTCGATCTGTGTTGCACACGCATAGCCGAGGGTGCATCTACCCGCCAGCTCAACATGCCCAGCCCACTCAAAGGCTCCGAGGCCTGGAAGGCTCAGGACAGAGGCCCTACCATCATTGCAGTCTGCTGGGTCTTCACTGCCCTCAGTAGCATGTTCGTTTTGTGTAGAGTATATGTGAGGTGGAGGTTCGTCGGCAGGTTCTACAGCGACGACTATTTCATCATACTCGGACTGGTGGGTTGTGTGGCGCCTCTCCAATTCCCCGGCGCCTCGAACTAACCAGGATCCCTCTAGATTTTCGGCTACATATCGACATCGCTTTCAACTCTGGCCGTGGTCTCCGGAAGCGGCAGACATCTGGACGTGCTCACCCTGGAACAACAGCAGAACAACATGCTCTGGACAACAGCCGCCCAATGTCCAGGCATCATGTCATTCAGCCTGCCCAAGCTGGCAGTCATCAGCTTTCTGACGCGGCTGCTTAACCCAGGCGTCCTCCACAAGTGGTTTCTCTGGTGGATGGGAATATGGTGCCAGCTGACACTGGTGGCCACTGTTGGACTTCTGATCGGACGTTGTACTCCAGCACGCTCGCTGTGGGACTTTTCAGTAGCAGGTACCTGCTTCGATCCCAGTATTCTCATCAACTATTCCATCTACGCCGGTAGTGAGTCGCGTAGAGATCCCAAACACACTCCGGAGACTGACTTGATACGCAGCCTTCTCAGCGTTTGTAGACGTCTACCTTGCTGTATACCCAGCCATCGTACTATTCAATCTCCAAATGCGTCTCAAGAAGAAACTGGCCTTGTCTTGCGCACTGGGCATTGGGACAATGTACTCTCCTTCTCTACTATTTTTGACAAAAGCCATGCCTCGTTGGCTAATTTCGTTGTAGTTCGGGCGTTGTGGCCATATATAAGACAACTCGGTTGCCATTACTGGCAAGTAAGGACTATTCCTGCAAGTGTTCCTCGAACCTATCCCTTCTTCTTAGTAGGGATACTAATACCTGCGATGCAACAGACGAAACACCTGATTTGGTAGTTTGGACTGTGTAAGTAATAAGCCCTCGCGATAGCTAGCCCGGCCCCCGAAAGACTCAAAATCCTGCGTCGGTTGAACATGTCTGACCTGTGGGCATATACAGAGTAGAGGGCAGCACCATTATCATTGCAAGTTCAATCCCTGTGCTACATCCGCTCCTCGAAATCGTTCTGCGGCGCAACCCTTTCGCTTCAACCAATGGGGGGACTGGGCGCACAGCCAGGTCCGGTGAAGATTCGCCGTCGTCGTTGAACAAGCCTTGCCCGTCTCCAGGCCGCCATACATATGAGCTTGGACAACGTAAACCGAAACCGAAACTCAGGGATTATCTTGGTTTCACCATCGCTGAGAACGAGAGCCAGGAGGATATACTCTCTCCGGGCCAACATTCATACACGCAGACGGTCACTTCCAGCAACCGCGAACTCGGTCAGGTGCAATCGGGGAAGATAATCCGAACAGACTCTGTAAAGGTAGTGTACGATAACGAATGTTAGCTTCATTATGACTTGGCTACCTTGCCATGCAATTTCGTCATATGATTTCGCCATATAATTTCACCAAATGATTTCACTTCCTGAAAGGGCTGGGGTTAAACACAGGCAGTAAAAGAACGAATATCGTTAATGAGGAGACTTTATAGCAATTGTTCCACTTATAAGTTTAGATTGAGCCGCCTTACATCCTTTTTCTATAAATCGTGTTTACTTTTTGAAATTATAGAGGTGCCAGCCCAACCGATAACCATTCCGAATATAACCTCCTGCATTGCAGCATAATGAATGCTTGGTGGACATGGAAGCCAGGTGGCAGCACGCTGCTCTAGGACAAAATAATGATATCCAGGCAAAAGATCCATCCCTCGGATAGCATACCAAGTATCCAAATGTCACATCAGTTCCTTGTGTGACTGCGCTTCAGAGTATGGAATTTAGTTTCGAGGTGTCTTATCATAGTCACCCACGGGAGCAAAAGTCACAAGCAAACCAAAGTAGCCAAGCATTGTCTTTGGCGAGCCGTGGGAGCACCACCTATTTAGTATTTTTCATATCACAGGATACCTCCAGTTGAACAGTATAAACTAGGCAAGAGTCTAACGACTGCAGTCTCGAGCAACCTGTGTAGGCCCTCTGTCCCGACCAAGATCCGGTTGCGGATCAACTTCGTCTGAAGAAACTCTACCGCCCTGCCCCGCGCTTCAATGTCCAGAAAGAAATGGGACACATAGCCGTTGAACGCCGTTGTACGCCGTTGTTTAACCCTGCACCCCGCGTGCTGTCGCTTCCATTAGCTTGAGAATTATGTATCTTGTATTCTTTATTTCCTTTAGCACCCCTGGACAGCCTATTGAAACATGTGTTAGTCTTGTCTTTCTTCTACCCCTCCGATTCAGGAGATTGGTGAAAGTGGATTGTCCTTACATTTTGTTGGTTCTCCATGTTCTTCTTGATGCCGCCGTTGAAGTCACTCATGAGTGACTGAGTGACGGGATTATCTGTTTGGGGGTTGCCGGTGAGGCCGGAGGCCTTCTCGAGCTCGCTGAGTTGAGCATTGGCGACCTAATCCTGGTTAGAGTGCTGCAGATTAGAGCGGTCAGGGAGGCTCGACGTACGACTGCAAGCCCTGCCGTGGCGCCGTTTCCGGTAGGGGCAATAAGCTGGTTCGACTGGCGGATCTGGATGCCGTCGCTAACGAAGGCCAAGAGGTTCGACTTGGCGGTCTGGAACTGCTGCATGTTGACCGGGTTTGCCTGGAGCGCCTGCATGACAGCATTGAGACTGTTAACCTCCTGCTGCTGGACCAGGATGTTGAGGGCGATGCCACCAGCGAGGATCTTGGCCTCGGCGCAGGCGGGGGTGTCATTGGGCGACGGGACCGGGGCAGGGACGGGACTGGCACCTCCTCCCGTCGTCTGGGCGGCCGCCAAGGCCGCGAGGGAGAGAACAACAGCGTAGGTCTTCATATTGGCGTTTTTTTCAAGGGGGCGGCAAAGGTTGTGGTTGTTAAAACAAAACAAAACAAAAGGTTTTACGAAAGTTGATGAAGTGGTAAGTTGAGCCCGTCCTCGGCGAGTAAAGACCGTTGCTGCTAGTGTTGACGACGTCGCCTGTTGTCCGAATCCAGATTCAGTACGGAACCAAGAAGAAGGGGGGGAAAGGAACAAACGGGTAAGCGTCTGTTCTTATAAGTTCAAACGGCAAGGGGGCGCGCACGTATGCCGTGATGCGACCCAGCTTCGCAAAAGGGGGCAAATCATGAGATGAGGCCTGACTTTGGAAGCAGAGGTTGCAATGGCAATACGACCGTGGAGATTGAAAGGTTGGAACGATAGACTTTCCAGAGTGTTTTGTAGCGGTCGTCGGGTCGATTTGCTGCTTGTTTCGAACCTTGACAACGTTGGGACGAAGCCTGGATTTCCCTGATAGTCCAGCCGCACAGACAGATGCATTGAGGTACGGGGTATCAGAGTGGTCACGCATTCCACGAATCAGATTCTGGAGCCATCCGTCGGGACATATTCGTCCCTTTAATCTCAATCCTCCTAGCTTCTTATTCGACCGCAGGTCCGTAGGGCACGTGTCCGAACACGTTGATGGGCCGTGGTTTGCTTGAAAACGCTCGCCCGCTCCCCTTGGTCAGGACAGACGTCACAACCTCACGTCTCGGACTTGGAACTTAGTACTCAAAGAGGTATCCTCTTTCCTGCCACCCTCCCTTCTCTCTCGGCCGTGCTCGGGTTTCCCAGCCACTATACATACGGTCCACTCTTGCCGATAAGTGAGCGTTATGGTTACCACGAAGACCCATGACTCGTCTGATTCACCTGGAGGACGTTTCTCCGGCCTGATATGTCCTACTCCATATAGGCAGGCTCCCGAAAAAGCTTAACGGTTTGATCTGCCGCCGAATGGCCAAACTCACTTGTTTAGTAATGCGCCGGAAACGAATATTAAGGACGTGACAGTCAATGTGGCGCCTCGTACACGACACTATTCAGAGGTCGGTTGCAATGCTTCCACACGAAACCAGCTAAAACCGCGAAGCAGATACTATCAAATACTGCGAATCATCTTTCGTCAACCCAAGTAGTTTTGTTACTGGGTAAAGATAAGTGATGAACTGGTAGGAATTACGACTCCCCTCCGGCCAGAATCGGCTCGTGCATGCTTCTCAAATTGGCCATTCACATGGACCCGTCTCACCCGAGAGGAACGGATGGCAGTTTGGATACCTGTCCTCAAAAGCCAAAGGTTGGCTGGGTTTCATGCCATTAGCCTTTGATTCCGATGCTATTGCGTGGGGATGATATTGTCTCAGCTGGCAATCTGGTAAGGTTCGCACAGTAGGGCTGTCGAATGATTCTTCAATTATTGACAAACTTTCGTGCTGGCCGTTGTATTATTGCATTACTCCGGCTAGCTGACCCTCCGAGCAAAGTATCTGGTAAACCATTCTGCTGCTCGACGCCAGCTTCTTGACCATGCAGTTGCTGTTTCTGGAAATCGTTCCCCGTTTCCCACTAGAGCAACGTTGCACTGCACTTAGGGTACTTGGTCAAAGCAAATCGGCGTCACTCTGACAGTTCTATCATCCACATCTAGGGAGATGCCGTATTTTATTCCTTGTACCGATGCAGACATCTTGTGATAACTGGGATGTTGCTAAGATGAACGGGTTTCGCCCTGCACTTCACAACATGACTTAGAGCCCTCCCCCACCCCACTTGCCTTCGGTTGCATCCGCCTATCCGATGTGATGAGCGGCGCAACATGGCCGGGGCGATCCCGAAAGCCAAGAGGGTGTGAAGGAAACGAAAAACCGGAGAAACGGGCATTGAATAGCATGATGTCTCCTCCCTTCCCCCAAGGTGTAGTACTTACCTATAAGCGCGCTCGGGGTTAAGAGGATAGGAAGAAGTCTCGGCGGGCTGCCGCTGCGCAGAAACAGGTCTTGCCTAGATGCCAACTCGGCCGGCGAGCAGGCAGAACCCGGGGAAAGGAAAGGACAAGGTCCGTCCGGTAAGCTCAAGCTCGTGGGGAATTCCCGCCAAAAAGACGGTTTTCCGAGGAATGAGATGGAGAGTGAGGAACACACCACTTTTTCGGAAAATCCCGTCTGAAGAATGCATGAGGAGAAAACCATAGGGTCAAAGGGCGTCCCAAGTCTGGGTTACCCTGTTATATCGATTCTAGAGGCCTGCTAAGGGGGCCTTCTTCCCGATGGACAGGTATGCCTCCGCGCAGAAACAGATCAGCCATATTGTCCCGCAAGCAACAGAACAAGAGTCAGGGACAGGAGCAAGCCCCTGATTATAAGGCAAGGCCCTCCGCATCAGTTCTGAGGCTTCTTGTCTGCAGGCCCTTTGCCATTATCACGATAGAAATCTTGACGATTTCATGCTGTTAAATGCCGCGTCGTCAATCTCGCAAGTTCATGTCCGAATGCTGGGGCCTTGGAGACTTGCGAGTTTCCGCATGCTGCACATACTTTTCCAAGCGTGAAAACACCCTTTCAGTCGACGGAAGCTTTCGATATTCTACGTTGGCCGTCAACGCATAGTGTGTGCATGGGGGCGACGGAAAGACGGAATGGAAAGAAAGTTACCACACGCTTTAGAAAATAAAAATAAAAACCGGGCAGAAAACGTTCTGAGCTTATGCCTACAATGTCATCAGCCTGCCGCTCGGATGCGCCGCGATCTCTCGCGAGGGGTCGTCCTCCCCCTTATGTCCTCGCTCAGCGAGAAGGTTTCGCTGCTCTGGCTCGAGCGACGCGGTCAGATAAGGATGTCAATGCCGGGACAAGTAGACGCTTCTGTCAAAGAGGAAAAAAAAGAAGAAGAAAAGAAAAACCAACCCTGCGAATACAGCAAATACGGCGAGGCGATCCCGTTGGGATAAGCGGCTTCTCGCATGTGAGCATTTGCAAGCACGGCGGTCGGTCTTGAACGCTGGCGTCACGATACTGAGCACGTCGTCGATCATTTCCCGACCGATCATTGATTCCGGAGCTCCTTGGCGTTTCTGACCGACATACGTATTACTTCGCTCCCAACGTACGGGTACAACAGAGGTTATCTGCCCCAACGCGTCCAAGTCTCCGCTCGACGTCCGCATAACGGCGTCAACGAAATGTCCTCTCGAATTGCAGAACGGCTTGGCGAACTGGGGACAACGCGTCTGGCGCGTAATCGCGTACGAAGCGAGCTGACGAAATCGTCACGGCAACCCTCCCCCTCCCTCCAGTCCCGGAGCCCCCGGCTTGGAAATAAACATTTTGATGTCTGTCGTCCATTCAAGCATTGTTCCCCTCTTCCCCATTGTGGTTCATAGCGTAGTGACTTGATATGCGCCATGAAGAAACTTTCGCCACTGGCGGCGTGGGCTGCGGCGGTCTCGGCAATCTTCAACTCCGAAGACCAGCGAGGACTGCGTTGGGGCCATGGCCCCGAGCATGACGGCATCGTGGGAGCATCTGCCTCCTCCGCGGCTCGACGGCCACAAGCAAAGCATGCTTTCCTGACTGACAAGACGTCAAGTGAGTCGCAGCTCTCGTCTCCCCCATCCTCCCCACCCCGCAACCTTGCAGGGCCGTTGGAAGCGAAACCTGACTTCTTGCCCCAAATAAAAGAGTTTGCGGTCAATGGCACAGGCATCCCGAACGTGGGCTTCGACGCCGGCGAGTCCTACGCCGGGCTGCTCCCCATCGACGCTGCCGCCAGCGACGACGAGATGCAGGAGCTGTACTTCTGGTTCTTCCCCAAAGAGAAACCCTCCGACGACAGGGAGATCGTCATCTGGCTGACGGGCGGCGTAAGAACCCATAACAAAAGCCCCCCTCTCTCTCTCTCTTTCTCTCTCTCTCTATCTCTACGCCGTAGATATATATATATAAAAAAAAAAGGCTGACCAAAATTCGCACCCCCGAGACAGCCCGGCTGCTCCTCCATCGGCGAGCTCCTGCAGGAGAACGGCCCCATCTCGTGGAAGCCCGGCACGCGCGCGCCCGTCCGCAACCCCTGGAGCTGGCATCGCCTCGCCAACGTCGTCTGGGTCGACCAGCCCGTCGGCACGGGCTACTCCCGCGGCCCCGTCACGGCGACCGACGAGCATGACGTTGCGCGCCAATTCCTCGGCTTCTGGCGGAACTTTGTCGACGCATTCGACCTGCATGGCTACAAGGTGTACGTCGCCGGCTCGTCCTACAGCGGGCTGTTCACGCCCTACATCTCCAGCGCCATGCTGGACGCCGCCGCCGACGGGGGGGACGCGGGCGGCGGCGGCGGCGGCGGCTACTTCGACGTTGGGGGCATGATGGTCCTGGACCCCCTGCTGTCCCAGTACGGGCTCGGCCAGGACTTTGCCGTGTCCAGGGTGCTCGACTACTGGGGCCCGGCATTTAGCCTGAACGAGACGGCCCGCGAGGCCGTCCGGGAGATCGAGGACCGGTGCGGGTACAGGGACTACGTCGACAGGTACCTGGTCTTCCCCCCGTCCGGCGTGCAGCCCGTCAAGATTCCCGGGTCGTTCCGGTACGGCGACTACGTCCCGGAGTGCGACGCCCTGACGGTCGTCATCGCGGCCGAGCGCGTCGCGAACCCGTGCTTCAGCGTCTACAACGTCCTCCGCACCTGCCCGCTGCCCTTCGACCCCCTCGGGTTCAGCGAGGGCACGGGCTACTACCCTGCCCCGGAGCCCGTGTACTTTGACCGGCCCGACGTCAAGGAGGCCATCCACGCCCCGCCCGGCAGGGAATGGCAGTTCTGCAGCAGACAGCCCGTCTTCGTCGGCGGCGTCGACGGCTCCCAGACCCCCGGGCCGGGCAGCCTGCCCGTGATCCCCGGCGTCGTCGAGAGGACCGGTAACGTCATCGTCGGCCATGGCCTCCGCGACCTGCTCGTGCAGTCCGCGGGCACGCTGATGGCCATCCAGAACATGACCTGGGGCGGCGCGCTCGGCTTCCAGTCCAGGCCCGAGGCGACGCTGCGCGTCCCGCACCACCGCCACGGCGACGCCGGTAAGGGCAGCGGAGGCGCTCCCGCCGGCGCCGGCGAGCTCGGCGTCTGGCATTCCGAGCGCGGCCTCACGTACTTTGAGACGCCGACCGCCGGTCACTTCCTCGGACGGGACGCGCCCTCCGTCTCCTTCCGGGCCTTGGAGGTTCTGCTCGGCAAGGTGGCCGACTTTGGGTCCGACGCGCCGTTCACGACGGATGCGAAGGAGAGAGTGGTGCTGAGCGAGGAACTGTAGCAACGCTGGGAACTGAAAAGTTTGGTCGCCATTTCGGTTGACCCTTAGTTGTACAAACAATACTCTGGCGTCCCGTAGGGGCGATAGCAAGATTCTGCAAAAGCTTTCCCATGACCTATCTTAACGGAAATACCCTGCTGAATTCCCTGATGGGTGGCGTGCTGGCTGTTTTGTCTGCTGAACCACTCCAGTAACCTCTGGACTGGGGTCCTATTCAATGTGCGAGACGCCGCACCGCGTCTAAAGCCAGTCATCCAAAACTAGTCGGCCAGAACTCGTCTACTAACTTTCAGGTCCCGAAAGTGATCTAATGCGGGGCCCCCCCCTTGAACCCAAAGCCAAGTTCGGGATACCGGGCTCATTGGGATGCGGGTTGCACCGGGTCGATACTGGGTACATAAGAGGTTAATTCAGAGCGAACTGTTTAGCAAGTTTTGAAGTCTCATCGTCCAATTGTTCTGACTACACTTGCTAAACTCTGAGGACTAGAACATCTAGGGCAACCAGCTTGTCCTCCTCCTATCGGCGGCTTCAAACGCATGTCGCAGTGGACACAAACGCATTTTCTTGGAAGGAGCCCTCCGTCCCTTTCCACGTCTCTCCCTCTCAAGTTCTCCAGCGGAAAGCGGGGTGCTTCCAGTCTAGGTCCCGGATCTCTTGCTCCGGCATGCCGGCCAGTTCCTCTTCGATGCTCCGCTCGTCGCGGCGTTTGTTGTCCCACTTCATCCACAGCCAGGCGGAGGTGGCCACGATGAGGATCATGCTCGAGGCCGCAAGGTTGAGGCCGTTGCCGATGGGGTAGTCGGGCGCGTCCTTGCTGAGGAAACTCCACGTCGAGATGAGGCCGCCGACGTTGCCGAACATGACCTGAACAGAGGAACGTTAGCTGTCGCGCATCACTTTGGGAGATCCCGTCCAGGAGGGGGGCAAAGAAGGAACTTACGTTCATGCCGATGGCGCTGCTGCGCGCCGTGTCGCTAACGACGTTGGCGCTGATGTGGGCGTTGGACATGGGACCCAAGACCATTGCCGAGCTGGCGATCAGGAAAGTCGCGCCGTAGCGGACCTTGGCCACCTTGGAGGCGAGGAACATGATGTAGCCGCACATGACCATGGGCGCGCTCAGGGCGATGAGCACCTGGCGCCGGTCGAGGTACCAGCTCAGGCCGGGGAAGGCGAGGGTAAAGAAGGCGCCGACAGCGTAGGGGGGCACGCTGTGCAGCTGTTTCTGGACGGTCGAGTAGGTCGGGTAGATGCTGGAGACGATGGTGGGGAGGAAGAAGGCGAGGCCCTGGACGGTGATGTTGTTGAACAAAAAGATGACGGCGATCTGGAAGGTGACAGGGTTGAACATGCCGCGCTTGAGCTTGGTCTTGTCGATCTTGTCAATGACCTCGGTGGCGCCCACGCGCTCCGACTTGACGCGGGCGATGCAGAGGTCCTTCTCCTCCTGGGTCAGCCACCGCGCTGTCTCGGGGCGATCAGTGAGGGTGAAGAAGGAGATGAGGGAGAGGACGATGGTGACGATGCCCTCGATGGCGAAGATCATGCGCCATCGGTGGAGACCGCCGAAGTGGTCAAGGGTGAGGATGGCGGAGGCCAGCAATCCGCCGAAGGCGCCGGCTAGAGGTGCCATGACCATATACAGCGACAGGCGGAAGGTCAACTCGGCACGCTGATACCACCGGGAGAGGTAGTAGGCAATGCCGGGGAGCATGCCGGCCTCGAAGATGCCGAGCAGGAAGCGAATGCCGCACATGGCAGCGCGGTTGTGGGCAAAGGCCGTGGCGATGGATACGATGCCGAAGAGGAGCGAGGTGATGGGCAGGAACCAACCCGGACCCATCCACTTGCAGGCGACGGTGGCGGGGATCTCAAAGAGGATGTAGGAGATGTAGAAGACGGAGAGGACAATGTTGTAGTCGTAGCCCTTGAGGTCGAGGTCCTTGTCGAGGCCGGCGATTCTGGCGTTTCCTGGGTGGGCGCGTGTGTTAGAAGAGCGTCTGTGACAAATAGCGGCAAGGAGCTTGGCTTACCGATGTTGGCACGGTCGATGAAGCAGAAGAGATACAGCAACGCGACAGTGGGGATGGTGTACAGATCGAGCTTCCAGCGAAGCTTACGGACCGCTACCGGGTCGAACTCGACAAGGGGATGACCATACCTGGCGACGGCACGTCAGTACGGCAAGTCCAGCGAGAGTGAATCCATGCTATGAAGAGGACTTACTTGTCCGTCGCGACCTGGCCCTTTCCGGCTGCGTTATGGATTCCATTACTGATGGGAGCAGCACTGATGGAGTGGTCCTCAACGGCGGCCTCGACCTGGGAGTCCAGGGGCACGTCTTTCTCGGCAGAAGACATGGTTGGCCTCCAGGTATTAGATAGGCGAGTCTTGAATGCAAAGAGACAAGATGTCGTAGTCACCTCGACGAGAGTTGCTGAGAGGAGGTAAGGTTCCGTTTTTTTATGCCAAGAGCAAGTCGTCGAAGCCGACCCAGAGACTCAGAGAAGGAGGTGACACAGAGGTTCCATTTATCCAACAGCGATATCATTCAGGTATTTAATGCAAATTCCCACTTGCAGGGTTGCAATCATGATCCCTGTTATGCAGCGTTCAAAGGGGTAATCTGATGGGGACCACGCTGGAGCTTTGGCGCAGCCGCACCCTCCCTGTTAGGGTATGCAACCTCGCAGATTGGATTTTCCGTCCTGCGGGGTAAGGATTCGCTATCGATGAGGTTGTATTACTGAATGCATTATACCCCGAGAAGATTGGGGCTTCTCCTCAAAATGTGGACTGAGTTGTATCAAAGACGACATGGTGCAGAGAGGCTTTGGACGTCGGTTGAGGGCGGGAGGTCGGATTCGACGATAACACAACTCCTTTGGAATCATGGTGAGATTAGCTTCCAACATTAAGAGATTCAGCCGATGGCTCATGAAGTCGACTCGTGTCCTTGGTGAGAGAGCGTTCCATCTTAGGCTCCTCCGTCTAGTCAAGGCTGGCTTCCCCCACATCTTCCGCCCAGTGCCGCCCTCTGCCGCCCCCGCAATCCCGGGGAAAACACCCACTTGGTTCGTCGTATGCCCCACGTGCCCAGGTCATTTACCCCCAGCTCGGCTGGCCTAGAGCACCAATTGGGTCGCCTCAGTTATAATTCCGGGGGGTCTCGTTGCCGCCAAGCAACCTGGAGCTACTCGACTTCGGCAAGTGGAATCGGCAAGTAGAATCGGCAAGTGAGAACCATGTCGTTTGTGCGAACTGCCAACGTCGACAGCTACGCTGCACGAGTAGTTGGTGCATCCTGAGATAGGAATGAGCCTTCCGAGGAACCGAGTGTTCTAAGTCGGAACAGACGGATGCTTGGTCATTCATGTCAAGAAGAGACCCGCTGGCTGGCCAACCATGTGCAAGGGAGGTTCGGCCGCGATTATCGGGAGTTGGATGCATGCAATCAGAGTTTGGAGCCAGAGGGTTTGACAGACAGGCCGTGCAGTTGGGACGGACCATGAAGCGGTCGGCAAAACGCATTTCCAAGGCCAAAATCTGGCGACTCTTTCTGCAGTAGACAGCGGAATAAAACGGCGGGTAAGAGTTCGGAGACGAGGTTGACGGCAGTCGGATTCAATGTCGAGAGTGTTGCGATGATTGGCAACGTGCTTTCAAGGCTCAGTTCTCCAACAGCATAACAGTAACGTTAATGTCAATGTCGTCCAATGTTCGGTAGTCGGCAGGGCGCGAAAGCATCATGTCGGCACAGTGTTTGAATTCGTGCCGTTGTCCCTCACGTTGCCGGGGGTTGTCGAGGCATGGCACAGCTAATTCTCGCAGAGTGACAGCAACAACAAAGAGACGCCCAGAGCCAAGAGACAATGGTTGACGGTTGACGGTTGCGGAGGGCTAACGCGGCTAAGCTGTGTGGGCTTTTCTTGCGCATCCACGTGGGACCGATGCGTCGTTGAAACATGGCAAGCGCTCCCACATGGTCGAGGAACGAGGCTTTGGGACATGCCAGTGAGCCATGCGGGTGAGACTGAGCGTCAGGAACGGGCTTGGCGCTGCGCCAATTTCGATGCCCGACATGCTCAAGAGCCGCATCGCCGGCGACAGACGACATGATTGCGAAGGCATCTAGGCATCTAGGCATCTAGGAGCGACGACGGGCAGTAAGGAGATGCCGAAGCGAGCTGATTAGTCGACAGGGTCCTGGCCTGGCATAAGGCTGCGTCGCGGTGTGACTTTGGCAGCAACGAGGACCGGCGATGGCCTAGATTGGATAGGTTTACAAGGTTTTCCGGCCTCTGTTGGTCAGCAATTGTGTGAAGCCGTTAGCAATTACCGTCGGGAAGGGCGGGAAGCTTATTGGCCCCTCTCAAAGTCAGTATTCCCATCCACACCGCAGACTATCCGCCATTCGCGATCCTCCATGTGACGGGCAGTAGTGGAGAACAGGTGGTGCACAGCGGCATGCGCGCAACTCTTTGAAGCACAGCATATATGTAAGAGGTGCTTGATGCCAAATGGCCGAGCAAGCGTGGATGACCTCGACAGGTGGCATCGCCAGCACGTCTCAGGGGACGTCAGTCATGTTGACAACGGACCCCATGGTGGTGGCCTGGGACCCGTAGCGGGGACAGGGTAGACGAGCGGGCCAGGCGACGAGAAGGATGAAGAAGGTTGGCAAGCTCGTTGGACAGAGCCAATATGTCGGACCCAAACGGCGAACCTATCGCACTGCGGTGGTTAGACCTGGTGCTTGGTTAGCTGCTCAGCCCAGTCCGAGGTGGCTGCTGCCACGTAGTGTCCGGACGGGGCCGTCGTCTCAGACCCCGAGCTGGGACGTGCGAGACTCCTGGAGGAGCAGAAGATCTTGGGCGATCAGGAGGCGGGCGTGATGGACATGCCGCGAGGAAATCCTCAGGGGCGGGGGGGGGAGCTGAAGAATTGGAAACGAACGGCCGGAGAAGGCCAAGGGTGATAGCATGGCAATTCGGGGTGCGGTGCCACTGTCACCTCTTGGTCCCTCTTGGCCCCTCTTGGGTGTGTCTCGGAAAACCCTGTTTCGACTTGTTGAGTGTGCTCGGAAGTGGTATCTACCCTTCAGCTCCAAGGAAGAGGGAGGGTTGAGTACGAATAGACGGGGAAGAGAGAGGGAAGGGAAGGGGACGAGTGGGGAAAGAGGTGTGGGCCGTGGCCCGTGGAGAAGGAGCACGAATCAGAGGTGCGGAGTTGGTTGGAATCTTGATTAGCTAAGTCACATCAACCAGGGACGGGACCCACGCGGACCGGATGACAGCCGAGTGATATGATTGGCTGCTTCGCCTCGTCGGCGCAGCTCTAGTGACCAGGCGGCCTCGCTTAGCAATCTCTAGCGGCCAGCAATCACTGAGCCATGCAGTAAAGGCCAATTCGAAAAACAAACCGACTTGTATCCGTATTCCTGACAGAAGAGTGACGGCGGCTTCGACTTCGTCGTGCGCTCCGAAAACAGTGACAAGTATGAAGAGTTCAAATCTCTAAGCAGAAGTAGAATCGAGATGGACCCTCGTCAACGTGTCAATCTCCCCATTCGTGCATGCGCTTCTCGGTTTGTGTGTAACCGGCGGCGGATCATCTGTACCCGGTGCGTGCTCGCCGCCCAGATGACGTGAGACGCTCGCAACGCCCCGAGAATGGCGCCCCCTCCTCCACTTTCCCCCCCAAATGCGCGCACCAAAGCTGTGCCGGTATCCTGACCTGTGCGCCTCTGCCCTGCTCCTTGGTTCGTTCGTGGGGTGTTGGTGTGTTTCCCAAGCTTTTTTGTTCTCTTCCTATCTTTTTTATCCTTTCCCCCCGACCCTCGACCCTCGACTTTTCTCCCACTTGGACACTCCCGGGCTGGGCTGGGCTGGGTAGCGCAGCAAGTCGGAAGGGTCCTAGCCCGGGGTGGCTGTGACCCTGTCACCGCCATACCTTACTTAGCTTGGCCCATGATCCAAGGAGAATGGCTATCTTTTCGCCCATCCTTCGCTCTCGGCACTCCCCGTCAGCAGGCCTCGTCATTGTCTTTTCTTTTTGATTTGTTTTTCATTTCTTTCGTTTCTTCCCCTTCCTTATCCCCCCGCTCGCATCTGTCATGCGAGCTACTCAACCACCAAACACCGGCCCATTGACGCTTCGCAAACCTAGCCTACCATCACCATCCACATCGCAACTTGGAGCCGACGGAGTCCTACGCAGATAATCATCCGAAACTAAACGACATATACCACCCAGCGGCCCCTCGGCCTTCCACGACGAGATGCTCCGCAAGAAGGAGGTTTACACGACCGTCACGCCCATCCCGGGCTTCATCCCCCGCCAGCTCGCCATCGACATCCTCCACTCCCACTCCGAGGTCATCACCCTCAACCCCCTCGTCCTCGACCACAAGCCCATCAAGGCGCCCCGCGATGCCGCCTCGGATGAGTACTACTCGACCTGGTACGAGATCAGCCAGCGCATCCAGTACGTCCCCGGCATCGGCAAGATGGGCTCCGGCAAGATCAGCTTTAACGGCTGCTTCCACGACATGCCCTGGGGTCTGCAGACGCACACCTACGCGCCCATGAACATCGACATCCGCATCAAGTATCGCATCGACGGCAACCAGCCCGGCGTCGAACCGCCCCATCCACCCGAGATCGGCACCACCGGTCTAGGCATCCCCGCCGACGGCCTCTACCTGCGCGAGGACATTGAGATCCGCTGCAACGTCACCATGGTCAGCTTCGTTAAGGCCCAGCTAAAGGCCGCCAGCAAGGAGATGGTCTCACGCATCATCAAAAAGGCCGAGCTGCTCGACGCCGGCGTTCTGCAGGCCATGATCGAGAACGGCAGGCTCCGCACCATCAACCCCGCCGACCGCACCACCACAGGGCTGTCCGGCCTGCCCTCGCCCTCCTTCGCCAGCCTGAGCCCCGACGCCGCCAGTCCGAGACCCGATTGTCACTCGTCCCCCACGCCGTACCACACTCCGAGACCCGTATCGTCCTACAACGCGAACCCGCCACCCCCGGGCCGCTTCGGCCACCACTACAGCCATTCGGCGGACCTGCACTCGCAGCAGGACGCCCCGCCGACGTCCTTCATCGCCGAGCTGCCGGGCAACTTCTACCACCCGAATCCGCCGCCGCCGCAGCCTTCACCCGGCCTGGGCCCTGACCGCGACTCCCTGTCGCGGCCGTCCTCCCAGCAGTCGCCGGACCCCAATTCGTGGCGCTGGTCCCAGGGCCAGCGGAGCCCTTCCTCGCAGCAGAGCTCGCGCCCGACGAGCATGGCGTCGTCTGAAGCGAGCAGCGGCTTCGCGAGCCCCGCCCTCGACCACAAGGGCTTCTCGTCCGAGCTGCCTACCCACGCCGAGACGCAGGAGGAGCACCGCGGCGGCCGCGGTGGCAACGTCATCAGCAAGGTGGATGAAGCTACCTCAGCGCACAAGGTCCTGAGGCCTAAATCCTACCAGGCGTACCAGCCCTACACCTACAATCCCCGAGATTACGCGCCCATGGGACGATGAGGGGACTGTTTACGACCTGTTCGTTACGGCAGGATCCACGGGTAAAACGGGTGTTTTTGGGTTCAGGTTAGCAGCGGGGTGGGGCGGGGGGGGGGGGGGGGGGGGGTTATGGTTTTATTTTTATTTCTATGTTGCCTGGCATGGTCGGCTCAAATGATACCGCTTTGTTTTTTTATTTTTTTTGGATTTGCTAATGGGGGGACCATGGATGATGATATCTCGCTGGGCCACACGACTGCCCACTTTGGAGGGGGGGAAAAAGGCGTTTGTCACTTTAATTAATCGATACTCCGTCCCAAATGGACCACACGCTTTACTCCATTGGTGTCCATACAAAGGAACGTCTGGCCGCGCGCTCCGTCTGATAGCGTCAAAACCAAGGGGTTCCGGGCATCGTGACTGCGAGCCGTGGGCGAACGACAAAGGCGCCTGTCCTCCGACGCCGGGCCTAGGTACCAGAAGCCGAACTGCGTCTAGCACCGCCTCAGTTGCTGCCTGCCAAATACGAACCGACGAGTCGTCGTTCGCAAGGGGGTAGGTAATACGGGAAGGGTGGGGTGGGGGGGGGGGAGGGTTAGGGATTCCCCCGGCAGCTTTTCAAGGTTTGTGCTTCGTTTGTTTTTCTCGATAAATCGAAGGGCCGGCTACGCGGCACCGCCTTTTTTCGCCATCGCAAGATACCTAATAGGAAGAAAAACAGAGTTTCCGAATACTTAAAATGAGGAAGGAGGGAGGGCGGCAAGCAGCTGAAATTCACGGAGACGCCCGAGGGGCCGTGCGATGCGACGGGACGGACGGTTGAAGGAAAAGGGGAGGGGACATGTGTCATGCATCTTCCTTGTCATCTGCTACGCGGTCCACCCCTTCCGGGACGAAACAAACCCGGCAAACCACTGCCCAATGCGGGAGGAAACGGCCAAAACGAAAAGAAAGAACAAAACAAAACAAACAAAAAAAAAAGGAAAAAGAAAGAAAAAGAAAAAAAAAAAGGGAGGAAGGAGAGAGAGAGAGAGGGAGAGAGAGAAGAGGGTTCGAAGCGCCACATCCCACGGGGGCCTAGAGGGTAAGGCGAGGTGAGGCTCGAGAAACCCAAATTGTCGAGACGGCCAATGGGGGTCGTGTATGAGGGGCCCGGGTTGCTCGTGGACCTGCAGCGCGCCGGCTGGGATAGTTAATACCTACGTTTGACTTCGAATCCTTCAAGCAAAGCTTCTGCATGTGGCTGACGCCGGGCAGTACCCAGGGCACCCCCCTTCGTTGAGGGATTCGTAGGGAGCAGCAAGTCAAGAGGTCACTTTCGCGGCAAGGAGAAAGGGCAGACGGGGGCGATCAGGAAACCGTCCCTAATATTTAAGAAACCGAGGGGGGGAGAAGACGCCAAAAGCTGCAAACAAAAATGCGATAAGAACGTATGATACATGAGACCCTCAACCCCTTCCCCTCCTTGGGTCCGTTCAAACATCCCACATGCCGGCTCTGTAGGTAATTAGCCCAGAGCATCATTGTTCGAGAACACCGTGAAATCATAGCATATGCCCCTCCCCCAAACCTTCTGGGATCTGAGCCCTAATCCGTCCAAAGTATGGCCGGCGTACGAATGCCCCCCTCCACCCCCCCCTATATCACATCGCAACGAGCTCACGAGACGGGGTTCTTGCGGGGACGGCCGCGGCCGCGCTTCTTGGGGGGCTCGCCGTCAACCTCGGCGGTGACGGCGTCTTCCGTCTTCTCGGCCTCGTCCTCCCCCCCGTCGCGCTTTTGCTTCCGGGCCGGCCTGCCCCTGGGCTTGGCCACCTTATCAGCTTCCTCGTGCGCTTCGTCTTCCGTCGCCGGCTCCGACACGGTGGATCTGCGAGGGCGGCCGCGGCCTCTCTTGACGGGCGTCGCGACGCTCTTGACGTTCTTTTCGCGTCCGCCCTTCAACCTCCAGTAGTTCTCGACGTGCTGCCGGGCGTACACCTCCACCTGGCTCTCGGGCTCCCAGGAGCGGTCCGGCGACCCGATCCAGTACACGCGAAAGTAGATGGCGCCCGAGGGCTTCTGCTTGTGCTTTTCGACCCTCAGCACGTGCCACAGGTTCTTGTCCGCCATGGCGCCTAGCCGGCCGCCCTCGACGCTGTCCCAGTAGGCAAAAAGCGCTTCCTCGGCGTCCTCCTGGATCGTCTGCTCGGGCTCCCACGTCGGATCGCCGTGCTTCCAGCTGACTCGCATCTGGAAGAGCGTCTTGTCTCTCGGATCAGGGCGGTGCCCGGTGATCTTGTCAAGCACAAAAACGCCCGCCTTGGGGTCGTCCATTTCCACGTCGTCGTCATCAACCGCCTCGGGGGCGGCATCCTGGGGAGCCGCAGCAGCCTCGACGGTGTCTGTGTCTGCCTTGTCGGCAGCAGTGGCGACGTTGATTTCGGCGCCGTCTGCGGCCGGAGAGGGAACTATGCCGGGGGTGAGCGTCAAAACTTTGGGGCGCCAGATCGCATCAGCTCTTACCTTGGACGTCCTCCTTCACGGGGCTCTGGGCGCGGATCTCCTCTGCCTCGGCCTCTGCATCGAGCTGGTTACCAAGCTGGATCGTGGTATCGTTGTCGTTGGCAGCGTTAATGTTATTATCCGTCTCTTCGTCGGCAGGCGCGGGCGTCTCGTCAGCTTCGGGCTCCCTGCTGCGCTTGCGGCTCACGATAGTCTGCTCGAATGTGGAAGTAACGGTGGTGGTTGTACCGGTGCGCTGTACGCCGAGCTTGTTCACGGCGGAATGTAATGTCTTCCGCACGGATGAGAGCACATTGGACCCAGTGCGCTGTGCGGTGGATTCCGGGGTAGACGAGGCTGCTTCGGCATCGGGAGTTGCTCCCTCGGCGATGGTCGGCGCTGGGGCCGTGTCGGCGGCATCTGCGGGCTCGGCGAGAGGAGCATCAGCTGTTACAATATCGGCGGCAGTGCTGCCATCAGCACCAGCCGAGTCGACGCCGGCGGTGTCGCTCAAGGCGTGACGGGGTGAGGGGCTCACGGGGAGGTGCGGGGAGGGTCGTTGAGAGGGCGGAGAGTGTGATGGCGACGCATCCGATCGGGGGGTTTCAGTGGCGCTGATGTTCATGACGCGCTTGCCCGGGTGCGGCGACTGCGAGCCGGAGGGTTTGGCGGGGGAAGACAGAAAGTTATGAGCGCTGTGCATCAAGGTGGTCTGCACCTTCTTCACAGGCTGTGTACCGTTCGGCGGCGCGGGCGATTCGGTTGTACGGGCCATGACGAACGGATTGGCTTGGTTCCAGGAAACGTGCTGAGGGTTTTGCGCGCGCGCTCGCGGATGTCGTAAGGATGGCGATGCGCCGGCCGATTTACACGACGTCGATAAGAGAAAGTCAGAGGGCAAAATATCCTGCTTTGTCTTTGGTGATGGCAGCGGTGGGAAAGCAGCGATAGACGCGATCAATTGGGCAGACTGAGTATCTGCAACGCGGTGCGACGAGGTGATGGGCTGACTGAAGCCTCGTTGTGAGACGTGGAAGGTGGGAAAAATGGGGGACGAGATGCAGCTCTTGAGTCGCGCTGGAGGAGCTTTGGCCGCGGGTTCTATGGAGCTGTCGGACACAACGGCAGTACCGTACCTCCGCGTACTTACCTAGGTACCCACCTAAGTAGGTAGTGTAGGTAGGTACCTACAGTATGCTGACGTAAGGGGCATGACGCGACGCGATGTGACATCGCCTATGGGCCCGTCGGCAATTCGCTCGCTTATTACCTAGGTAGCCTTTAGCCGGGGAATCTACCTAGTGTAGTACACGTACACGTGATTTCCACCAGTCTTCGGTGATCATGGAAAGGACGGAAATTAAATGCATAATTTGGGCGCTACCACTGTTGCAATTTATCTTATTGTGGTTACCCATGAAAGGAAACTCAACATCAGCATCGGTTTATCCGAGAAAAAGCGAGACGAGTGTCACGCGCGACCCGAATATAGGATATCAAGGTCTTCGGAACTGCTCATACTGCAAACAGGCAATGTTCCTCCACGATCACTCCATCACGAGCATAGCACGAAGGGATACCGCATGTCTTGATTCGCGAACATGATGGCAAGAAGCGTGGGACTCTGCTCTGGCTTCTTCCATCCGACATCGGGAACGAAAATAGTCTGTAATAGGCAAGGACAGATTTATATTGTCTTGGATCATTTCGACAAGTTTATCCCCTTGGCTACGGACATAACGAGTGGGCAGCATGCATATTTACGCTCATGTGGTGTTAAATGTAGCTCAAGGAGGTATCAAAAAGGTTGTCCCCCTAGAGCCTCATCATCGAGACCAGGCTTTTGAGTAGAAGAGCACCATATTGACAATTCTCAGATTGCCGAATCACCAATTTCAGTGTCATGCTGCAGCAGGAACGCTTCCCTGGCCTTTCCCCGGCTTACGGGCATATACCGCGTGCCTATCTGATGTGTCAGTCACGGCCCAGGCAATGCGGTCCTCGGTTGTACATACATGTAATAGAACGGCATGTTCCTCGGGTTGCGAAGTGCAGACCTCATTTCCGCAAGCGTCACTTGCACTTCTTCGTAAGAAAAGCCCAGCGCTTCTTTCAGCAGGAAGAGGCCGAAGCCTTCCAGCGCTTGCTCGATGTACTCCAGATTGCAGATGCCCAGCTGCTTCATGTCGGGCTTGGCGGGCCAGGCCCCGATCGGTATGGTCCACTTCAGCTCGACAATGTCGACGAAGCCGGCCTCCCTCAGGCCCTTGGCGAGCCTGCGGTTGGCGGCGTTGCCGTGCGGCTTCCCCATCTTGGTCGAGGCGATCTCCAGGTAGCTGTACCACCGCTTGAAGATGTGGTCCTCGCCCAGCTCGCCCAGTCTCTGAGATCGCGCTTCGGGGTCGAACTCGATGATCTCGAACCACCCGCCCGGCCTCGTGTTGTCGTAGATCTGCTTGAAGAAATTGGGCAGGTCCGCGATGCAGCCCTCGAGATTGCGGGCGTGGATGAAGTCGAAGGGGTATGAGAACGTCCACGGCTTCTCGAAGTCGTCGATCTGGAACCTGCAGTTCGGAGGGACCCACAACGGCTGGATCGGCGAGATGTCAATGCCGATCACGTCGGCGGACGGGAACCGGTCAGCGAAGTCGCTTTGGGGGAGAACTGCTTGTTAGATGCCGGAGCGCTGTGCAGAGTGGGTTTTCTTCCAGCTCACATGGCCCAGATCCCGGTGCCAGTGCCGAGATCCAATACTTTCTACTGGCGGTGTCAGCTACTGCATCGCTCAACGAGGCCGTGGCAAAGAGAGCCTTTCTCACCTGGGGATTATCGCCAATCGGGGCCACGAAGAGTCTATCGCCTAAGAAGTCGGTAACCCAGTAGTGGCTATATTGTTACACCCCGAGTCAGCATGTGTCCCCCGCATGTTCCGGTTACTTTCTGTGTCGGTTTGAGCTTGTCCGTACTTGAAATCCAGGGCATCGTTCTGCTGGTCATCATTCGGTGCGAAATAATCCGTCTTTTGGGTGTAGGTTCGGCCGTGGAGTTGGCGGTACTCGCGGACACTATCGGTAACGGAGGCCGTAGAAGAAGTCAACAGACTGATTGCAAGCTGGTCAGAACGACGTCTTTCAGGCTCTCATTCGGCATCGTGGTCAACCAACCTCTGGATCTCATCAGGATCATAGTCGTCTTCAACGGCAGGGTCCTGATAGTTTGTGCGAGTCAGCATGCCGATCGGCGTATGCACGCAGGTCCTCCCCCCAGAGCATTCTGCGAACAACAGCAACAACACCACTCGAGGCCACTTACTGCGTGGATCGGGTCGGCGGTCGGCTCTATCTCAGCCGGGGTGGATGCCATGGTTTGATGTATACTGTCCCTGGTTCCTGACAGCTTCGGCGAAACCCTCGAGCTTTCGGACTGTTTTGAAACGAGACGACGGGAATCACCCCAGACGGGGGCGGAATGGGGAGAAACGCGCTCTTTAGTACCGGTACACTACTGCCTGTCCAAGGTTTGTAAGTTCTTTGTACATAGTAGATGCCGGCAGCCTGCTGATGTGTGTATGTTCAGACCATCAAGGGTGGCCCCGGGTCGCATCTGCGAGCCAATGGGGTACCTATTTCGATGCTTCAAGCCTGCAGTGGATCGTGGACGCTGACCTTTTTTGGGCAGGGGGGGTGTGATTGGCGATCGAGTGCCCACCAAAGCGAAGTAATTCGGACGATGCAATCGCTACACTGCCTTGCTACGTGGATGTACCTGTTAAAAACACATGCCACATGCTGCTACCTGATAGAGACGCATCAGGAAAACCCTGTCATAAACCTTGTCGTAAACATTGTTGAATGGGATTTGTCTGAAAGTGCTGCTAGGGCCTTGTCGCTGTGGCTGGAGGCGAAGGACGATGACATAAAAAGCGTCTTGTTTGCCAGAATTCGAAGGGGAACTGTAGACCACAGCCCCTCCGGTGGAGATTCATCACAAGGTGTCCAGGTTCAAACATGTCGTCTCAAGAATCGGCCCATGTTTCTAGTATACAGTCAGCGAAGCAAGTCTGTTGCTGTTCGATGCTGGAACGAAGTCCATTTGCTTCATTTCCCTCGAATTTATAGTCAGACGGGGACCAATCGATCAATTGGGTATCAATATCGGCACGATGCGGCTTGGCTGATTGTCAGCACCTTAACAGGCACTTAAGTCGGCCATGCGAGCTGCTCAATCTTGTTGAACCCTGTATAATGGATATATAATGAATACTCCATGGCTGGAAAGAGCTCTCTTGTGTTATCGACAATGGGACGATGCCGTGGGACGGCGCGAGAAAGCTGTACAATGGTCGGTGATGGTGATGTACCTAATTGATGTGATGCCCCGCAGCGGATGGCGGGGCTTATCTCCGATAAGACCCACCACCACCCACGTGATCCACTCGGGCGGTGGATATGTCTCTCTCACCTTTTAAACAAGGCAACCCAACCCCAAATAGCTTCATTTCTCCCTTGCGCATAATTGAGAAGAGCCACGATACCCCAATTATTCATCACCTCCCTTCACCAACCTAACTCCCCAGTTTGCATCACATGTAAACCAGATCACGGAGTGTCGTATGTTTTATTTTCTTTTCTTTTCTTCGTCACGTACGGGAAGAGGCAGGGGAAGATACTGGGCATCACGGATGGATATAATGCAAGTGAAGCCAAGCAGGATTGTAGTTCCAGCCCGGAGCAAAGTCTCGATATATAGAAGGACCCCCGCAAGAGGCGGCCGAGAGGCAGCGGATGCGAATATCCGTCCGCATCGAATATAATCATTGCTGCTGCTGCTCTTTGTCGACATCCTGAATATCTTGCCTAATTTGCCGCAAGTAATTTATCCGAGTCCACAGCATCGTCGTCATTGTACGATGTAGTTGAAGACCGGCGGCAATGGAAGGGACGGGAAACTCTGCCGATAGCTTACCGGTATCATGACCTGTCCCGGCGGGCTATTTTTACCCTTTTGTCTTTGCCATGTAATTGGACCGAGGGTCCAACCCAACGTCCACTTCCCGTGGCACCCCGGACGCAACTCACGGCAATCAATCCAGGGCAACTCCTAGTCTGGTAGCTCCCAGAGACTCCATCCCACTCGTTCTGCACGTAGCGTTCATTCATTGCTGCCCTGAGAGCAAGACGACGGCGCCAGTTTTCCTCCCTCTTCGAATATGTATGTGCATTGCGGCCATCAAAACCGGAGGCTGGGAGGGAACCTCTTGGAAGAAAAGAAAACCCGAGCTCACGTCGAGTTGGGGGGGTAGAGGGGGATTTTAGTGGGGAGGGGAGAATCCACCCACCGTTCCCAGCCACTGCAATTGTCGCCGACACGTATTATTACACTCGTCAAAACTGCACGTAACAAAATGTGGTGCGATTTGAGTGGACAAGGAAATAAATTGTTAGTGTCTCCCAGCCACTCGGAATCTTTGCCAGAGATAAAAAAACATCCAGACTGGCCATGAAAGTCCGGGAGCCGTCAAGAACAAACCTCCCGGGAATGCAAATGTGTCTGTGGTTCCCTTCTCTCCGTTTCCGCTAGCCTGTCTTCCGAACTTTCCAACGGCTCTCATTCTCGCGTGTTTGGTTTCCCGTCTCCGAGTGAAACTCCAAACGGGGTTTTTGTCTATTCTACCTCTTGTCAACCGTGTGGTGCATCTCACACAGACACTCACTCAAACGATCGCTCTCTTTCTGTCCCATCTTGCAACCTCCGAGGCCCTCCCCTCCTCCCCAAGCCGCCACCAAATTTCGCCCAAGATCGACTCCGCAAGGGACGTCGACCCTGTTTCGTTCGCCATCATGGCCATGGGACTCCAGCAGCAGCAGCACCACCAGGGCTCGCCCCCAATGTTCCCCGGCGACTTTGTCGAGTACGGCCAGCAGTACGACGCCAACAGCGACCCTTCGCGCCAGCCCCGGGACGAAGCGAGGAACGGCCGGTATCGACGACCTCGCTCGTCCTCGCTCGACGACGATTCCCGCTTCACCACCGCCGTCGGGGGAGGAGGACACGGTGAGGGCCAGCGGACACCGGATTCCGACGCTGCCCTGCGCGACGCCGTGCTCGCCCAGGCACCGAACACACAGGTAAGTACGGACAGGCACTGCCAAGTAAATAAACCCTGAGAGAGAAAGAAGGGGGGGGGAAGAAATGAAAAAGAGAGGGAGAAGGCGGGAAAAGCAAAACAGGGCGAAACATGCAACCAGCCTGCATTGAACATCTCACCCAAACGCACATACACTTTCACTCTCGTATTCTTACTCACCGACTCACCGACCCACCCAACAACTCTCTCTCTCTCTCTCACTCACTCACTCACTCATTCCCTCATTCACTAATTCACTCATCTGATTGATTACCGCCTGCCACAACCCAACACCCCCTCCTAACTCTCTCCCTATGCATATTTCAACCACAGCCACATCACTCTCATGAGAACATGCACAGTCTGACCGCCATGCAGCAGCGAGTCGTCCCAACAGGCCCCGGCGCCCGCGGCGGTCAACCCCGCGCCGCGGGCCCCCGAAACGGCCCGCCCTCCATGGCCAACGCATCGCAGAACCGCCGCTCCCAACCGCCGCCGCCCGTGCCGTCGCAGATGTCGCCCTACATGGGCGAGACCCAGGACGAATGGAGCCCCGCCTCCAGAGAAGCCGCGAACGGGGGCGCCGGCGGCTACTCCCGCCGCCGCACAGAGCGTCACGCCCGCCGCCAGTCTTCCTCCTCCGGCGGCGCCCGCGCCCCGGGATCCTCGGACCTGCCCTCCTCTTCTTCCGTTCCCCACATCAACGGCGGCGGGTCGCCCCGCGTCTCGTCGCAGCAGCCGCAGCAGCAGCAGCAGCAGCAGGAGGTCCCGAACCAAGGCGGCGGCCTCCGCCCGCCCACCCCGCCTGGCGGCGGCTCTCTCAGCGACGAGATCAGCCGCATCCAGAGCCCCAGCATCTCCAAGAGCGTGCTCGAGCCGCTGCAGCGCAAGATGCTCGAGTACCACACCCTCATGGAGGACGCCCAGGGCCAGATGGCCCAGCTCGACGAGGAGCTGCGCGCGCTGCAGGACCGCCGGCGCCTCGCCGAGCAGCGTTTCATCGACGCCAAGGCCAAGCACGACGAGTACGAGCGCCAGCACCTCGACGTCGAGCGCGCCCTGCGCGGCGACTTCCCCCCTCCGCCGCCGCCGCCCCAGATGCAGCAGCACCAGCAACAGCAGCAGCACATGTACAACGGAAACAGCCCGCCGAGAACCGCGCCCAGGCCGGCCTCGAGCATCATGAGCTACGACGAGCGGCCGATGAGCGGGCACAGCTCGGTTCCCAGGAAGGGAAAGCTGCGGTTCAGCCTCTTTGGGAGGTAAGGGACATGGACAACTTTTTTTTTTTTTGTTGCTCAAAGGGGGTTGCTCTTTTTGTGCTCCCCAAGCAAGCGGCCACAGAGAAGGGGTTGCTTCTTGTTTCTTGTTTCTTTTTCTTCTTGTTTTAATATCTTGATAGATATTTGGCGGGTTTGACACTCGGGAAACGGCAAATATGGACGAAAGACAAAAACACCACGACGGGACGGGAGGGGTGTACGTAATGACAAGGGACAAACGTAGAATACGGCATAAATGAGATCATATGTTTACAGGCAACCTTTTGTGGCCATGATCCGGGTCCATGCATTGCGGATGCTTGTTGTTCGGCATGCCCCCGTACGTAGGCATCCATCCGGGCAGCAAATGTTGCCAGAGCGTTTGCTGGCGGAACAACAAGCCAAGCCGGTATGTATGTATGCGTCATCCCGCAAAGAAGAAAGTGCCGGAAGATGGCAAAAGAGCGGTGTCGGAAGAGCTTGCGGCGGCCATGAATCCCAGGATCTGGGGTATATATGTCCCCTCTTGGGCCCCATGAGGAAGAAGTCATTCCGGTGCGGCATCCTCACCCCCAAGTTCTATATACATCCTCACTCCTACCTACCTGCCTCTATGGCACACCTCCTGGCAGATATATGCCTGGCTGCAGGGTGAGCTTCTCCCATTACCGGCAGCCACCCATGGGCACCCTTACCGGGTTATGCCCAGCTAGCTTAGGGGCTGCTTCGCTCTTCATCTCCCTCTCAACCTCCCTATTAACCTCTCCCTTAATATTCCTCTTCTTCATCATCAGCTTCACCTACGGAGCCTACCAAGTTGGGAGGGCTTGATGACAGCCCTCCTACGGCGGACGCGGACCCACGCGAAATGTGGAGAGAGTGGAATCATGACAATGTGCGTGACAACGCACATGCCACTCCCCTCGAGAACGGACGCATTATCACCATCTAGTCCGAGGATCACAACTATTGCCTCTCTACACATACGAATGTACCAACCGTTGACTCGCACCAATCCAGATACGACCAAAGATGATTGCTCCGGCTCAACCTGTAGGCGAATGGAGTGACGCGTCCGCGAGACAGAACTGGACGCAGACATCCAGGCGGCTCCTACTCTTTCGTAACAATACCGCGCGCAGTCTGGCAATCCTGAGATACTTTCGGGACGATTGTATCGACTACAGCAAACAAATCGACCGACACATAACCGTGTCAGAACCGTCAGGGCATTTATACATGCCCTCTGGCATCATCATGCCGGCCTCACTGTTGGTCAGACATACAAGATCATGAAAAGACTATTACGCGTCACACTTTAAGGTTCATGTCTTCTACAAGAAGACAAAATCGACGCGCCATCCCACCGCATTGACGACACCGTTGCAGCGGGTTCCGTGCAAATTCGAAGGACCCAGCCACTGCTCGCAACATGATACTCATGTCGTATTCTACAAACATGCGCCGCCTCACGATCGATAAGAAGAACGCAGAGGTTGACACCATGTCTGACATGAACGAGAACGAGGACGGCCAGGCAAACGACGGCAAGACGAAGATGGTCTTTAATCTTCCCTGTCCCATGGCGTTTAACGTCCTCATGGGTTTAGGGTTAGGGTTAGGCATGCCCGCTCCGTTACGCCGAGGCAGAAGGAGCTTCCCACTGGCAGCCTTTTCTCTTCACCATCATAAGTCTCCGCCGCGGCAAGTAACCCTCCATGTTTGCTGTATCTTGCACTGGCAGAAGATCATCCGCTGGCCTTCTCTTAGTGGGACTGGCCGCCCGCGCTGTTTAGTATCGTGTACTACATTCTTGCAACAGCCAGGCCAGTCCAACTCTAAGGTAATGGACACCTTGCTCCTCGTCCAACGCCTCGACAAAATTACTGTGTTTCGTTTGTGTACATTTATTAGCTTCAGCTACGGTTGAGGCAAGGTATGCACGTTACTGCCTCCACATCTTACCCATCGTGAACCGCCATATTCCGACTGCCAGGTGAGTTCTCCGCCTTTCCTCCGCACAGCCTTCGCCGTCGCTAACTCGATGCAGGCCCAGAATGATCTCCGACACCGGTGAGATTTACAAGCGCCTCAACACCGACCAGCCTCTTCCGGAACACGGTCAACAAGATCCTTCGTTGGTGTCATAGCTTACCATCTCGTACGTCGTTAAAGCTGGTCGAGGCATCGGGATAGGGGGTAGGCCGGCCAGGGACGTGGGACTTGTTGCCTTTCCACTCTACACCAGTACGGAGCCAAGGGTTAGGGCGTAGGAGTCCTCCTAGTCGACGTCCTCATACTCTCCACTCCTCCAGGGAGATGGGATGGTCGACCTCCCATCTCTCTCCACTAGCACTGATGGGTAGTTGGCAGCGAACGCCCTCTTCAGATGTCGCTTGGTCGGAGTCTCGAGTTATCCGATGGCGGCCATACCCAGGGCATCCACTCAGCCAAAGCTCCGGAAGCGATGCCGTCCGCAACTACTACTTCCATCTTATCTTCCGTCTGCCCGCGTGCGCGCGCGAGATGACAGTCGCGCCATCGCTCTGGGAGAATCGATTCTCCAGAGCCTTACCACCACGGCTGACCCTTGCTACGAGGGCAATCCAGAGTCGGTCATACCTACCCCGACATTCGATGGAGTTTGTGAGTGGCCGTCTTCCACCTGCTGCTGGATGCCCGGCGGTGATCTAGAAACAAGGTGGCAAAGAGCTCCAACCTAGATGCCCTGAATCGGCCTCACCAAGGATTCCCAGCAATGCTCGGCAGCCGAACTGGGATCCAACCCGATCCCGACAACGAAGCGCTGTTCGATCCCTTCTTTTGGTAAAAGGCGCTTGATTATTCGGAAAGTGAGATGAAGGTGACGAGGCTTGCAGACTCGTCGTTCAGCGACGAGTTTGGAGCCTACCACTTCCTCCACGAAAAAGGGCTTGCTCACCTCGACACTGCGGGAGTTCTGGAGCCAGATCGGGAACCAGACCGTCGTCCAGGGTGTGTTGAGCGACCGCCCGACTACTCTCGATTCGTTCGAGTTTTCGCGCCGTGTCTTTGTCAATCGAGACTTAGCTGGTCATTTCGGAGTATTCTTCTGGAAGCTATTCGGGCGCAGCCCGGCGGTCAATTCTCTCTTGATTCAGGCGTTCGGTGTTCAGAATGTCGTTCCTTGCGACTGTTGCGCTCGGGGTTTCCAGAAGCATGTCGGCTGTTTAGGATGAAGAGCGGCAGGTAATCAACATGCCGTCGACCGATATTACCATTCGGTTGGATAATAACACTTCAGTCCTCGAATTCGTCGCAAAGATCGTGCAACAAGAAGGATATTTTCGGGCGGTTCTGGTTCAGTCCTGAGGTCGTCGTGTTCGCGCTTGTCCCCAGACCAACGCCACTCGTCGATTCACCAAGTGTCGCCGCGTCAACAACTATCAAGGCGGCGCATGTGCTGGATGCGTGTGGATGTCGCACGGAGCCTGCTGTGGCCATCATGGCGGTGGTCATGTGTCCTCGGACGATGGGGGCAATGACAGTGACGGAGGTGATGGTGGTCCTGGTGGCAATTATCGCCCTCCTAAGGCCTCGAAAGGACGTAACCCTCGTACGCCCGGAAAGATGACATTTATTTTTGACGCCGCGTCTCATGCCCGGCAAACATCACAATGAAGCTGTCATCGGTACCAAAACAGCCGAATACCTTTCCGAGGAGGATATTACACAGCTTGGACGTACAAAGTCTGGTTCGGAAATATCCTCGCCAAGGCTCGCGAGGGGCTGGGTTCTTGGTCTCCATCCAGTGGTTCGGCTCTCTCCTGCAGTCCGCCTGGCACGCGAGCGCCTGTGACGTACTCGCAGCGGAGGGTTTCATGACGTTCCTGGCCGAGAGTACAGGTGTCATTTTGCTCTACAGGCCTAAAGCGAAGTTTGAAAGTATCTCCTATCGCCACATGCCCCCCGGCGAAAAGAAGCCGTGGGACAAAACCATGGACTTCCTACACCCTCCACTGTGAGTACTGGTCAGCTGATGGCCGAGGCACAGATTCCGGCGAAGGAAGCCTCGTCCATGATCACCCACAGTAAGATTTACGTAGGGCAGGTTTGGTTTTGTTATGTACTGAAGCAGTACCCTAGCTCTCAAAGTCGCCTACACTACAGCCGCAGAGGGTGCAACTGAAGCAAAGAACCCAATGAAGGGCGACCACGTCCTATCCTTCTCCTTTGTAGATACTCTAACCCGCAAGAAGTTGCAGACAAAGGATGATTCTCCTAAGGCCCTAGGCACCACGCCTACCAGAGGTACAGAAGCGTTCAATTCAAATATCTGTTATTGTCTGACCAAAGCTGACTTGAAACAGCTGCCAAGAAGGGAGCCTGCCGCGAGTAGGGGGAGACGTGATTACTGAAATGTCCTGCGACGGCATGTTGATGATGCGGCGTTCTTCATCCTGAATCATAAGAACGTTAGCACGTACGAACAACCCTGCCGCCCGACTCATTTATCCGGTCGCAAGAGACATGGATGTTGAATGATATCATGGCCGGCAATGACCAGGGCTTTGCCTGGTGTGACCAGAGCGTCGACGCCTGCGCAGAGGAGCAGGGCCACACCGATTGGAGGGCTCCGGCCCCCAATGACAGAATGCCGGACTACCATCTGCTTCCTCACCAGCCCAAGGGTATGTTTCATGTTTTGCTCTCTCTACTTTGCTGACTTGTGGTAGATCTTTCGCACGACGTCAAAAATGGCTGTTCAGCTCGGAAACCAGAACACCGTCATCGGTTCTATCCGAGTCCGCCAGGACGACAATGGTATCACCTGGCTCCACCTTCCAACCGGCAATGCAGCTAATCGTGCGTTCCTTCTGGCACTTGCAATCAATGTACGTGGTTTTTTCCTTATCCTCTTTCTTCGTACTAATGCCTTGTAGGATGACGAACGAGGAGTTATCAACATGCCATCGAATGACATTGTCGACGAACCGTCACAACGGTTGCCGCCCAGGCCAACCCTATGGGCAATGTTGGCGTCTCTAGCCCTGGCCAGAACCGCTGGTTGCACTAGCCTACTGGCAACCAGAACAACCTTACGTTTCTCGGGGCCTTGGCCATCAACGTACGTTCCTTTCTTTCCTTCGTACTAATAGCTGTTAACTTGTTGTAGGATGATGAATGGGCTGTCATCAGCATGCCTTTCCAAGACATTGCCATTCGTTTCCCGACGGGCGAGAGAGACAGTCCAATCGTACGCCGCGAGGGATACTTCCGCGCAATCGTGGTTCAGTCGCACGCTCGCCGTGTTCGTGTGTGCCCTCAGAAGTGCGGCACTGGCATAAACCTGCAGACGCCCTTACAAAGAAATCACCAAATTCAGCACTTCAGCAATTGGTTACAAGCAGCACTCTGTCACACTAAGCATCTCACCGCGACAACTTCTCCCGTACTTTGGACGATATATCCGACGACACCACAGCTACATGGGTGAACAAAGGCGGGGAAGCCACCAATCGTCAAGGCTATCCAGAACGACGTTCTAATCCCGAGGGTTCGAGTTGGCCGCTCCCAGCCCAAGCCACTTCATCAATCTAGCGAATCAACACCGCACGTAGCTCTACCGCGAGTACTACGCCAAACCTACGCGTCCTACTGCACAACGCAGGCAAATGAACTTTTGGATCAAAGATCACCAAACCAAGACGTCTTCCTAAGCGTTCACTCGCATAGATAAGAAAAACGATAACAACTACAAGAAGCACCACACTCCGCATCCCAACCTCCAATGCCAATCAGCGCGAGTTGCGCGCAGGACTTTTCGAAACTTTGTCTGGCGCCCTGTTCCACGATGTCAGCTCGTGAAATCGGGATTGCTGGGCTGCTACTGCGGTCTAAGCTAGTATAGTATCATCGGGTCTCCAAACTCTGGAGTTACTGTCACAACCATGCCTCCTAAGTCTACACTTCACAAGAAGCATACCAAGCGTGTTGGCAAGAAAAACAGACAGAAACGCTACATACCTGGCAGACTCTCAAGACGGAAAGCCAAGCTTGGTGGCTAGTCACCACGCACCCTAGCCTCGAAGCAAGTACGCCTACGGGAGGAGGCTGGTGTGCTGGAGCATCTATTTGCTGTTGACGAGAGTGTGTCTGGATGTCCCATGGGGCACGCTGCGGCCACCATGGTCGTGGAAACGTTTCCTCGGACGATGGAGGTGACGATAGTGATGGCGATAACCGCCGCAACAACAACTACAAGAAGCCTTCCGTCTCGAATGGACGCAATCCTCGTGCGCCTGGACTACCCAAATCCGGCCAGCCTGAAGACAGCACTTGGTCGTGACTCAGGGGAGGGTTTGACTTCACGATGGTCCTCTCGCATCCTACTCAAGGACACTACTGAATACCCTCGTCTCTGCATGAGAACGTTCTCAAATCTACCTAAATTTGCGCGCAAATCCCGGGACACCCACGCCAAATAGAGTTACCCACTGGATGAGTACCACAAGCATACTGCGACTACATGGAACGCACCTATGTGTCGAAGTGGGCAGAAGAACTAACGGGAACGTGCAACGTCCCCCACTGGATCCGGGGACGGGCGCGGTATGCGTGCGATTTCAAGCTCATCCGGAACTTCCTTCATGACCCTACCAATCGCCTCGCCTAGTAGAGGACGCTCGCCGGTGGTCGGAATTTAGTATCTTACTGGCACCCCGAAGCGGCCTGCGCGGACGAACATTAACGTGCGCTCCTTAATCGTCAGGCGGCTCTCTCAAGTGGCACACGATAAGGGCCCCGCCAAAGAGGGGCGAAGAAAGCGGAAGGCCCCCGTGAATGAGCCTCGAACTCATAACTAAGTGTATATGTCCCACGGGGCACGATGCACTTACCATAACCGGGGTCCTGGCTCGTCCGGTGATGACAGCGATGATGATCCGAACGATGGTCCCTCCAAGTACCAAAAGCCATCTGTGTGTTCTTACCCACTCAGGGATCAAATAAGAGGGCCATGTGTGTCCATTCTGGTCACTTTCGCGACGCAAGGAAATACAGTCTACTGTGAGAATTCCTCTCACAGCCATTACCGGTGGAGGACTCCCATCACCACAGCCCGATGCCCAATGACTCCAGAAGAATGGAGGGCAGCGTAACCAGGTAAATCAACGCGACGAGTTACATATCAGCAACAGCAGTCGAACACGAAAAGACGGCCTCGCGTCCCCTTCGCTTCGCGCGGCACATTAACCGAAGCCCCCAACGACAACCGCCGTCGTCAGCGTGGCGAAAACCAGATAGCCGTGCAGTCCACTCAGATGTAGCGCTGTGTCATATTGCCGGGTCCAAACTGTCGCGGAAAACTAGCAGCCAGATTGGAACTCAAATTGATGCATGCTCGTCCGCGGTGCGGTGCAATAGAAAGGGAAGAAGAACCAGGCCACGTAGGTCAGGGTAGGCCTTGATCCATAAGAAGGCAGACGCCGACAGCGTCACCTAGAGCCCCGGCTTCGACTTGAGCAATAAGATTCTGGGCTTCGACCGGCAGGGGAGCGCGCGTTCACGAGGAAGGTCAAGGGCTACACCGCTCTTCAAGTCGCTGCCGTCCTAGACCACACCCATTTGATTGGGATGCTTGTTGGCGCCGGTGCTAACGTCGACGCTATCACGGTCGGCTGCTGGCGCTGCAAAGCGCGCACAGAAACCGACGTAATCCTTAACGCTACACCTTAAGCAGCAAGAAAGACAGTGCTCCACCTCGCCCTGTGCTATAACAACTGGAGCATAGCAAGAACTATCGTAGGCCACAGGTCGTCTCTAACAGTAGACAGCCTAGACAGCCCACAGGACGTGCTTAAATAGTTCAAGAACAGTAGGCCTAACGTTTACAGCCTGTCAGCGCTTTACAACATTAGCTGCCGCTAGACACCTAGCACTGACGCCTACGACCTCGCCAACTAGTTGGCAGCAAAGGGCAGCATTAACGTTAACGCCTTGACAGATCAAGGCATAACGCCCCTGGCGATAGCGTGCGCGGTCGGCCAGTTCAGGCTGGCTGTCCGGCTGCTGTCTCTGGGCGCGGACTGCGGCGCCGTTGTGCCGACGCGGCCGACGGAGACCCTGATCCACGTTGCGCTGAGGGCCTGTGTTATGGTCTAGTGAGGTGTGTATGTAGTTGATTGATCTATCTATGTATCTGTGTGGTGTCGCTGCTTTATGTAGCAGCCAGTGGGTTGCTTATGTAACAGCCTGTGAGGACATGGGCACACGACGGCTGGCGGTCAACAGGGGGGACAACGAGTATCTGCTGTACCTCCTTGGGCGGGACGAGGCGTTTGATGCGTTGCCGGAGCTCGTCCGGCAGCTGATCGACGGGGGCCTTGGAAGAGCTTTCCCTCCGATTGGACACCACACGAGTCTGTCCCAACACTAGACGACGCTCCGTCCAACTGCCAACGTCAGCAGGTCCGTCTCACCAAGCCAATTCACCGTCAACGCCGGAATGTCAAACCAGACCCGGGCCCTCGTGCGGTGATTCTTCGAAAACGAACGACAGCGCCATGCCATGGCGGTAGATGAGTCCACACTGAGAGTCTTCTGAAGTCGGACAAGCTATGCTCTCCACATCGCACATGGGCGTCCGACTACTTGGCTGGTTACGATGCCAAAAGGCTCCGGTGCAAGGCCGCGGCCCAGTGAACTAGGAGCACTGGGCTGCGGCTGTAGTGCCAGCAGGGGGGTTAGTTGTCAGTGCACAACAAAACGAGCCGGCGTTCGAGCTTGTTATTCACGACGGCGATCCAACTCCCGGGGTCGGGGTGAACACACTTTGGGCTACGGCCCTAAAGAGGAGCCAAAGGCTTCTTCTTAACTCTCTTCAAACTCGTGGGCGGGTAACAGGAGTTTGGTACAGGACCCGTGGCCTATTACAGGGCCACGGAGGCCACAACATGGAGAGAGTTATAGCTGAATCAGCTATATCCGAGATTGATTCTTGGCTTTATGGGTACCAGGCACCTAACACATTGTAAGCAGATGAGGACGTGGGTGATGTGCAGTAACGTAGTCGACGATGAGGAGTCACGTTGCGTCATCACCCTGCCGTGGGATACGCGAATGGAAGAGACGGGTTTTCGACGAGTGTTGGCGTTGTTGTTCTGTCCCCTCCAGGCAAGGCCGAGAGACGTGGCAACCTGCTCTGCAGTGAACTGCAGAGGCGTCTGAAAGGCAGCCTATTGAACTCGCCGCTCCTTCTTCTCTTTCCCTTCTTCTCGATGCCGTATCCGTACTGCTGTTGAATGCTCTTGATGTTGTAAGAGCACTGGCTCTGAGTCTCGTGGTAGAAGCAGTTGGCGTGATAACTCTCGATACGCCAGTCGACTTTCGCAAAGATCCGCTCAATATGCTCAAAGATCGATGGTTGATCTGCTCCGACGTCGGGACGGAATTTACCTCTGGGAACGCGTCGAGCAGGTCAAGGACATGGTTCTCGGCGCCAAAGAGATGCGTCTCGGCGACCAAAGCCAAGGCGACAAGACTTCATCCGGCACAGGCGAAATGACCATCGACACAATCAACCTCCAGTAAACATTATCCGCGCGAGGCCTTAAGAGGCCCTGCCCATTCAGTGGCAACATTGAAAGACTGCTGCAACAAACGAAAACATGATATGCACTAAGCGGCTCTGTCTATTCAGCAAGAATTCTGAAAGGCTCCTTCAACAACTCGTTACCGCTGTTAATACCGAAGGAACTCTTTCACGGGCCGAGTTGTTACAAATATAGTGAGCAAGTTCGTCCAAATTAAGTTAGCGTACATACTGCTAGAACTCAGGCTTACCTTAGTGTGGGTCTTTGTATATTACGGCAGCAAACCACGTGAGCCACAGGCGTGGCGTAGACAGATAGCGCAGGCCACCGCCGTGGCACAGGCCACATATTAGGCATTCCACAGAGCTAGACAGAAGGACCTCGCGCATGTAAGCCTTCGAATCGCTGAAGGCCGTGAGGCCTTGTGGGCAAGGCATAGTGAGCAAGCTGGGATTGATCTAGGGATAATCCCTGATAGATCAACTAAAGAATAAGGATATTAAGGCAAAGGAGGGATTGTGATGAGGTTGGGTGGCATGGTCTTATGAATCACGTGGTGGTTGATTCAAGGGGATAGATCAGTGGGATGGCCTCACTCAGACGTTGGTCTGTCTATGCATGCCCCACGCTTCGTTGCGGGTGTCGTCAGCTACAAAGATGCCCAAGCGAAGAACGCGGCGATAGAGGCACTACGAGAAGCGCTAGGAGAGGCCTGGGAACACGGGGAGGGAAGACTCACCTTTACCCAATTCCTGACACAGAGCCTGGAGGGTAAACTCACCCGTGCCGGATTCTTTGAGACTTGGTCAGGCGGCCGGATTGGGAGTGATGCCCCGCCCCGCCACGGGGTTAGCTGGGAACGTTGGGCGGCGGCAGTTGTGCCTACTGGCGGGGCAAGGCGACAGGGCCATGTTGCCGGTTTTAGTGGGAGCGCTTTCCGGAGGATTAGTGGTCCACAAGGGAAGGATCTTGTGATCTTTGACCCTATGCCTACAAGGGGGGTGACACCACGGACGCGACCCACGCATTCAAAAAGGGATTCACAGACCCAATAAGAGGTAAAAGGAGGCATCATCCATTGTACACACTCGTTATCAGTCATCGTTAGCAGCCTTAATACTCCATACCAAAATACACTGCCAGTCATTACTGTACTTTTATTCACTTAGTGAAAATCACTCTTTCTGCAATTGCTTCGTTAATTCGTACTTTTATTTCAAGGTCTTTGCAGATTAGGTCTGAGAGTCGCAAGACCTATTTATTCTATAGTTATAGAGGGTAAGCACTATATTCTTTAGTATGTACTCAGCATATGCTTAGTATATGCTAAGTATTCTTTAGTTAGTGTTTTTTAATTTACACGGTGCATAAGCCTATTACCCCCCCCTGAACTTCTGCCCTACGGCCAGATACCCCCCCGGAAGCTGGAATCCCCCCCTACGAACTAGGCACCCTTCAATTGACCCCTACCTTTTGGCCATTCGGCCGATTCGCTTGACAGTACCTTAGTTATAAGCATGGTCTGTGCCCGTCGGTATATCAGTCAACCTCTTCGTGTATGTAGGAACACGAGGAGGGCCATGATTTACACTATTGACTTGTTTTCACCTATTTTTTCTTTCACTTTCTTGCTTTTGCCTGGACTTGCTTTACTTGTTCTGCTTTACTGCTTTGCTGTTTCGCTACAGTCCCTCGCTGTGTAGCTTCGTGACACTGCCGTGCTATTCACACGTCGGCCTACCCAGCCCAGTCGACCTGTCAGATCGCTGCCAAGAGGGCTGTTTTAAAGTATTTTACTCTCTAGATAAGAACAAGATACAGCAAATTTGTGTCAAATTTCACTTGGAGTATTTTTTAAGGTTAGGGGTTTTTATTTTGTTTTTGTTTTTTCCTCCCCTAAAGCCTAACCTTTACCGCCCAATACAATACTACTTAACGAAGTTAGAAGCATACATAAAAGTACCCTTATAGCTAAACCCAAAGAAGAGAATTCGGGGATAAAGATATGCTTGTGTATAATAACAAACATACGTCCCTCCATCCAGGCCAACGTCGATAGAGAAAACTCGTTCCACTCCCCCTTTCCCGTTAGCTTGTCAGCAATACCACCTCTAGCACCATATAAATGGAAGCTAGCAGTTGTCGTATTCCATCTTTACAAGATTTCAAGGGACTTGAACTCGTCCGGAATGTCGTCAATAGAAGTCACATTGGGGTCGGCGGCAATGGCAAAGCTAGGGAAAAAGATTTGTAGTTAGCAAAGTTATGGAATCAAGGAGGAAACTAATCAGATGGAAAGCTGGAAGGAAAGGGTAAAAAAGAAAAAGAAAAATATGTCTGTATATAATTCGGACGAGATGGGAGAGTGGTAAAGTGATTGCATACTAGATAGGAGAAGAGAATAAAAGTCAGCGGTCAATCTCATTAATTTTGGGGCGTGTCTCAGCAAGAGTTCATACCAGTTTGTCGAGCTTGTCAGCTTCAAGGCCGACAAGGTTGAATTCCGAACCGTCGACTAGGACGAGGGTGTCGGGCTCCTGGCTGGACTCGCACTTTTGCACCTGCCCCTCGCCGGCCGGGTCCAATTCGCCGATGGCGCACGTCTCGTCGGCCTCGGGAGCCCGCTTCCTGTTGACGAAGCCGTAGCCAGCGCCGGTGAAGAGGAAACCGCCGGAGCGCATACAGATCTCCGTGGCGCCAGCAGAGAAGATGGTAGAGCGACGATTGCGGCAGTCGCCGCCGTCGTAGCCCCGGCACTCAATACGCCAGTTGGATGGGATGTAACGGAAGAGGATGCTCTCGGCCGTTGCGCCCACGCAGCAGACGTTGGGTTCCAGGCCCCTGCAGACACGGTAGTTGCCGCTGCAGCTCTGGCCAAAGTGCTTCTGGATATCAATGGCAGAGACTGTGGCGGCAAAGCCAACGAGAACTTTGAAGAAGTGCATACTGGAATGAGAGTTATGAGTGTTTGGGGAATATTATAGCGGTGATTTTGGGTTGTTATTTGTTACTGCGGCTGCTTGCTGGTTGAGGGTAGAGTGAAGGTTGGAGTTGGGGACGTCGCGAAGCTTTTATACACCTCGAAGTCGCCAACCGAGATAGTCACAGACGCTCAGGTTTTGAGTCGGTTGAAAGAATGCACCGTGTGAATAACTGCTTGATGGCTTTAGATTAATTCTTGGTTCAATTATGTGGATCAACGTTGCTGCAATGCAGAACAATGACATAACTACGTGTCATTCTCAGAGATGTTTCCTATCCACCGATAGACAGAATATGCCTCATTTTAGGGCTCAAAGGTCTCTGGGTATTACCTAGATGTCTTAGTGAATACCTAGTTAAGGTTAAGGGGGCCTTGGTATCCTACTGTGTATAGCACGGTGTTTACAACCCACTGCAGAGAGATGAATATATGTCCGCCTCACGTCAGACAGGGTTCTGTTGTATCAAAGGATATGGCCAGAAACAGCAACTCTCAACGCTGACAACCTTGGCTGTCAGCCATAGCGTTACTTGCGGGTGACATTGCATTGGAATATTGGACTCAGCTGCATTTTGAAACTAGTTGCGGTCCTTTCCGCACGATTATACCATGCGTTCTTAAATTGAATTCACTCTTAAAGGCTTGAAAGTCTCGGCTAGTCCACTTGGCAAGGTAGGTTCCGCTGCTTCTGTGATTTTGCCAATCCTTAACGTACGTAAGACTCTACACAGTCAAGACTAGATAGTGGGTACTAGGCAAATTACAGTCCTTGATCTATTATTCACTGCTCAGGCTAGCGTTAGATATTTTCTTTTTCCCTTTCTGGTAGCTTTTCCTCAAGGGGCCTGCCTAGGGGTTACGAACCGTCCAACGCCACAGGGCAAGTTTACCCCCACAGGCGCCTGGCAGCCACGAGACAATCTGCCTGTAGTCGCAAGGGTGACACGTTACAGTAAACGCAGCTATCTAGTTGCAGGGTGTTGTAGTAAGCAGTGATTGGGTAACAATAATCGATTGGTGATGACTAGAAAGGCTGCTTGTTGTTGATATTATGGTGGCTAATACGTGCCAAAAGAGCGCTTAGATAACCCCCCACTTCTGCACCACCTCCGCATTTAGGTTGAAATGCGGGCACTTGCACATCGGCCGGGCGGGCCGGAGTGGAGCAATTGGCTGAAATGGCCAAGGATCCTACGTATGCTTCGCATCCGAGTTTCCGAGGACGATGTTGCTGACTTCTTGTCAGAAGGTGGTTAGAAACCTATACACGAAGCTGGTCTCTTGAACCAGAAAGAGCCTCCGACTGCAAGCGACTGAAAGCTGCAGAACTTGTGTAAGTTGGTCGACACCATGAAGGAGTGTGGTGAATTCTGGTATGGGTGTATGCTTGGGGGGTGTCTCGGAGCTCACATGGTGAGGCCGTCGCCCAAAAGGGGAATCCTCCCCCCGCCCTTCAAAGTTCGACGACGAAATCATGAAGCTTCTGCTGGACACGCTCTGCGATCGCGTATCTATCGATCACCGCAGCAAGACCTTGAATGTCATGGCACCAACCTACCTCGACATCGCGCCAGATCGGAACCCGCGACATAGTAAGGACTTCATTCAAGTCGGGTGCGGTGAGTTGGACACCCAATTCCGAACGGCGGAGACGGAGAAAAAGGGGTCTCCCGCTGCGATAGAAGCAAAGGTGATAGTTTACCGGGGTTTTAAGAGTTGGATCATGAACTCCAATGTCTCTGCTGGGTGTCCTCTTGAAGACTCAGATGACCTAGAGGCTATTGCCTGCCTGCAAGGATACAACGACTAGCGCAACTACGCACCCAACAGCCGTTCGCCGGACTACAGTCTCTTCCCCCACCAGGTCATTTCTAAATATCCGGCTTCCCTCGCTTTCCGCTTGAACAGGTCACAGGGAAGGATCCGTTGGCTGTCTCGTTACAAATAGAAAGTCGAGGCCATAGCATGGTGACCGCAACCAGAAGGTCGAAATGAAAGAATTGTGCCCGTGGATAGGATAAAGAACTCAACAACAGGTCTGAATAATCAAGGAAAGAGAAGAAACTTATTGCGACCAAAAGAATTGGGATGGCGGGATTGACCACAGACCAATGCAAATTACTTGGTTGATCTTGCGTCTCGGGTGTTCCCACACGCTTTGCCCGCTTCGCCCAGCTCATTTGTAAGATGGCAACAAGCAATTAGCCAACAATACGATCGCCTTTAATCAAGGTGATATGAAGGCACCCTTGACGGGCTGTAGTACCAACACGCCCCCTTGCGACGCCTTTAAGGAGGAGGCGAACGACTCGCTTGGCGGCCGGGTCCACCATACAAACCCGTTGTTCTTAACAAAGAGCGAACTGAAGGACCACGTAGCGGTATTCGTAACTCAAACATTACATGATATAATGAATATCGAACAGCGTGTCTTGACATGCAGACGTGGTCGACGCGTATATAGCCATGTCCTCGGCCCGCCGCATAGTACTGGCACTTGGACAGTACAGTAACAACACGCCTCCCAATCTATAGACTAGCCAGCCAACCTAGTTCGAGCTTCCAGTGCCGACGACGTTCGTTCGGTATCTCCCAAGAGTCCATCTCGTCGTGCGTCAACCTAGACCGCAGCGCTCCAGTCCGTTGGGGTCTCACAATCCCATCTCACCCGGCCCATACAGACTCGTAGGATGGGCAAGAACAAGCAGCAGAAGAAGAAGACCCAGCTTGAAGCCGTAAAACACCTTGTTGTACTGTTCGACATCGCCCTTGATGTGAGGCAGCTTTCGCGGGACCTTGCCTCGAGATGGCGACGGTACGGCACAAAGTTTGAATCGATGTGGTGCTCGTTCAGCCAAGAAGATCGCGCCGAGATACTACACGTTGCTATGCCAAGAACGGAAGGAGAAGGGAAAGGAGAATTTGATTTTGTCCCTTACTGGGACTTGGAGAAGATGGCCGAGGACCCCAGCATCCTCGTCAACACGCTCAAGCACAGGGCGACCGCGAAGCTCCCCGAACAGGCCGTCATGAGCTCCGTCAACGGCCCCAGCGACCTCGAAGTCATCACGCGTGCATTCCCAGAGCAAATCGCCTGGGGGCTCCGACGCGGGGACGCGTACATTGCCTTCTGCGAAGGGGAGAAGTACGGCGTCCCGCACAAGGCCACGAACCGAGGGGCGGCGGCGGCCGCCCTGCTGCCGCCCGGCAAGGACGACCTGTGCGTCCCCGTGGTCTACGGAGACCTGGTCCTTCTGAGGCAGAGCTTCATCATCGGGACAATCGGCACCGTCTTCATGCTCATCTGGGACTGTGACCCGGAGGAGCAACCGGGTCCCCGGATACCCGTCAACCCAGAAGAAAGCGCTGCTCGCTTGAGGGAGGCCCTGCGGCTGCAAGAGCCGGCGGCCGACGCAGTTCACGAGTCCGCCCTCGATATCGCACGCAAGAACAAGGGCCTCGTGGGCGGCCAGTGGGGTTCCCTGGGCGTGGCGACCAGGGTGCTGAGGGACAGGGTCCTCTGCTACCTCTGCAGCCTGCCCGATCAGGTCCTCGACGAAGCCCGCGTGACAAACAATACAGTCGTGGACAAAGACCTTTGCACCTGCGTCTTCGACGTCGTGAACGACGTGGCCAGGCACCACGCGTTCTGGACGTACCTCGTCGCCGTCATGCCGGAGATGCAGGGCCTCGTGGAGGAAGAGGAGGACGGCCCGGGCCGCGCCGTCGTCCTCCAGGAGATGGCGCACGTGTGCCACATGGGCTTCCAACGCGCCCAGATCGCCCTCAAGAGATTCCTGCAGAAGAGATTGGAGATTGAGAAGAACGAAAAGGCCATGTTCGTGAAGCGGTGCGGCGAGTATGGCGGCGACGGCAACACCCTGGTGACCCTGGCGGTCAGCATGGACGAGCTGGATACGGTAAAGCCGCCGATCGATCCTTCGATGCAGCAAATCATACGCCTCTGCCAGCCGGAGACCACGGCCGAAGCGGCTTTCGAGTGGCTCCAGAAGCTGAGAGATCTGTGCGAGACAAGCACAGAGGCATTGGAGCAGCTGGAGGCTTGGGAGGCGGACTCGCTCGCTGACCTGGTGACGATGCTCACGCTCATCGAGAACCTGACGGACGCAGCGGCCCTGCCCCCCGTGAACGGCAAGAAGAGGGTAAAGGGCCTCTTCGTCTCCAAGTGCCAGCACGTAGACAGGGACCTCTGGGCCCTGAGGGACGAGGTCGATCTCACCCCGTTCACCGTGCCGCCGGCCAGACTGGGGAAGCCCGAGGTCGCCGCCGGCGCTCTGGAAACCATCAGCGAGTTCTGCAGGAAGAAGACGGGGTCCAGCGTCGAGGGGAACTACGACAAGGCCGTCAGGGAAAGCCTTTCGGAGCTGAGGAGACGGTTGGCGCAGGCCCAGACCAAGCAGCAGAAGGGAAAGGCCCCGGCGCCGGCGCCGGCCGGCCCGAGTTCGTTCATCGACAAGATACAGGACAGCCACGACGAGGGCGAGCAGCAGGGGAGGAAAGAGAAGGTCAAGACCCGGCCCGCGGAGGGGCCGGAGGCGGGGCTACTTCCGCCCGCTCCGCCTACTCCGCCACCGCCGCAGGCGCCCGAGCCGGAGAAGATCAAAGTCACGGCGGCCACGGCGGCCGTGTTTGAGGCGCTGTTCGACCGGACCCAGAACCGCCGGCCGATCGCCTTCCCTGCCCTCGAGGCGGCGATGGCCGAGCTGGGCTTCACGGTCGACTCGCACGGCGGCGTCGGCTCGGCGACCAAGTTCGTCCCTCCGGCAGGGTCGGGCTGGCGGCCCGTCACGCTCCACCGCCCTCACGGGGCCACGAACAAGATCGAAGGGTATCGTTTACTGATTGCAGCCTCGCGATTCAGAGAACATTTTGGATGGGATGCAGAGACGTTTGAGGTCGTCTAGCAGGGCTGGGGGGGGGGCCGGTCATCCATGGGATGAATCATCGTGGGGCTTTTTGTTTGGACGCCGGCTGGCTGGCTGACTGATCGCCAATGTGTTTCGTTTCTCGATCACGAGTCGGGTAAGGACATGACATGGTGTCCACGCGCGGGGAAGAGAGAGAGAGAGAGAGAGAGAGAGAGAGAGAGAGAGAGAGAGGACGGGTCAAGTCAGTGCTTGAGATGTTGAATCGCGACAGGCCGTTGCCGTTTTGCCTAATACTTAGGTAAGTTGTACGAGTCGGTCGTAGAATAGACTCTTTTCATCTTCCATCGCCCTGTCACATCCCGAAACCCCCCTCCCGAAGGGCAGTGGAGGGGGTGCTCCGGGCCGTCTCTTGGATGGGATCACAGACGTGAGTAAGCCTTATTAACGCACCCACACTTGGCGTCGGGGGAAAACCCAGTCAGGGTGTTGGTGCCGCGCCGTTGAAACCTGTAAACATGTTTGATTTTCCGGGCGTTTAGTCACTCCTCTCCGTTCCATGCAGCTTGGGAGGGCCACTCTGACCAGAAGGGTTCATTTCGCTCGACAAGCTTCTTCTGGTCGTACCGAGTTTTCGAAAGATACGGTTCAGTCGGACTTGAAACCCCGAGCGAAGCAGAGAAAAGAAAAAAAAAAGGAAACATCGTGGGAACCTGGCCCATCTCATTGGGCCCTCCATCCGGTCGTGCCATGTTGAAACGTCTGAATGCCTTCGTCCGTTCTCCTCGCACAATCGCGCGGGGGCTCGGGAAAGCCACGCGGTGCTCAATAAATGGGCAGCTGTGTCCGAACTGTTTCTCCCCCTTCCTTGAGACGAATGATACTCTGTACCCTATTGTCTATTCCATCGCATCTCAGCGCGACTCTAACCTTATGAGCCCCGGGTGCATTTTCGCATAACAACTCTGCTCACGGACACGCACACACCCGCACACACTCACACTCACACTCAGTCACACACACACACACACCAGAAAATGGGCAAGTTGGCTAGCTGGATCGCCCTGGCGGCATGGGGCGCCGGCGCCGTCTCGGGGGCAGGCCTCCACGACCTGGCGGTTCAGAGCGGGCGGCTGCTGTTCTTCGGCACGGCGACGGATATAGGCCAGTTCAACGATCTGGAGTACACGGCGCTTCTCAACGCGACGGGCGAGTTCGGCATCGTGGTGCCCGAGAACAGCATGAAGTGGGAGGTGACGGAGCCCAAGCAGAACCAGTTCGCGCTCCGTAACGCGGACGCGGTGATGGCCAGGGCGAAGGGCAACGGCCAGATGCTGCGGTGCCACACGCTCACATGGCACTCTCAGCTGCCCCAATTTGGTGAGCCTCATCTAGCCCGATCTCGTCGGACCTTGTACATGAAAGTCATTTGGGAAAAAGACACACGCACGAAAGAGTAAAAAAAAAAAGGGAAAAAAAAGGGGGAAAAAGAGAGAGAGAAAAGAAGCTGACGTTGTTGCAGTCTCCGCCGGCAAGTGGACGCGGGACACGCTCACGGCCGTCATCGAGACGCACATCTCCAACGTGGTGGGCCACTTCAAGGGCGACTGCTACTCGTGGGACGTGGTCAACGAGGCGCTCGCGGACAACGGCACGCTCCGCAACAGCGTCTTCTCGCGCGCGCTCGGCAGGGACTTCATCCCGATCTCGTTCCGGGCGGCGGCGGCGGCGGACCCGGGCGCCAAGCTGTACTACAACGACTTCGACCTCGAGTTCAACTCGGCCAAGACGGACGGCGCCGTGGGCGTCGTGCGGGACCTGCAGGCCGAGGGCGTGCGCATCGACGGGCTCGGGCTCCAGGCGCACCTCGTGGCCGGCAAGACGCCGTCGCCGCGGCTGCTGTCGACCGTGCTCGGCCGCTTCACCGGCATGGGGCTCGAGGTGGCGCTGACGGAGCTGGACATCCGCAGCAGCAAGGTGCCCGCGGACGAGGAGACGCTGCAGCAGCAGGCCGAGGACTACGCGAGCGTCGTGCAGACGTGCGTGGACCACGACAAGTGCGTCGGCGTCGTGGTGTGGCAGTTCACGGACAAGTACAGCTGGGTCCCCGGCTCGTTCCCGGGCGCGGGGGACGCGTGCCTGTTCGACAACGCGATGCAGCCCAAGCCGGCGTACGCGGCCGTGTCCAAGGTGTTGCAGCAGGCCGTGGCCAAGGCGGCGGCGGCGGCGGGGGGCGGCGGCGAGGGGAGCGCAAAGACTGCGTCGTCGTCGCCGTCGCCTCCGGTCGGTGCCGAGGCCGGGACCGGCACCGATGGCGGAGTGTCGGCAGCGTCCGTCTCCCAGCCACCTTCCGCTTCGGGAGCAGTGCGGATCGGCCCCCTGTCGGCAGCATTATTGGCCAGCTGGGTGCTCGCGGCGTCCTGGCTGGTGCTGTAATTGACTATGTGTGTGTGTGTGTGTCTGTAACGGGGGAAAAAAAAACCACACTTTATTGTACAAAGAACTCTGTAGATTCTGTAAAAGAAAAAAAGAGATTTATAATCAGAAAGCTTGCGCCTCTGGTTTGAGACGTTGGGCGTGTCAAAAGCCGTCGGCGTGTGGTGTAAGTGAGGAGTTGGATGATGTCATGTCCCTCCCTGGCCAACCAACCTCCACAATTTAAGCAAAGACCGGGGGGGAAGTCATGGTCCTGGTCCGATTTCAGACCGAGAGAGAGAAGAGGGGAGGGAAGGGGGGAACCGTATCAGAAAAGAAACAATTTCCCCCGTCGGTTGTTGATATTGTTGTTTGTTGGACTGTCTCTGCCTGCTCCAATCCCAACCCCTGCGGTTCCAACATTGTCATCAAGAAGGGGGGTCCCCGAATAGCTTCAAAGAAACAAGAGAAAGGAAAAGAAAAAGAAAAAGAAAGAGAAATGGGGCACCTGATCGCTCTACTGTCCGCCGCCGCCGTCTCCGTCGCGGGCCTGGCCCAAGCTTCCCTTCCCGGCCTGGACGAGATCCCGCCTCTCGGCCTGGGAACATGGCTCTCTGACAAGAGCAAGGTAGCCCACGCCGTGTCCTTCGCCGTCGGCGAGGCCGGCTACGACCACATCGACGCCGCCCTCATATACAGTAAGTTCCCATCGTCGCTCTCATCTCACAACACCTACCTTGCACACACACACACACACACCTCCTTTTGCTCTTCCAACTCAAACTCACCGACGCGCCCCAGGAAACGAGGACCAGACCGGCAAGGGCATCGCCGACTCGGGCGTCGCGCGCGAGAACCTCTGGATCACCAGCAAGCTCTGGAACACGGACCACCGCGCCGACCGCGCCGAGGCCGCCATCCGCAAGTCCATCGCCGACCTCGGCGTCGACTACCTCGACCTCTACCTCATCCACTGGCCCGTCGCCTTCGTCCCCGGCGACCCGGGCAACGCCCTCGACCGCGAGACCTCGCTCGTCGACACCTGGCGCGTCCTCGAGGGCTTCGTCCGCGCCAACCTCACCCGCCACATCGGCGTCTCCAACTTCGCCCGCGCCGACGTCGAGGCCGTCCTCGCCGCCGCCGAGATCCCCCCCTTCGCCCACGAGCTCGAGGCCCACCCCTACCTCCAGCAGCAGGCCTTCGTCGACTGGCACCGCGAGCGCGGCATCCGCGTCATCGCCTACGCGCCCCTCGCCAACACGAACCCCACCTACGGCGACGGCCTCCCCGCCATCCACGAGGACCCCTTCTGGCTCGCCGTCGCCGAGCGCAAGAACGTCTCCGTCTTCCAGGCCGTCCTCGCCTGGGGCGTCCAGCGCGGCACCGTCGTCATCCCCAAGAGCACAAAGGAGTCGCACATCGTCGCCAACCGCGCCGCCCTCGACGTCACCTTCGACGACGACGAGCTCCGCGAGATCGCCAAGCAGGACAAGAAGCACAGGCTGAGCAACCCGGGCAAGAAGTGGGGCGTCGACCTGTTTGCCGACCTGGACGATCCCACCAAGCTCGGAGAGGTGAGTGAGGAGCTTTGAGCGGATCACGGATCACAGGTCATGGGTCATGGGGTCATATGGGGGGGTGGGGGGTCGGCTGTTTGCACGAACTCTAGCCTTCTGCTTAGTCTAATTCTGACACGATCATCACACACGTCTCGTTTTCACCGATTCTTGATTTTTGGATGCCTCTTGAACAGCCACCGTTGGAGCATGGCTAGCCAGTCTTCTACTTTTGAAAAAATCTTCTACAATTCTTAAAAAGTCGGCGTCAGACTTTCAGGGCAAGCCGCGCCTTCACTCGACTTGGGTGCGGCGCGCGTAGTACTTCCTCCTGGCCCAGTAGAAGCCGAGGCCGACGAGCCAGAGGACAATCAGGATGAGCGCCTGCACGGGCGCGAAGATGGCGCCCCGGACCACGACGAAGCCGCTCACCAGCGCGAACACGACGGGGATCAGCACCGACGGCTTGTACGGCCGGCGCAGCTTCGGCTCGCGCACGCGGAGAACGACGGCGCCGAGCACCGTCAGGAAGAAGAAGGTATACTCGCCCAGCCCGTTGAACGTCAGGAGCGCGCGGAAGTTGCCAAACAGGATGTACAGCGCCGAGAGCACCGTCGACATCAGAAGCGCGTTGAGCGGGGCGTCCGACTTTGCCTTGCGGGGGAGAGCCGAAGACGGCTCGTCGGTCGAATCGCCGGCGGGGCTGTTGTCCTCGGACTTGAAGCCGACGCGGCCGACGAAGCCGAGGAAATCGGGGAGCCAGTTGAAGTTGGCCGCGGCCACTGTCATGCGGCCCGCGACGAACGAGTTGCCCAGCAGGGAGCCGGCGACGACGAGGCAGATGAGGACGGCGGCGGCGACGCCGAAGCCAGAGCCGAGAAGACGGTTGATGGCAGTCTGTGTGAGAAAGCAGGTTAGCACAAAGGGTCGGGATCAAAAACAAGCCAGCGCCGCGTCGACGGGCGGGCCAGGAAGAGCGCCGGCAGGAGCGGGAAACGCCGAGCCGGCGTGGCGACCGCACTCACCACTGCCACGCTATCAGTCTTGGACACGACGTCCCAGGGGAGGAGGATGTAGTAGGCCGCGTTGGCGGCAATGAAACACAGGATGATGGTCGGGACGGCCGTGTTGATGGCCAGAGGGAGCTGACGAGCGGGGTGCTGGAGCTCGGCCGTGACGTAGACGGCCTGTCATGCGTTAGCCAAAACAAAGGAAAAGGAAAGAAAAAAAAAAAGACGTTACGAAAAGGGGTCAGGGTTGAGCGCGCCTTGTCCCATCCGGAGTACGCCCACAGCGCGCCGTACAGCGCGGCCGAGTAGTACCCGAGCAAGTCCCAGGCGCCGACCTTGTCCCAGTCGACCTCGCCGCCGCCGGGCACCGTCGTCTTGCGGTTTCCGAACCACGGCTTGTCGAACCAGTCGCGGCCGCCGACGTCGCGGTCGCGGTCCGAGACCTGCAGGACGACGACAACGACGCCGGCCACCACGACGGCCAGGATGGCGGCGAACTTTGTCACGACGAACAGGTTGTTGAGGCGCGTGCTGGCCTTGGTGCTGATGCCGTTGGCGCCGTTCATGACGACAAGGACGAGGATGGAGAGCGCCTTGTGAGACGCGGCGCCGGCCTGGTCGGTGACGCCGCCGGCCGAGTAGATGCTCTCGACGAAGACGATGCTGAGGATGGCCAGGGTGGCGGGCATGACGGCCACGATCCAGGTCCAGGCGGCGAGGAAGCCAAAGACGTCGCCGTAGATGTGCATCAGGAAGGGCTGGATGCCGCCTGTGAAAGGCGGTCAGCTACAAGAGAACAGGGGGGGAGATGTTTATCGGGATCGGGTCAAAAGGACCAAAGGTGTGGACTCACCCTCACCCGGGATCGCGGTCCCCAACTCGGCCATGGTGCTCGCGCCAGTCCACGCCAGGACGCCGCCGACGAGCCACACGACCAATGCGGCGCCGGGAGACGGCACGTTGGTGTCGATGGAGCCGGGCGACGTGAAGACGCCGCTGCCAATGACGATGCTGATGACGATGGCGAAGGCCTCGAGGGCGCCGAGGTTGCGCGTGAAGGTGCCCGCCCCGCGTTCCTCGGGGATGAGCACGGGAGGCGAGGGTCCGTCGGTCCCGCCGTACTCCTCGTGGGTGTCGGCCAAGAGGGGCCGCTGCTGGGTGGCGTCTTCGGATTCGGTGTTGGACGCCATCTTCTTTCCCTTTGGTGTTTGGGCTGTCGATCGAATATGGTGGAGGATCGGAGGGGAAGGAGATGTTTGGACCGGGTGTGAGTCGTTGAGCAGGGATGGAGTTCACGGGTAAGGAAGGGTCCAAGCGCTGAGAGTCCTGAAACGACCTACTATCATCAGGTACGTCTTACGCTGTAGGTACCTAGGCAGATACCTGCGAGCGAGTCGAGCAGAGTGCTTATCTAAGCTGATAAGTATCTTATCTTATCGGAGCCATGCTAGCGTGGCATAGTACGTACTACCCTCTGACCCGTCACAAATGCCATGGGCAAATACTGTCACACCAAACATGGACATCTTCCCATTCGCCATGCGCTGATTACGATTCTGTCATTTTTACCCAAGTACACGCCAAGTCGCCTTTACTGGAACGCTGCTTTTGCCTCTGTGCCTACAACCAAGTTTGTAGTATAAGCAGAGGGAGAAGAAGAGAAAAAAAAGAGAGAGAAAAAAAAAGAGAGAGAAAAAAAAAGAGAGAGAAAAAAAAAGGAAGAAAAAAAAAAGAGGGGGTTGACCCCCATCTTATCGGAAAAGCCCAGCCACCATCATCGTGTTCCCTTCAGAAAGCGCCTCAGCTCGCGTTCGCCTCTGCTTTGCACTCACTATCCCGCGAATCCTCGGCGGAACTGGTTTGCCGCTTGACAAGGCCGTTCCTGCGCACCTGTCTGGCATATATCAACCCGCAGACGTTGCAGAGAGTCCAGAGGCCGGCGGGTCCGTTCCGCCACTGCGGGGTGCTCGTCGTCTGGCAAGACTGGCACACGAGCTCGGATGCGCGGCTCCGTTTCAGGGCCTAATCGGGGGTTTTTTTTTTCCAGTAAGCCAAAAGAGATTCCCTCATAATATTGCAAAGCATGTCGAAAGATTCCCCCAGTTGTAGTTGTGACCAACCCGGGGGATTTTTGGGGAGTAGCTGGCTGTTCTTTTGACAAGGGTGGAGGGAAGGGAAGGCGGGGGGGGGGGGTTAAGGGACCAGGCAAATACCTTTTGCGGATAGCAGTAGGACGCCGCAGAGTCCGTTCTGTGCCTCTGGCGCCTCGTTCGCCGCTCGCGTTCCCGGGAGGGGGCGACGCCTTGGAGTTTCTGCTCGGCGTCCGCGGCGCTGTCGTGGCATAGCGTCACGAGCTCGTCCACGTTGACGGCGACGTACTGGGACAGCGTGTGCGCGGCGATCAGGCCTGGGTGGCTGGCAATCACGCCGGGTATCCTGCTGCGTCTACAACCGCCCAGCAAGAAGTTGGACTGGAGCAGGCTTTGAATGTGGTCAAGTAATTCACTCGTATCAGCGTGGATCTAGATGTCATCGGCACCCGTCAGTCTGTTCAGTATTAAAGGGGAGGGGGGAGCAGGGTCAGTTGTAGTGTAATGGGCAGCTGTACCCTCTGCATGAGCTCTCCCGCCTTGAGCTGGTTCAAGGACAGCAGGGTCGAGGCGTTCGCGCGGCAGTCGCCTGTCGGTGTCTGCGGAGGCGCCGAGTCGTCGTCGTCCGATGTCCCGGACAAAACGGCGTCGGGACCTCTAGGAGTTTTCTTGTCGGCTTCAGAGTCGGAGGTTTCCATGAAGGCCTGGCTTTTTTCCGTGGGGACTGAACCGTGGAAAAAAGAGGACGACAGAGTGACAGTCGAACTTTTAGATTCGGTCGGAGAGATAAATAGATTCCAGACCACGGCAGCAGCAGGTCGGTATAGCATCTGGTTCGCTACGACTGGGTGAACATGGCACGTGTATCATGAAAGGGGAGATGGATGCTGCGAATGGTGGCAAGCGTCGAGGTGTGGCGGCGCTGGTGGACCGTGTTATCAGAACCCCCTCCCCCGCCCGAAAGGGGTCGCAACCCAGTGCATATTAGTTCCGGGACCCATGCGGAAAAAACAAGTTCCCACTGTAGGGCTGCCACAAGGGTGACAAAAATACACCGTTGCGAGTTCTCCTCAACTGGCCGTGTTCTCACATGTATAGTTCCAGGTATAACAGTTTGTGATAAGAATGGGATAAAATTAGGTAGACAATTTTTAGCTGTCTTTTGAACACAATTTTACCCACGCGTCATGTAGGAAGAATTGACTTTGGCGCTCAAACGTCACGGGGACGTGCCCAGATGCCGTTCAGGGTCCTTCGTACGCTACGCGTATTATTGAACAGCAGAGACTTTTTGGCGTCGACAAGTATTAAGCCTGGACAGAGTTACAAGGTGTTGCTTTGCTACCGGGCAGTCTACGAAACCCAAACCAAGATTCGTCTGGTTTGGCCCCAAGCAACCTTTCTTCCTCCAAAGTTCAGGTTGTGCAGTGTGCCTCAATGCTACCGAAAACGAAGGGCTCCGATTGGTAGGGACCATCACCTCGGAGGGCATACCGACATTCATTTGGCCAATCACCACTCACCAGACATGTCAAGGGCAGTGAGTCTCATACAACCACGAGGGGGATGGTGGCATGTCCATGATTCGGTAATCACAGCCAACGTCATTATTGTCCATTGCAAGGCCCATCATGGTAGTCATGAAATGCAACTCTGCCGAGTTGATGTAGTAACTACCTTACTACAGTCTACATCGCCGGACCAGACCATCCCTCGGCTGTCCTTTATACGTTGTGGTATCGGAGTCTCGCCTGCTTTTTTTTTTTCTTCCCTCAACTCCTTGGACGCCGATGCTAACCTTCACGCAAGTTTTGGTATCATGTGGTATCATGGTTATCTCAAAAAGAAAATCCCAAAAGAAATCAACCCAAAATGGTCGGACAAGTCAGACCCAAAATGATACCCGTGGTCCGATGAAACGGACCGAGAGAGGGGTAAAGAAGAAAATCAGACGACGAGAGAAAAAAAAAAAGAACAAGCAAGAAATGAGAGAAGATAACCATCTCGTCAAACACGGAGAATACGTTTATGGCCTCACGAAGTGTAGGACGGCGCCGAAACCTTCTTGCTCCTGGTGCGTCCCAGCTTCCGCATCCTCATGGCGTGGACCAGCCCGCAGACGTTGCACAGTGTGCAGGGACCGGCCGGACCGCTACGCCACTGCGGCGTGCGTCGGGTGTTGCAGGCGTGGCATACGAGCTGGGAGAGGTCATCAGTCTCGGGGCGCTGGTGCTGGGCGCGGGCGGCGCGGTAGCGCTCCTCGATGACGCGGCGGTGGTGCCGCATCCTGCGGGCGTGGTCAGAATCGCGCGTGGCGAGCGTGGCCTCGCGGCGGGAGAGGGCGATCAGCTCTCTCATATCGCCGGTGATGTCCCGCGACTGGCGCTGGACGGTGAGCAGGGCGGGGTTCCCGAGGATGGTCTTGGGGACGACGTGGCCAGCGCCGGCGGCGGGAAGGGCGCGGCACTGGAGCAGGCCCTCGATGCTGCAGACGAGGTTCTTGGCATCGCCGTGCACCTGAGGAAAAGGAAAGGCGTAAGCACTCTAATTGGAGGGATCGCCTGATGCACCTGTCACGAGGGAATGCAGAGAGTGCGAACTTACTCGTTGAATGATCTCGCCGGCTTTCAGTTGGTTCAGGGAAAGGGGCACCAGACAGCGCGCAGGGCTTTCCAAACCGCTCGAAAGACACGGTCCGATGGGGAGCATGTCAGTCGGCGGCCGAATAGGGATAGTCAGGTCGGACGTGGTTCGGACGACGGTTTGTGTTTCGGAGCAAGCCATGGGAATGGAGTGACTCGGCCGAGAAACAGAGACGGAGTTGATTCCGGTAAAAGAGGAATAGGTACGGGTAGTAATTACGGATACAGGTAGCCAAGAGAAGTGGGGCAGCGATGGAAGAGGGGACGATCCGTACTTGGGGGAATGTGGTGTAGAGATCGAGAATTCTGTGAGTGATCGGACATCGGGGGGGACGGGGCATCGGGCTTTTAAAGGGATTTTCCAATGCAATAAAGAGGGGAAGTTGCATGAGACCCTGCATTCCATTCAGTGTACGGAACGATACGTACCCGCGTGCTAGTGTAGACAGACTAGGTAGGTGCCTGTCGCGCCTGCTTACCTACAGGTCAGGTGCTTAACTGCCTGTACCTATCTACCTGAGCTATGAATATCAGTCAGCAGTAGACTTTCGACTGATGTTGTGATCGACCACTTTCTTGCCCAATCAAGCCGGGACTCGATTCTGTGCTCTCGACTCAATTGGCCGTCGGTGTGGGCGGACACCTTGCTGGTACCCCTCAACAATTGACAAGACGTTAAACTGACGTTGAGTGAACGTAGGTGTTGCGCGCAATGACACGGATTCAGAGCACCAACCGAAAAGTAATCTTGAGGTTATATACACACACATATAGACAACAATAGGTACAGTACTAGGTAAAAATTCTCGCAACAGCAATAAGGATAATCCAATGAAGAGTCGAAGAGGGGATCCGTGAATAGATCGAGGTCACTTCATAATGCACCACCAAAGGCCCTGTGTGTCAACCACCTACTATAGCTCTTGATTGGCCATCTCTATTGCTGTAGCCAGACTTTTGACTTGGTACTGTACACACACGCGCGCATATATATATAGTCATATATATATATATATAACTGTGTATCGTCTTGTACTGCAAGTCCTTCGTAATGCGGAACTTGGAAGGGATTTGTTGGACACTGCATTTCGGAAAAGCCGGCTTTGGGTGTAAGGGTTGCCAGACTATTACTGTTGCCGACCTAAGGGAGGCTGGCCTGATTCACCTGCCACGTCCAATCGAACCCAGTAGGTGAAGAGTCTGCCGGAGCTCCTTATCATCTTTGCTCAACCAATCACCGGGGAGACCAAGGTGGCGATTGTTGGTGAGCCCGATTCCCATGTGCGAGAGGGGCAATCTGTCTATATGTCCATCGCTTTCGTTCTCGCTTCCGTTCAAGGACTCTGCCGGGTTCTGCAAAGACATAGCTATACCGCTCGGCTCCGACATGTCAAGCTGCAGAACCACCAAGTTGCAACTCAACTTGAATCGTGGCATCATATGTACCTTTGCCCGTTCGCTCAACGTCATCTCACCATGTTCGTATGCATCGGTCTCACGATGATCCCCTTTGCGCTGATTCATTTGCTCCTGCCTTGGCTCGTGGAAGCCGATTCCGTCGAGGCAGGAGCGGCCGCATGACTTCTTGCTCGAGAGCGCACTTGCCTCGCTCCTGCCTACCAGTTCCTGGATTTTCACGGCAGCTCTTTCCCTTCGTTATGGACAGGGCAGGGCAGAGAAGGTTGGGTTAGGTTAAGCTTCACTTAATCAACTAGATAAAAAAATAAAAAAAGGTCCGGAGTTGATCGACTTACTGGGACAACAATCTAGTAGCATCGAGACTTCTACCTTCATCCTTATATCTTGGCAAATGTGCACGGTAAGCCACTCTAATCACAACGTTGACGCACGGAACCATCCATCTCTGACCTTTCTTTCTGCTACAAAGATCTCTCAGTCAAGCATCATGTCCCAGCTGGCCGATAAATCTCTTCGATCCGAGGGCAAAGGCATCGTCAAACCCGGCACGCAGCCCTCGAAAGATCAGTCCACCCCAGGTCGATCAGCCTACGGAGTCCCCACCATCAACGTCCTCTCCACGGCCATCTCTCGTGGAAAGCCGCCCGCCGACCAGCAGACCAGGTCCGACTTCTGTTTCGACCGGCTCCTCAGCTTCTTGCCGCACGACGAACACAAGCTGCTCCACGTCTACCGAGCGCTCGACGTGCCGTCCGCCAGACTTCGCAAATGGGCGTCCAAGGGCAGGAAGAGGCTGGGCGAGAAGGTGCTTGCGCGACTAGAGCAACAGAAGGACGCCGCGCCGGGCGAGTACCAGTTCGCCGTCGACCACCCCTATGTCTGGGGTCTCGGGAACGGCGACGTTTGGGCTAGGGCGGGCCAGGCCTACGACCACAAGCTCAAGGGCGAGCCTTTGCGTCTATCGGACAAAAAGGAGGCAGTGAAGCAGGAAGACATTCTGCGTACTGCCGCGGACGGAGCTTTATCTCCTCGACCGAACGAGACATCCAGATCTAGCAGAAAGCGGAACAGAAATGCGCTTGACGATACCACAAAGGTGCCCGGGGCACATGGTCGACACACCAAGTTCCAGAAGAAGAAGGCCGCGGGAATTGGTCCAAGTCCGCTTCGCAAGTCCTCATCTAGGTAAGCTTGATTCTTGAAACAGCAACACGCAAAAACGTCATCCAAGCTCACCAAAATTGTCCAGCAAATAGGCAGAAGCTGCTTGAATCACGTTAGTGGTGGCTTCTGCTGTCACAGCATCTGCTCTATCGAACGCTATAATCCGTTGCGATCCTAGCTTCCTGGCTCGCGTAGACACAATAGTAATGAGCCAACCGTAGCCCCAGTTTTGGTGCTACCTACATCACGAATCGTCCAAGGGATTTTGGCAGGGTGACGACGTCTTGGTGGCCTTTGGAATTGGATCTCCGACAACTGGTAGGATATACAGGCAAGAGTGTGGCGGAAGAAAAATGACCTAGAAAAAGGGAGCGAAGGAATGAGGCTGGATGGATATTTGCCGGCACATAGGATAGCGGCACAAGAGGGCTAGTAATATCTGCAAGACCGAGATAATGGTATCGGTACTCAAATTCGCAGACATTGAGCACGAGACTCTAATGCAATACGATTTCTTGGGCCGCATCAAGTATTTTTATGACAGCCTGGCCGAAGTCTGACGACAAAGATATCTAGGAACTCAAAGGTACGGATGTTGCTAGCACCCAGGGATCGCGTATATCCCCCCCCGTTTGTCAACACACCACGCGGCTGGACCACGATACCGGAACCGCATGTCCAACTCGGTGCGCACCTACATTGACCTCCCGAATCCGGCCGCTCTCTATATGAGGTCGCCATTATAAACCTAGACAAGGGCGACTGGAATAGCCAACGAGGTATCGCGCATTCGTTCCCACCGGCACAAAGGATGAAAGAAGTCGTCTGTGAGACCCTCTCTCTGTCTCCTGCGGATACGTCCAAACGACACAATTGCTTCGTAAAGGAGTGTCCTGTCCAAGCCAAAGCCGTACGACTCGGGCTGCCAACCCCCTGCAGTTCCCGTTCTCTTTCCGGCTCATGATGGTTGTAGACGCCGACAAAGGCCGCAGCTCACTCACCCTTGCTTGAAAGGCTGCAAGCGCTTGATGGTCGACTGAAGTGGAACAAACAACATTGGATCAATACCTTAATACATTCTTTCCATGCTTCGCGATGGGCTCCCTTGGCTTGCTGCTATCCGTGGAAGCTGGCGAGCCTTTCCATGTTTTTCAACCGTCAGGAGCAGGTAGATCTTGAATAAATAGCGCGCGGTCTCCCCTCCTGGCCAAACCTCACCTCACCTCTCAGCATCCCATCCATCATTAGATCTCCAGCAGGTTACAACAACAGCCGGCAAAGTTACAAAAGGAAGAGACATAAAAATAACAGCCGACATAATGGACTACCACTCAGCCGTCCTAGCCCACCCCGAGTTCCTCGCCCTCATGCAGGACACCACCCGGCTGCCGAGCGACCTCGACACCCTCAAGACGTGGTACTTCACCCGGCTCGCCTCCGACGCCGACCGCCTCGCCCTCCTCGGCGTCTACAACGCGCTCGTGTTCGATCTCGGCGTCCACTACCGCAAGGTCCACCTGTGGCTGACGAACCTCAAGCTGCACGTCGGCATCCGGCAGGCCTTCGAGGCCGACCCCTCGCGCGTGCCCGAGGCGCGCCGGGCCTGGTTCGCCGCGCACGGGCGCGCCGTCTTCCGCTGCGACCGCTTCGGCCACGACACGCCCGTCTTCCGCTTCGAGGCGCTCGAGAACCGCAAGAGGTGGCCGGCCGAGTGGAAGGGCATGCGCAAGGAGGACATCGAGCTGGCCATCGACGCCACCGAGGGCGGCATGGCCACCGGGTTCCAGAGCGAGGCCGACTGGGAGCTGTGGCTCGTCGAGATGGCGCGCCGGTGGAAGAACGGGGAGACCTACGTGCACTCGTAGTGTGGGCCGCGAACGTCTCTCTCTCTCTCTCTCTCTCTCTCTCTCTCTCTCTCTCTCCGCGGCTGTTCCTGTCTTGGGTTTCTGTAAAGTCGCGAGACGAGGGTTCTCTTTTTGGTCCGGAGAAAGAACCCCAGGGCTGTTTTGTATGTGTCGTCCACCTGAGTCTTGTCTTTTGATGGGGCTGTGAAAGAAGATGGAAAAGCTCTAGTCCTGGGTGGAATATCTATCTATAGATTATGCTGCGTAACAAAAAGTCTCGGAAAGCTGCGAACATGATTTGTTTAGGCTTATGCGACATCATATTTCCCACCACCGGGCTTTGTGGAAGGGCAGGGGAGCAAAGAGCAAGCCTGTTCAGATTGCCCTTTTGCCTGCTTCTTTTGCTAAAATGCCGTATTATCCATCACACCCTCGCCGTCCCAGGTTTCCTTTCACTTCCGGTAAGACCGCAGAAGCAAATTACCAGGCCCTCTGAGAACACGCTCACAAACGCTGTACCGTTTCTCCTAACCCGGAGAAAAGCTCGCTTCTCCACCACTACGCGAATCACCTTTTGCTCAACAGGGTCGATCACACTCTTGCTTCCACCGCAACCTCGCGGTGACTACGGGCACCATACTTCCGTGCTCCCATCCAACAGGACCCGATCAGCATGCCTTTCCATTGGCCTCCAAAGTTGCAACACCATCAGTCAGCTCTCACATGGATAGGATTTCTGCAGCAACTTGCGGAGTCTCCATTAGACTTTGTCCCGGCTCAAGGCGAATTGCTGGATATAGGCCAGGTTAGCATAGAGGAGGTAACCAGAGAGCACACGGCTTTCAGACGCTTGTCGTGTTGATATAGCAAGACCAAAAGAACACAGTCAGCAACTCGCTTCCCACAGACGATGAATCCCGCTTTTGCGTAGTTCCCGCGAAATCCTCCCCCTTCACCCCAAGTATGAACAAACACGCGTCCTAGTCGCGATGCTTCTCGGGGGTTCCCTACGCCAAAGACCTTTGCACTTATCACTCTGAACTTCAAACGTGAAAAAAAAAAAAAAAAGAATCTCGAGAGGCGGATGCTCACGTACAGGACTGGGCTTACACTCCCTCGTTCTCACGCCCTCATATCGTAAAGCCCGCGCAGTCTCCTCAAGTCTTCATAACTCCAAGCCCGCTCATATGAGCGAGGTGCCACATCACCTCAGCTACAGTTCAGCCCGGCACAACGGACAGGCAACGCCAACTCATCGTCTGTCTATACACGTCTCTTTGGACCGGGCAGCACCTGAACGTTTTTAGAAGAAGAGAAAAAAAAACAAAACCCCCCTTCCTCTGGACCTCCTTCTTTCGAGAAGTCCAGAAACCCTACTTCCTCTTTTCCTCTCCTTCCTCTCATTCATCAACACACTCCGAATTTTGCACCGCGAAGTTGCGCCAACCCCCCCTTTTGCAAACACACACACACACACACACACACTTCAACACCACATTTTGCAGTCCTAACTTGCAAAGTCATACATAACCCCCATCCTCCTCTACCGTCGCCGGAAAACATGGCGGCCAGAAAGACGGTCCCCAAAGCCACGACGGCCAGAAAGACGGTCCCCCAGACCAAGACGGCCAGAAAGACGGTCCCCAAGCCCGCAGGGACCAAGAATCCCGTGGCCAAAAGAACCACGACGGCGAGAAACACCCCGGCCAGACGCACCGCCGCCCACGCCCTCTCCGCCGCCCTCCGCAACGACGAGGTCCCCACCGACCCCCGCGTCCTCGCCGCCTTCGGCTTCGACCGCTGCTTCTCCGGCCCCGACCGCGCCCACCTGTCCATGGTCTACGCCGCCCTCATGGTCGACCTCGGCGTCCGCCCCCACGAGCTCAACAAGTGGCTCGCCGGCGCCGGCGACGGCGACGGCGACGGCAGAGGAGAGGGAGAGGTAGGCCTCAAACACGTCGGCGAACGCATCCGCGCCCGCTTCGCCGCCGCCAAGCCCGGCCGCCTCCGCCCCGGCCCCCACCTCGCCTGGTTCCGGGACCACCAGTACGTCTGGGACGACGACGCCCCCGGCCGCGCCAAGGCCGAGGCCGCCGCTCGCCGCATGATCAACAAGAACCTCGCCGCGCTGCGCAAGAAGGTCAAGAAGGGCGAGCGGGACGAGGTCTTTGACTGGTGGTCCTGATATCTCATTGGGGGTCGAGGGGTGTCTTCTTGCCTGCTTCGCGGGCCAAGTGACTACGGGGTCGAGAACTTGGTGAGCTTTTGGATCCCTCCTCGCGTATATGCATCTGACTACTGGACTAACACACGCCCGCATTACCCTAGTGATCTTGGAATTGTATTTGACCAGGCTTCGTTTCACTCGACGTGCCTTTTCTGCTTTCATCGCCCTCCTTCGTCAATATCCCATGTTTCCGCGGCACCAGCGACACCTACTATCGAGATTCTGTTCCCGGATGTCGCGCCGCTGATGGTCCATTCGACCACTCCTTGGGGCTGTATCGCTAGAGCTTGACGGTGGACTCGTTGGAAAACAACCGGTTTGGATGGGAGGGGAGGGGGGAATATTTGCTAATAGGATCATCATCAGGCTTGGGAGTGTTCGGGGGGAATTGTAGGCCAGCACGGCCCATGTTTCGTTTCGTCAGCTTGATAACATCACAGCCTTACCGGTAGGAATAGACCAGTCTGGTAATAGGAATACACGGCCCGTTTCTCATCCAACCCACCCCCATGACATCCTGTCATTAACGATCCACGATTCCGATACTCAGAGGAACGGGGAAAGAAGCTTCCTAGCAGAGGGCTGACCCTACGCGTGCGTGCCGCCGGCCCCAGTCTCGATATCTGAATGTGCGCAGACTCACAGATGCAGCCAACTTCCCGTCCCCTTCTGCCTTTGTACAAATGTTTATGAGACACCTGACTCACCGCAACGGTTACCCTTTTCCATCGACTGCTCCTCTATGTTTTTGGATACAGCAAAATAGCAACGCTTATGGACCGGACCATCCATCAATCCCATGCGCCGACTTACCCAAAACAAGTCTAATAACTCTGGCCAGCTGTCCTGCACAGTCCAACAAAATGGGTATCGATTTCACCATATCCAAAACATTCGCAACTCCTATCGCATCATGTATGCCTTTCCCTATCTTTACTTACCTAATTATGTCATCGTCGTACCCGGACAATTTCCACGAAATTACGAGACCCCCTTCGTCTCCAGGATCTTGCTAAGCTCTTTCAACCGCACAGGTTTCGTAAGGAATAAGTCGATGCCACTGGCAAACGCCTCTTGCTGCGCGCTCGCTGACGCAAGGCCCGTGAGCGCAAAGATGTGGCAGCGCGTTAGGCCCTGCTCCATCTCGAGGGCGCGGATACGGCGCGTCGCCTCGAATCCATCCATGATGGGCATCGAGATGTCCATGAGAACAAACTGGAACCCCCCACCAGCCTTGCGGAATATATCCAGGGCTTCTCGTCCGTCCGTGGCATTCTGAAACTCATACCCCAGTTTCTTCATGTAGGATGCTAGTATCTTCAGATTGAGCGCATTGTCATCCACCAACAGGAACTTTTGTCGACTTTTACGGTCTTTTCTCGATCGCTCGCCGCTTTTGGAGTCCGAGGCGGGTGTTTGCTCTCGCTTCGGTCGATCTGGAAGCGCGATATCCTCTGCAGCACCCGACACATGACTTTCCTTGGATCCCTCTGTTTGGCTGTCCTCGCCGAGCCCCGATGCCTTTGCCTGGTCGCTACCTCCGTGCTTGTCGGGCTTCGACTCGTCCTCACTGGGAAGTTCCGGCAGAGCCTCCGTGCTTCCTACGTTGGCACTGCTCCCTATGCCTTGACCGGTAGGTGCAGCATCGTTGAGGTTTGACCGATTCTCACTCGTCAGAGATAATTGTGTAGGCGTCGGAATGGCACCAGCCTGTGTTCGAGTCCACCGTCTTAAGCTCAGCAGCAAGACCTTGGCCAGCTTTCTCGGGCCAATGCTGAACGAAATGTCAGTGCGGCATAATGTGACGTGAGCGTAGAAAACTTACGGCTGCGAGATGAACTCGAAGAAAACGCGCGTGCCATTGAACCGCGGCGATGTCGCTAGCTGCCGCGCAATCAGAGCGTTCCGACAAATTACCACGACGGGTGTGGATATCGCGCCTTGGCGTCGTTCAGACAGGAGCCGATTCAGGTGTCGTTCATTGGATAAGACCAAGTCGGGGAGGAGCTGTTCCTCCGAAGCTTGGCCAATGATGTGCATTTTGAGCCACTCCCTGCAGATTTTCGCCACCAACTCGCCCTCGCTTGGCGTGTGGCTCGACAAGTCGCCAACCGACTGAACTCCGTAGTCATCTGGAAAGCCGAGGAGCTTAACTCGGAGACCTCCGAGCTCGCTCACGGATGCCTGGAAGTCGTCAAAACCAACGGTGCCTGTATGGCCGATTCCTGGCGATGTCAGGACAGCAGCCTGCAGTGGGAGCTGCACCGTCACTCTGGTCCCACGGCCAACCTTGCTCCAAACTTGGATGGACCCGCGCAGCTTAGCGACGATCTGATTAACCAAGCTTAGGCCCAGGCCAGTTCCGGCAGACAGGTTATCTTCCTGCGCAAAAGGAGAGAAGAGATGATTTCGAAGGTAGTCCTCGCTAATGCCTCGCCCAGAATCTACCACATCGATCTGGATCTTGGCGGCGTCCGAGGGGCCCTCCTCCTTCTTCTTTATCTGAGACACGCAGACATTGACGAACCCCTTGCTCGTGTACTTTAGTGAGTTGCCCAGCAGATTCATTATGATCCGCCGGATCGCGCCAGGCTGAGTATGGTAGCGCCATGATGCCGCAGGACTGACGTCGAACGTCACAGACACGTCGCCTAGGACGAGCTCCAAGTCACCGAGTTTGTCTGTTCCCGAAGCCATGTCTTCCATCGCCTGCATGCTGTCAAGCCTGCGTATCGCACTCGAATCCGCGTGCTGGCCCGGTCGGTTGCTGGCCAGCTGGGCAACAGACACCCGTTGGTAGCTGAACCCGGCGCAGATGCTCTCAACGACCTCTTCAGCTAGAACATCAACGTCCACGTTGGATGTAATGCTCATCATGCCGGACTCGATGCTAATCTTCTGGTCACGGTTCCTGAGACCTCTGTCGCCGACCTCAGCAGTGCTGCTTCGACGCTTCGACGGGCCGATGAAGTTGTTGATCTTGCTCCAGTCCAGAAGGTGATCAATGGTCTCCAAGAGGGTGCGTCCGCAATTCTCGATCGATACGAGCGTTTCGCCCTGAAATGCATCTAGGGGCGTATCGTGAAGCAATTCCAAGCCGAGGATGATACCGTGCAGCGGCGATCTGAGTTCGTGAGAAAGGGAGCTCAGGAGGTCCGTCTTGGCTTTGTCCACCAGCATCGAGTCGAGGCGATGAACTTCGGACATTATGGCCGCCGCAAACGCCCGGAGATAGCTGAGCTCACCCTCAATGGTGAGAACCCGCGTGGGGGTTTTGGTGCAGACGAAACCCCCGGCGTGCCAACGTTGCTTCTGGGCGTTCCAAAGGGGGACCAGCGCAATGCTCCGCGCGCCCGAGAAGATACCGCCGAGAAGCTTTCCTTCGTTGCGCCTCGAAAACGGATTCTTGGGTCGCCTGCGACTTTTACGTTTGTTTTCAGTCGGTGTTAGTGGAGACTCGGGTGTATTATCAACGGGCGTCTGCACGACCAAGCTGTGATCGTCGCCAGAAAAGTCGCTGGACTGGATGGTACCGTTCTCGTCGAAATTGAATATCTTGCCCTCAGGATAGCGTCGTAGTAGCTTGGCGAGAAACTTCTCGGATATGGAGGACTGGCTTTGGGAAGGCAGGTCACCGTCGATGCTTGATACGGCCGAGCTTGAGAAACCCAACACGCGACAGGTGGCTTCTTCGCGGCTGACGGAACTATGGTCACTGCCCCCTGTGCCTGAGCTACTCCTTTCGTCGCTCGACGACGACGGCGATTTGGCTCCCGTCGACGTGACATGGACAGATTTGGATTCGGATAAGCCACCAAACGAGCCAATAGTGGCATCCAAGAACAAGACGCTCTCGACCTCGATGGCTTCACGAACGATGTTGGATGCCTTTGAGAAGATGTGGAGCAGCTGAGATTCGTGAGAGTCCCTATCTTCGTGCACTGAGCCGTCTGGAGCGGTTCGAGCGCTTGTCAAGGACTCGCCGGAGACAGACGGCACAAACGCTTCATCGCCCGTCTGCCGATGGGTCCCTGTCGCCTTCAGGTACTGTCTCGATTCCCTCCAATCACTCAGAGATGCTTCTAGCTGTTGAGGGGAAGCATTGGCTGTGACCAATTCGTCTTCCTGCTGGATGTGCTGCTGGTTCTTGTTGAGACCGCCTTCGAGGGAGGGGTGGTCGTAGAATGAACTCGGGTTATTCCCCAGCCTCCAACCAGACATGGTGCTCTTGCCTTCGATGAAACTACCGACGCCGCGGACCATTCTATCGGCACGTCGATGGTCGTCTTTGTTACGTTTCGCGTCCAGATAGTCGACAATGACGAGGGAAATGTCCTGCATGAGGCGCGTCGATACGTCGTCGAGCCCCTCGCGAGAGGTATCCCCAAGCACGGCAAAGACGCCGATATTGATGCCCTTTTGTGAACGGAGGGGCACACCGGCATAGAAGCGGTTCGCTGGTGAATTGAGACAGAGGTGTCTTCCTGCCGTCCTGGGGTCTTTTGAAAGATCGGGGATCACTGTCACTGGCAGTTCGGCGTTCTGCCAAGACGCGTGATCAGAGGGCTCCGGGGCGGAGAGGACAAGCTCGCACATACCAGAGGAGCGCGGCAGGGCTGTACCGGAGAGCAGCAGATGCTCCCCAGGACCAAGACCTATGGGCTTGGTTTTGGGCGTCAGCGACAGAGACGGGGTGGCCTCGGCAACAATGTACTGATACTTGGTGTCAAACAGCGAGATGAGAGCACGGCTGGCATTGAGCCGTAGAACGCCGAGCTCTGCAAAGGCTGTCAGGGCTGGGTCCGGGGAGGAGCGCAGCTCTGCTGGCGGAATCAAGTTGGTGGCATCGTTGTAGGTAGCTTGGGAAATGAGGGAGGAGTCGTATCTGGTGACTGGTCAGCATCGACAATGCTGAGAGGCGCGTAGGTCCGAACATAGTGGAGGGCATCGGAATACGGGACGGTGGGAATGGAGCGGGGCGGGGCGGAGGGTGACGGGTGGTTCGGACAGGCAAGAAAAGGAGGATTACCAACCTAAAGGTCTCTCGCTCACGGCGGTTTTCCGACACGGTCTGGGCACGGGAATGATCGGCCATGGGAGGAGATGGGGCTCCTTTGCCGTGGAAGCCAACGACTGGCAGGTTGGAGACGATATCTCGACCTAGTCAGGGATACTCGACCGAAGGTTAAGCAGTGGCGCAGCAGGCGAGGCACCGAGCTACGATGCGCAATGGGTTAGCATCAGGCATTATGATGAGGACGAGGGCGGCGAAGACAACTGGCTGCTGACAAGTCCGATTTCGTACCGGACAAGAGCAACAGTCTGGCGGCGGCCGGAGAATGAACAAGGACGTCGACGAGGAGTCAAGGCAAATGGATGCGGGGCTGACAGCAGAATTGGAGAAGCCACCACCAGAGCTCCTCGCGGCGGTACATCTGGAGATGGCTGGGATCGGTAGCTACGCCATATCGTGTTGCCCTCGACAGCAAGGGCGATTCTGTCGCGGGCAGGGTAGAGAAGAAGCAAGCGAACGCAGGGGCGCAAAGAGCACATCCCAAGGTAATTCAAAGGGCACAAGATCGGGTGTACTCACCCACTGACGGTGAAGGCGATCTCGGATGAGAATGTCGCGCCTAGATCATGGCGGCAGAGGAGAGGAAGGGAGGAGGAGACGACAAAAGGAGAAGCCCGATGGGGAGAGAAGGCGTATCGTATCGTAGTCGCAATCGAGCAGCACGAGGGCAAGGTGGAGGCTGGGAATACTACGCGGCGCAAAAAAAGCGATGGGTAGTCGTTGATGCAGTTTGGAAGAAACATGCATGCATGTGGCGATGTTGAGAGGGACTCGAGTCACAGCGGCAGCAGCAGCAGCAGTAAGTGCAAGAGCAAGCAACAACAGCCAAGAGAGCAAGAGCAAAGGGAGGGGCGAGTGGCGAGAGGAGGGGCAGCAGCAGCAGGAAAAAGCAGGTGCACCAACCTCTTCCGGGCCTGAGCTCTTGCCTTTGCCATGAGGCCGACCCGGGACGGCCCCACCTGACATGAGACGCCTGCTTATCGATTGGCCCATAATGAGTGGGGTCGTACAGTGCGATCGTGAGATCAGGGATGCCCTGGGAACGCTTTTTCGATATGTTTTGCCATGTTGGGCTGATGGAAATTTTCAAATAGCGAAGGTGGCGTCCTGCCAGTCTGGACCTTATCTGCCAACCCAGAGAAGTGGGCCTCTGAGTGTACAGTGCGCAATACAGTGTTCTCTTCATCCAGTGTATACAGTTCTTACATCAGCATGCTCAAAAGCTGAAGGGACAGGACATGGGCATTTGTGCATCTTGATTGCCCCCCCTGTCATGTCTCTTGCTTACCTGGGCTTTCTTACCTTACCTTACCTACAGTAGATCCTTTGGCACCTTACCTACAAGCGCTCTACACTAGCTACCCCCTAGTTTGCTACATACGGCAGTAGTCATCGTGCAAATAATGTAGAATCTATAGTCAGGGTGCCTACATAGTAGTGGGAGGAGGTATGCAAATTCCATCTGTCGATTTTATTCTACTAAAGGTAGATTCATTCCGTTAATTCTAATTCTCCTCTGTAGCTAAACCGTTGCCTGCACCAGCCAGTTATCAAACCCGCCGACTCTGGTCTAGCCCCTAAAATGCATGGATTGCGCCTGACCATGACTCAGAGTAGACAAGCGGCACCGGGTCGTTGTCTGGTGATGCCACCACTCCCTTCTCCCCCTTAGGTATTAGGCATTGCGGGCTGTACGTAGTGTGTGTATGTGTGTGTATGTGTGTGGGTGTGGGTGTGTACAGTTTGCATGTCTGCCCTAAGTGCTCCGTACCGTCTGGCTCAAACATTATGCGATTTATGAAATTGTGCCTCATCGTCGCATCGGATATGGGGAGCAACCTGAAAGCAGGCTTTTGCCAGGATCCGGAACACTTTCCGGGCAGCCAACCCAGGGCATCGAGACCATCAAGATGCTGTGCTTCTGGCCACGGACACGACCACATACCTAATCTACTAGGCTATCCAGTGTGTGTAATTAAGGGCAAAATTTCCCTCTTACCCTCTTGCGACCTCTTCGCCAGTTTCTTTGCTCAAATTGTGTTGTGCAAATGCCAAAGAATCGCATCTCTCCGCCGCGGGGTTTTTTCCCGTCCATTTGGTTCGCACATACCTAAGGATCGGATGAGATTATGGCCCAGTCCAGACCACACTGCTCTAACAGTTAACCCTCGAGGTAGGTAGGTAAATAGATACCTCTTACCTTAGGCACCCACCTCGAGGTACCTTGGTGCTGCCGCTCATCACGTGCATCCACTTTGTGTGCTCTCGTCACCGGAGAATGGAAGGTACTGTATACTAATTACCTATCTAGGCGAGTAGGTAATACCTACCAAGCTGATACCTACGTAACGAGGAAGGTGCAGGCCCAGGCTGCCGTTTTCCCCTACACGCACAGTTTGCCATTCTTCACCATCCCATTTCGACTTGTCATCATTCCCCCTCGCCGCTCTCTGGTTACGTAAGCGGGGTGATTCAACATGCCAAACGCCAACAAGGCGAACTATTCCAGCCAGCCGACGACCAACGCAGATATCGGCATCATCTCGGGATTATCGTATACCATTGGACAGTGAGATAAGGCGGCGACAGTCTGAACGTCGTTGATGTCGGCTAAGCAACCATTTCACAGGAACAGGATACCCATCATTCGATGCTTTTCTCTCTCCCGTTCCAAGACTTCCTTCTTCCACCTCCTTCTATATCTACCTAGTGTAGGTACCGCTCCTTCTGCTCAGCCTTGCTCGCCGGTTTCAATCTCTCCTGTCTTGAAAAGGTTTTCAAAGTCGTCTCATCGATATTGACGACCCTGCTGAGGCGGTGCAGTTTGACAGACGGGTGGCGAGTCCCTCGAACCGACCGCCCGACCGCCGGCTGGGGCCGCTCTCGACCGGCTGCGCCCTGGACGTTTCCGGACCGAAAACAGACAAGAAAATCTTATTCCTGCCCGCTGACTAAGAGGGGTCGTCTGCCCGCCGACATCTCAACTCAACTGTGGGGGTGGCGCTTTTCCTCTGTGCTGGTCCCTTGGGTGGCTCAAACGTCGCCCCGGCTGCATCTCGGTCGGGAGAGGCTGGGACGGTCGTGGGGGTGGGAGAAGAAGGGGGAGCAGCCCAGAGGCCAGCGTCGCAGCGCCGCGTGATCGTCGCACGGCACGACGATGATCATTCATCATGTGGTTGGTTGGTGGACCCGCAATCACTGTGCGCCCGGGCCATCTCGTCCCCGGGACCGAACGACGCTGGGCTTGCCCGAGATGACGATGATGGATGCCAAGATGGGTGTTTGTCAACATTAACGCCATGACCTCAAGCATGGTCAAACCGACCATCGAACCAAGCAACACGCAAACAACACGGCAGCACATACCAGCCCGCAAGTGCACGACGCGGTTCAGCGCTGCGCTGCCGACGGGGACAGCAGTTCACTTGACATGCCGATGGAGCTAGCAAGGCTGGGCGGCTAGGGCCGCTGTTGTCGTCGATCCTGGTTGATCGGGTGGCACTGCGCCGGGCCCAAGGGATATGAGATCGTCGTTTGACTATCGCTTCAAGGTTTGGGGTTTAACGCCAACGCATCGTCTTAATGGTCGACAGTCGTAGTTGTCTCGACGCCAGAGAACCGAGTGCGCCATGGACCCCGGGTGGAGTATGGACAGGAACCAAGACTGACGCTGCGGTTATCTTTCGGGTAAGAAACCTGTCTTTTGCCTGCGCCATCGATATGCCAGTTTAGAAACCGCGTGGCCGAGCGAGATGCTGCGGCCGGCGGCGGCGGCGACGACGTCGTCGTCACAGTCACCTCTCAGTAGTCGACAGATCACCTGTTTCCTAACGCTGGTGACGACGATGCAAGGCAGCACTCAATGCATGGGAGCTTTAGCTGCCCGAATCATCTCATCCAACCAGCAGCCAGGCAGCCGTCAAGTCAAACGTAGACCTTGCTTATCGAGCCTGCATGCCACTGACCAAGAATAATCGTCTGAAAAGGGGCCATCGCGAACCCCCAACGGCCGTGTCCAGTCCATCACTGCAGAGCGAAACGACAAACCCACCCCTCCCCCCTCTCCCCTCTCCCCCCAGCCACAACGGGTGATGTCACGAGGGCGTATCCCTATTTTTTTCACACTCACCGAGTTCGCCTTCGGGCCCGGCGGGTTCGAGAGACGAGACTCTCTCTGTTGGCTTTCTTGGGAGGGCACCTCGCGACTCTACTGATCGCTATGCAGTAGACCGAATGCGTCTAGTTCGGACTGACTATCCGCTGCATCCAGATGATCTGCACCGGCTTCTTCCGCCTTAGCAAATATTCGCCTCCAGGGTCCTCCCCGAGGGCGTCAACGGACAAGAACTACCGGGGCTAGAGGTCACGGACGATACCGGGCTCCCAACGGGGCCCCACTCCCGGAAGTTGCGAGCGGGTTCCCTTTCCACCTTCTCGGCGGTAGGGAGCCAAGGGATACCGGCAGGTACCCAGCATGACCGGGTGTGCCCATCATTACTTGGCGAGGAGCAGCGCTGGTTCCAACATGCGACATGCGTCGATCACGAAGAAATAGTCAGACCCGGCGGCCACAGAAAACAAGAGACAAGCCCTTTCCGCAGCCGTCTCGTGGACTCGGTTCGTTTGCGGCCGCCCTCGCCACCATCTTGGTCTCCCGCCATGCGGCGCGATTGGCGAAGATTCTGACGCGCGTCCCGGAGGGCTTCCCTGACCAGCACAGCGACCAGGGGTGGGGGGGTTGAGCAAGGGTCCCTTCCAAACGGCCACCTGGCCGCTCAATCAGCCACTTGATTGACTGTGACGGGAGGGCGGGAAAAGAAAACAAGGTGTGAGACATGAGGAAGAAGGGGATGAAGAAAACACCAGTTGGGGAAATATGGAAATCTGAAACTTTCCGAGTGTCTTTTCTCGACGAATAGTGGACCCTTGCCCTGGAAACAGAATGTTTCTCGAGGGTCACGGACGAAAGGGGAAAGAAAAGTAGGAAACAAAGAAAAAATAAAAAAGCAAGTAGGTGACACAAGGTGACACGAGGTTGGGCGATTGGGTTGAGCTGTTCAGAAGGGTATGACACGAGGCCTCGACGAGGGGGAGAAGGCAAAAACAAGCCCAACAGGAGGGGAAAACTGAACAGGGTCGTGGATCCTCTATCCTAAGAGCCGAGTTGCGCTGGATTTGTCGACACGTCTTTGCCCAACGGCCCCCTCTCCCGGAGCGTTTTCTTCCCCTCCTCGAATCCTCCCGCAACATTCAACTTCATCCCTTTGAATTGCATTAGCTCCTCTCATGCCGCTCAGACCGCGGCCACATGCATCTCGAAGACCAATCCCAGGCATGGATGACAGACGAGAGTGAGTCGACAGGGTAGATGGCTGGACAAGGTATCGGTCACCTAGCCATGCATCACCCTGCAGCCTGCAGTCGGATCTACAGGTCCTCTCTGCAGTGGCACAATGAACGATCCACGCAGAGTTCGTCATGGTTCTCGAAGTGTGCGTATATTCGGACCGTGATGTTTTTCACGATTCGTCTGAGCGTCCCAAGAAGCAGGGAGGGGGGGCCTTTCATCTTGATAGCCAGACGACGACAACGACGGTCCGAAGGCGACATAGCTCATCCGTCGTGCTCGGGATCCCTTCAGTGCTCCCGAGTCACATCATTACCAAACGAGCCGAAGGAGCGACAGTCGTGCGTATCGCCATTTTCTGTGTCGCGACGGGTTTTTGTTATTGGTTGGTGCTCGTCGTAGGACCGGGAGAGAAATGAGGGGTCGACTCATTCTCATTCGTTTTCCGATGCATTCCTCCTCATGCTCCCGGAATGCTGTCGTTTTGTTTGTTTTTCAACCCCCCTTCACTGTCTGACCCCAATCCCTAATAGAACTCAAACAAGTTGAGACGAAGGCTTATGTAGGTGCACGGGTTAGACCACTCACGGCGGCCGGGGCGCGAGAACAGCGTGGCCATGAGGCGGGGGCCCGTGTCGCGGCTATCCGTCCGTCCGTCCACTCATTCTTCCATTCCCCTCTCTCCTCTATACTGGTGATGATTTGTTGATGGCGGTATCGGCGGCTGAGGCGGCCCGTCCATCTTGCATTTCCCGGTGCTTCCCAAGCTCCGTCCTCCGACCCCTCCCATACACTCTCACACACCCTCACACACTATCACATACTCTCTCACACACCCATACACCCTGCACACCTAGATTCACAAAAGCCTCAGGCGATCGCTCGCGCACACGCGCACACACGCACCATTGATGAGTTGACAAGCATGACACCGCTACGCATGGTTTTATCGGGGACCTGCTTTCGGGTGTTTTCTGTGAAAGGCAGTGGGCTGATAATGCTCATGTTTCTATTTGAGATATGAGGCGTCCATGATGAGACGTAGTGGCGCGCTGCCGTCGTCTCGCCCACGGTGCGTTTTTTGTCTCAGACGGGGACGCGCCTTAGCAAGTCGAACATCCATAACGGTCCAGGCCTGGCGGTTTGTTGTTTTTTCATTTGCCCGCCATATCTCGCGGCGTCTCTCTCTCTCTCTCTCTTACTTCCCCCTGCCTTTGCTACCCCCCCTCCAGGACGCTATGCGAGGTGAGAGGAAGGGGGGAGAGAGGGGAGGGGGAGCACAAGGAAGGATGCACCAAAGGTGTGATGGACTGGCAGGGAGGCGTCTTCTGGCGGCCCAACCAGTCGGTACCGAGGATTTGAGTGGCCCGGCAGCCTCCGCCGATCTCCCGGCGTCCAATGGCGCCCAAGAGAAAGAGAGGCGAGAGGGCGAATCATCGTGGAGAGAGGTCGGTCGACTGGCAATGACGGTGCCAGAACAAAAAGCGGCCGGTTGAAGCAGATACAATAGCGTCGACGCGCGCGCAGAGGCTATGCAACCCGACAGGTCACCAGAGCCGAGCGTGCTCGGCTACAGAAGACTATTGGCCGGGCCCGAAGTTTTGGGTTATTGGAGAGCGAAAAGGGAAAAAGGAAGAAAAAAGTAAAAAAAAAAAAAAAGGGGAGCATGGACGGGAAAGCTGCTCCGAACTGACTTGATTCTCGCTGCTACTACTACCGTCTCGACCTCTCTGCTCTCGCTCTCCTCCATCCCATCTGTGTGTGACCTCCTCTCTGCATGTCATTGGCTCGAGACAGAAGTGGCAGGCAGAGCCTGGGGAAAAGCAATAGGCAAAACCAGCATATCAGCTTTCTGCCGCCGGCCGCCCCGTGAACCTGGCAGAGACAGATGCCCTCGTCTAGGTAGCTAGCTGTTGCCAATCAAAACTCGTTGCGCCACCGCATCCCCTCCCCCCTCTGATGGGTCTAGAACGGGGTCTGGCGGTGCGCCGTTCCACTGATATCGATACATCGCGTCGACAGGTGCTAGCCCAGGTTGGAAGGATGAATGTGTTTGGATTCCAAGCAGGAATCCTGCTTGGATGCCCGCCCTTCCTTTTTTTTTTCATTTTTTTTTTTTTTTTCACCCTCGGTTTCTTCCGCCACACGCGGGGAGGGCGCTACTGGACGATGTTGATTCATTCAGCTTGGCGTTCAGCTTGGCGTGATGGATGGGCGCTATGCTTGATCAACTCTGGCGCGCGCGCTGGGTTTGCGTGGCTAGTCTATGACTCTGATACCGGCCTAGACGGGATAGCCTCGAGCTTTGCGTCACTTGACTGTCGCGAAAGCATAGTGCCAAGTTGGGGTGTGCCAGGCTGGTTGGGTAGATGGACAGCCCCTCTCTGGTAGGTATCTTTCCGAAGGGGAGGGGAGGGGGGGGGGGGAGGGGGTTGACAGCAGAACGAACCGTTGAATTTCACCAACGATGCGCATGAACCCATTTCATGGCCGTGTTCTGCAATCTAGGAGTATCTCATGAGGTGGTCTGCCACCATCACATAGCCTTCCTCTTCTCGGACGACGTGTAGGCAGGCCTTGGCCAAGGCTATGCTGCTGCAGGGTCTCGTTCTCGTCTGCCGACTTTTTCGCCCCCCGTTTCCTCTCTTCATTTACCTCGACAGTTTAGTCGTCCATGTGCCTATCCTCACCCAATCAGGCTTTTCTCGGTAGCGTTCCCACCCCCGCAGGACCCAATGCTGGGACCCAAGAGGGGTGATGCTTGATGCGCACGTCAGTGCGGCTCGTTGAAGGGGGGAAGAGGGCTGTGGAATGGGGGGCACGCCACCATCACACACACCCTACACCCCCGGCCAATCGGGTATCAGCACCCGCTTAGTTGACCGGGGGCGAGAAGAGGGGAGGGGAGAGAGAGAGAGAGAGCATTAACGTGATGAGTGAAGACTGCGTGAGCAGCAGCAACTAAGCCGAAAGCGCCACGCCAGCCCTACATTTGCATTATACCATTGGGTAGTAATATCATGCCAACCGTCTCTACGTTACCTCACCGCGCAGTTGAATGATGGACTAACATAACCCGAGAGCAACGATCCTTGGGTGGCCAGGCGCTTAGTGCATTGATGGCGAAAGAGTGCTGGCTGACGCCGACACCGCGCAAGCACACAGGAAGGGGGGGGGGGGGGGACAAGCCATCGTCTTCGTCGGCTCTCGCCCCCCTCTCACCCGAAATCAATGTCGGATTGTTGTTGTTGTTGTTACCCGATCCTGTCCGCCCAAGGCCGTGTTGTGTGACTGGTTTCTCGAGGGGGGTGTGAAGAGTGAGTGGAGGAGGGGGGGGGGGGGGGGGGGGGCGTCTGTGTGCGAGATGAGTTCAGGGAAAACCCCTTTTTGCGCCACCCCCCTCCCCTCCCCATTTGCACGTGGCGTTCATCTATCTGAGCCTCCTTGGTGGCCAACAAGGGGACTCGAGAGAAAGGTTCAAGCAGGCAAAAGCAGGAAGAGCCAGCCGCGGAGAGGTAGTGCGAAGGCAACGTTGCCGGGAAGAGATATATCAAGCCTCCCCCCCCCCCCCTCTTCGCACCAGCTTCCCGTCCGAGAAAGGGTTACACTCTATAACAGATCATCAACATACGGACAACCGATTACTTCTTACATCGTCCTCCCTCTTCTGGACTTCACTTACAGGACGTCCGGTTTCATCCAACCACCAACCAAAACAAACACTACACATATAAACCAAGCTTCACATCACATCTCAGCAGCCATGCTGTGCATACTACCAGACGAGCTCCTGCTCATCACAGGTGTAACCGGCCATGTCGGCTTCGCCGTCCTCGTCCACGCGCTGAGGGCTGGCCACACCGTCCGCTGCGCCGTCCGCTCAGAGGCCAAGGCCGACTTCATCCGCTCCCGCCCCCAGATCCGCGCCCTCTGCCTCGCGCGCGCCAGGCTCAACTTCACCATCGTGCCCGACATCACGGCCGACGGCGCATACGACGACGCCATCCGCGGCGTCTCCTCCGTCATCCACGTGGCCTCGCCCATCGCGACGGCCGACTCGGTGCCCCGCGAGCTGCACCAGGAATACTTCATCCAGCCCGCCGTCCGCGGCACCCTCGGCATGCTCGAGGCGGCCAAGCGCGCCGGCACCGTCCGCCGCGTCGTCATCACCAGCTCCATAGCAGCCCTCGCGTCGGTGGACCAGATGGAGGGCCGCGAGCGCCGCGCGACGCCCGTCCAGCCCGACGAGCGGACGGGCTTCAGGCCCGAGCCGTACGAGAGCGAGTTCGCCGCCTACGCCGCGTCCAAGGTCGCCGCCCTCAAGGGCGCCGAGGCCTGGATCGCCCGCGAGCAGCCCCGCTTCGAGGTCGTCCACCTGCACCCGTCCTTCGTCATCGGCCGCAACGACATCGCCACGACGACCAACGAGGCCATCAAGGGCACCAACGCCGTCATCCTCGCCACCCTGCTCGGCAAGAAGTGGGGCTGCAGCTTCGCCGGCGCCACCGTCCACGTCGACGACGTCGCCCGCGCCCACGTCCAGGCCCTCCGGCCCTCCATCCCGGGCAACCGGAGCTACATCCTCAGCACCAAGACGCGGTGGAACGACGCCAAGCTCATCGCCAAGAGGGGCTTCCCCGAGGCCGTCGAGCGCAAGCTCGTCTGCAGCAGCGGCTCCGTCGGCACCGTCAACATCGACTTCGACGCCTCCGCCACCGAGGCCGTCTTCGGCTTCCGCCTGCAGGGCTTCGAGGACCAGGTCAGGAGCGTCGTCGCCCACTTTGTCGAGCTGCGCCTGAAGCGCCCGTCCTTCCCTTCCGTCGAGTCCTCGCCCATGGGCGCGATGGGCAAGCACCTGAGGCCGGAGATCACCGCGGCATAGACGGAAGCTGTTATACACGCGCCACTTTTCTCTTTCTTTTCTATCATGACGACGCTTATGAACATTTCTTATCTCCGCGCGGGAGACGAGGCATTTTTTCTTTTTCTTTTTTTCACTTCTTCACGGATACACTTTGGAGAGCAGATTCAGGGGGGAGAGAAAGAAAGCAGGCCAAAACATTGCGACGGCACGAGACGGGGCACGGGTGTTTACTTTTCGGGGGGATATTGGGCTCATCTGAGGAGGAGGGGGAAGCTTAGACGAGCGGTTCGATTCTATCGGGATACCCAGCGGCTAGAAACCGCTATTTTTTTAACAAACTTTTCAAGTTTATATTCTTAACCAGTCAAATAAGAACATAAGAAACCATCATCTCAGCTACTTTACATGTGCATGTTCCCCTCTCTGGCTCCCAGACGCCCAGTGGCCCCTCACCACGGCCCAAAACGGCCGAGAGAACGTTCCCGTGCCATTTCGACAGCTTGAGGCGAGGAGGGGGTCACGAACCAAAATGCAGACCGCGCGTTCAGCCCCGATTTCCAGCTCTCATTTCTGTTCTTTTCTTTTTTCCCCTCTTCCGTCCAAGAGAGCCTGGTCTTGGCACGTGGGAGGGGCTCGTCTGGCGTCCCCCCCCTCCGTCTCACGTTATCCGAGACTAATACCCCAGAGACAAGAGACGGACTGTTTTCTCACGCGTGGTTCCGAGCCTCGCTAATTCTGTCTAGCTCCTCCTCGAGGTAACCGAGGGGGTGAGTAAGGTGGCCGGGGACTCCGTTCTTCTAATGTTTAGACTAACTACCAGAAGACGCCTCACTTTGATCCTGTTAAAACTCCCGGTGCGCGCGCAATCTCCCCATCTTCCTCCCTTGCTCCCTCCCCCCCAACCCTACCATCCTTCCTTCAGCCCTTGGTCCGCGCTGTCCGCCACGCTCGTCTCGAGGAAACGCCTCATGGGAGCTGAACGGCTGTACCAGACTATTGGGTCGCTATCCAGGGCGCTGGGATGGGAGCGTGGCTTTCCTCTTCCATGGTGCGCCTTACTGGTTTCCCCTTCGATCTTATATCTTAGCACTTCTTTTACTAGTAATAGTGTAATAGTAGGTCTAGATCCCCGCATGTCTGCGCAAGCCACAGCGCGGTCTAGAACTCTGGACATTGCCTCAGACGATGAGCATTCCCCAGCCTCACACAAGCATCGCAGAATTGTTGGGTCTCGGCGCGTCCATCTGCTGAGCGCGGCTACTGGGAATCTTGGAAAGTCTGTCTCCGCGGAGCGTTTTTGCGTGTTTTTTTTTTCTTTTCTTTCTTTTTCTTTTTCATGCAGAACCCCTCCCACCTATGCGTCGTCCCTCGACGACGCCGTCGTAACAAAAGCTCCCGGCTCATCATCAGCCTCACAATCGAAAGTGGGCGAATCGTCCGTGGCTCACGCTGCCGTGCGTGCGTGCGTCGTTGATTGCTTTGGCAGGCAAGAAAAGCGCGACGCCGCGCAAGCCATGTTTGTTTGTCTCTGGGCCAGCTAGACAAGCCATGTCTTTGGAATAAAGAAAAAAGGACGCTCTGTGGCTTGATAGATGGCGCGCTAACGCTTATCGAAGGCCGCTCATCAACTTTGACCAGGGGATTGGGACCAGGCGAAGCCACCGTGGCGGTTGGGTAGTTTCAATTCAGCTGGGAAAACAGCGATGCGAGGCGGTGCTGGTCCTTTCTTGGCATCGCGATGCTTATGACTTTAGCCTCACGTCCAGGGGGGGGAGAGGCTATGGGTGTGGGAGAAGAAGACACTATTATGCGTCTATAACCGACCCCCTCCTCCTTTTGGTACGATCCTTCAACCCACATACTTCCATGATGAGCTGATTATTGCGGATCCTTGACAACGAGCTGGATCTTTGCGGCTTTATTTCGAGAGTGGCTTGTCCCCGATGGCTTGCGCGAAACGCCAATCGAAGCGTCGTATAGCCACATATTGGGAGACATATTCACGTTCACGCCACGTGCGAAACTACCAACGAGAAGCGGTCAGAAGGCCGCCGCCACAGCACGCCTCATCTTGTGGTGAGCGAAGTTGTTCAATCGGCAATTTCCGTCTCCCATAACAGTCAAACTGTCGGCAAGGAAGAGAACCCGAGGTCAGGCGTGAACTCGATGAATTTACCAGCAAGACGAGGAACCGAGGAAGGTTGGCCGCAGCCCCCCCCTGGGCGAGAGACGACACATGTGATGCCACCCATACCAATGGAAGAGGCGTTGTGATCCACGGACGACATGCTCTGCGGAACATGCCTCTCGTCCTCTTTGGATGGCGGTGATGGTCACACGGCTCGTCTCCCAAGCCTCGTTTCATGTTTTTTATGGACCATCATGATGCGTTCAGAGATGGAAATCCTGCTCACGGCCATCAACGCCGTAATCATCCATGGCTATAAACAGCTTCGGTATCATTTAACCTGCAATTGGGGCGCCACTCTCTCCCAGGCGCCAGCCGGGACACTGCGGGTCCGCAGTGTCCCTCTTCCGGCGTGCCGGACCCGCGGAGTTTTCCGCGTAGTTCCGTATAGGACACTGTCGAGGCCCTGTGGGATGGATCCATGCTACTCTCAGTGGCGGGAAGGGGGTTTTGGCTGCGAGGAACCTCTTCTCTAAGACCCAGGGTGTTGGGGCTATGGATGTGGGATTAGGACAACAAGAGGTTCGGGGGAAGTTATGACCTGCCAACGGGGGCACTGCACAGATGGTCCTGATCAGTTAGAGGAGATATAAAGAAGGATCAGGTCCCGCTTCCGAAGCTGAACCCGAGGCTGAATCCGAGGGTGAAGACGTTCAGAGTCGGATAGAAGATTACCATGCGGAAGAGGGGGGGGGGGAGTCAAGGATGGCCGGTTCCAGTTGTCACTCGTCAGGGGCGCCAACATATTGCCACGTAGACCATTAGCATTTTGGAAAATGCTCTGGTTAGTATGATGGAATGTATCATCTATATAAACCTTTCGACCAAATATCCCATATTGTATGAGGATGAGCTATAGAATCCGATATCTTCACTCTTGGTAAGAAAGAAAAGCAGGCGGGTTTCTAATCACTATGGTGTGCCCAGAGCTTTCTATCAAATTGATTCGCCATCTCAATCATTATTGTGTGCTCTAAAGCCTATGACTGGGGCTTGATCAAGCCGATGCTGCTCAACAATGGCCTGTCACTAACGGCAACAAGGTAGGCCGTGGTCGGGTCTTTGTTGACATGCTGGACCTTGGACCACGCCGGCACGGCGAACGTGTCTCGCGCCGTCCACTTGAAGATAACCCGAGGGCCCGTAGGGGGCTCGACGATCGTCTGCCCTTGTCCTTCGTAGCAGTGGTAGAGAAACGAGGCCTGCTCGCGAACTTCCTTTGTCGTGTGGTTTCCGTCGATGCGCTCGGCCTGGGCCCCGAGAATCGGCGACAGCGGCTTGCCGTTGTTCTCGTAGTGGTAAACGGCATACGGTCCCTCCTGAGCCTTGAGCTCGGCCTCGACCTTGTCCCAAGGGTGTCTCCATTCACAGGAGTCGGTCAGTCTAGCAGATTATCAGCATCCCGATTTCCTCCACCAGGTCAGTATTCACAATTGTGGCTGGCTTACACGCTGGGGTAACGGCTCTCGTGATATTGCTCCGCAAAGTGAACGGGGGTGAACCTGAAGAGCGGCAGGTTGAGGGCGTCGAGCCAGATGACGGGGGCATCGCTCTCGTTTCCGTGGTCGTGCCAGTGCCATGTCGGCGTGACGACGACATCGCCGCGCTTGAGGGGCATTTTCTTTCCCTCGACGGCCGTGAACCCCTCACCGTCGATGATGAACCGGAGAGCGAAAGCGATGTGCCTGTGCGCCGGAGCCGTCTCTCCCGGGTTGACGATCTGAAGCCCGCCGTAGATGGTGTCTGTTGTGTAAGGGGACTCTGATGACGACTAAGTATGTGTCCCATATCCGACTCGACCGAGGGATACGTACCCATATTCGGGTTGACCAGCATGAGCACCCTCCTCTCGGCTTGCTTCTCGCCAACCATTTCGGCAGCCTTGTGCAGGAGAGGAAGGTTGTCGGCGTACTTCCAGATATGCGGCCGAGCGACCGGCGCTGGCGTAGGGGGGACCATCACATTCATCTGAGACCACAGAGGCTCCAAGTGCTGTGATGGAAGCTGATCAAGGTACTCGTTCATGGCGTTCGCCTTGTTTTCTTCATTGTGAGGGGATTCCATTGTGATTGATAGGCAATGGGGCGTGGGTGTAAGTGGTTTGGCAGAGGCGGTAAGATGTGATGAGATATTATAACCGTATTTCTCTCAGTGAGGGCAGCCCGAAATCACCGACATGAAGTCATGAGTTCCGGAGACGGTTATCAAGGCCCGTTTCACTCGTACCAACAGATTGTCCTCCCCCGCCCCTCCCCTTACTCGTGGAAGCGGAACAGGGTTCGTGGGTAAATGTACGCATGTTGATGCACTTCCGAGTTCCGAAATGTTGCACAGCTCCCCGACTGGTCCCACTATAACAGCGTCTCATTGGTCAATGCCAGAGTAGCTCATCTGAGGGGAGGATCTTGTACCATCTTGGAGAAACACACATAACAACACCAATGCCTTGATTGTGAAACTTGAACGACTCATCATCCCCAGGAACTCTTATACAGGTACTCATACATTATTCGTCCTCCCCCTGCTGCTTTTCTAGATACCCGGTCACCATGTCTTGGAATCGTCTTATCCGGTTTGTCGACGACAACGGCGCGGAACATTTCGGAGAACCACAAGTACAAGACGAATCAGATTTCACAACGCTGCTTGATAAAGGTGATCTATGGGCAGTCATCTACGATGGCATGAGTCCTGTCTCACCCTTGGTCAAGGGTGAGCGCGTGCATGTGAAGGAACTTAAGGCTCTTTTGACACCAGAGGATGTCCCGATCATTCGTTGTATCGGTCTCAACTATGTCAAGCACAGTATGCTTCGTTGCCCATCTCAAGTGTAGCGTATTCAAACATATCTGACTTCAAGCACAGTCCAAGAGGGCGGCCGGACGCCACCTCCTTACCCCTCTCTCTTCGTTAAGCCTGCAACATCGGTTGCTGCATGGAATGAAGACGTGCCGATCCCGAAGGTCGCTCAAGACGGAACAGTCGATTATGAGGGTGAACTGGTAAGGGAGATTTCCCACTGGTACCTTGGCCCCCAGACTGACATCAGCAGGCCTTTGTGGTCGGCAAAACAGGCAAAAACATACCCAAAGAGCAAGCCCTGGAGTACGTAGCGGGCTACCTCGCCGCCAACGACGTGTCGGCAAGGGCCTGGCAAAGGGACCCGGCAAAGGCCGGCGGAGCTCCCCAGTGGTGCTTCAGCAAGGGTTTCGACAAGTTCGCCCCCTTCAGCCCGGTGCTGGTGTCCCCGGCTGTGGTCGGAAACGCCAGCGACCTCGTGCTGCAGACCTTCGTGAACGGCGAGGAGAGGCAGCACGAGACCACCGGCGACTTGCTCTTCGGGGTGGAAGAGATCATCAGCTTCCTGAGCCAGGGCACGACCTTGGAGGCCGGCACTGTTGTCCTGACCGGCACGCCGTCGGGAGTTGGCATGGGCATGAAGCCGCCAAAGTACCTCGGCGACGGTGACGTGGTGGAGGTTAAGATCAGCAAGCTCGGTGGTGTAAAGAACAAGATGGTGTTTGAATAGCGGAAACGCATAGTTTGACGTTTGATAATCATGGATTCTTGACCCCAACCCTCTGTGTGATGAATCAGGTGGCCCTAAAGCCGGGTATTTCGCAAGTTATTATACATGGTGATTGACTGTACGCGGTCTACAAACTGCCCGGCATGCTGTTGAGCCAGGAAAAGTCGCTCATGTCGAAGGATATTGCGTCCATATTAAAGGCAGTATCCTGCGTCATGTACGAAAATGGCATGTCAAAGGTCTCTTGCTGACCATTGGACATGCCTGGCACGGCTGAGCTGACCTCCGTGTTCGGAAGAGTAGTCGACTGCGGTTGATGCTCCTGAAACATCTTTGTCGAGAGGATCTGCAGCGCCGCGGCGCATCTCCTCGCCGACGGACCGAGGCTCTCGTGGTCGTGGAGAAGGCCCATCGCTTGGTTCCACGAGCGGGAAATGTCCAGAGATGAGAAGACTGCCGGCCGAAGCCTCGCCGCGACGAGAACGGCTGCCGCTGTGTAGATGTAGAACACGCGGTACCACCAGGCAGGGAGCAGGCCGAGTGAGCCGTCGTGGCGTTGGAACTGTACGATGACCGAAATGAGGCTTTGCGCGGCCTCGACACATACCATCGCGCACTGTTGCACGACGCGCGAAGACAGGTCATCGCAGACCCGGGAGGGCTCCGGGGACTGCGATAGACAAAAACAAGCAAGCATGGGCCTGAGGAGCAGCATGCGAGCGTGGAGAAGTCTGAAGAAGGGTCAGAAGAACAGTGTGCGCATGGATGGATCGAGACTTTGTCGCCCGACTCACCTGATGCGCAGAATTACCGCCTGCCTCCGGAAAACCTCGTCCAAGGTTGTTTCGGGTTCGTTAATCTTCAAAAAGCTGGGGAGACTCTTCTCCCATTTAGTCAATCGCTGGTCCAGCTGTAAGGCCTTACCGAGGTCTAGCTCGGGTCGCTCCGAGGAACGCTGGCTGCTGTGACCTGCAGCACCAGGGTGTATGGGCGATCTCAGCGGCGAGGTCGATGAGTAGAAGGCCAGGACTGCATGATGGATCACTTCGTAGAGCTCCAGAGACTTATGGAAGAAGCCTTGGTACCGAAGCTTGTACGAGGAGACAGCGTCCAGTTGGATTCCGTTCTTGGTGGTGTCGCCCGGGTCTGGTATCGACGGCAGCACCACGCTCGAAGCGAGCTGATCTGAAATCATGGCTGGTCGCCCGTGCGTGATAGCGATCATTCTATACTGTCGAGTAAGAAACATGTCTCGTGAGGCCCGAAGCGCAAAAGGACCCTTACCGGTCCATGAGGAGGCATCCATGCCAAATGCGTTTAATGAGATTCCTTTCGGACTCGCTCGAAAGCTCCGACGATGTTTCGGGCAAATGCAACCCGAGGCCTTGAGCAATTCTCACGACCGATCCTACAACCATCCATGTCTGGTGCGGATTGTTGGTGCTCTGCAGGTATTGGCTCATGATGAGCAGACACTGGATGAGCTCGATGGAGCCGGTATCCCAGAGGCTGAATTGAAGCAGATCCTGCGCCCGTTTGAAGTATGCTTGGCTAGACGAATCTCGTTGCTCGGGCGTCATGGACTCAATCAACTGCGTGGAGAGCGCGAAGACGAGGTTAAGAGTGCTCACAAAAATGCGTTCGTCAGCATCGATCGTGGTCCCGGCGAAGAGTGCTCTGTAAGAATGCTCGAATCTCTGCTGGTCCAGGAATGGGTATAACGGGTCGACGTAATACCAATAGAGATCCATCAAGTGATCGGCCTGCTTCCGAGCCGGTAAGACGTAATCTGCCTGACTTCCTGGACCTCCCTCGTTGAGGGGCAACGCAGGGCGGAAGAGCGAACTCTTTGCACTTTTGGCCTCCGTCCTCGAGCCCAGCCGCGCATCGATAGCATCCTTGATCTGGTTCGTGAACGAACCGGCGCTACTGCTACCGAAGTACTCGCCGGTGACCATCCCGTCTTCGCGGACTGTGGTCATCGAGTCAACAACCGAGGGGCTGGCGTCAGATGGAGTTACTGGATGCCTCTCCAACCGGCTTCGCCTCGCAAGGTCTGGCCCCGAGGACGTCGCCGATGTTACTGTCGCAGGTGGACGAGTGTCGGGTGCCATCAAAGGTTGCGCGAAGCTGGCATCCGGCGGCGTGTGCGTGATCTTTGGTAATCTCCTCCCGGAACTGATTGGGCTGATCTCGCCAGTCCTCTCTCTTGAGAAAGACTTATCAGCGGCTTCGGAGCTGTATTTACATCCGTCCCTCAGATCGGTCCTCTTCCAGCAGTTTCCGCATGCTGTGTCCTGATATCAGCGCCAAAACCGCCAAAGCATCTCATGGCATGTCGCGAAGCATCGTTTGGGGACGATCAGAATCGTTCCGGTGTAATATCCCTCAGGAGATCCTTCTCATTTTCCATGAGATTGGCGGCCTAAAAACCTCGGATACAAAGATCTTGACAGCGCAGGAGGGACTGCTCGCCGACAACTCACCTGGTCGTGCCCCATCGCATTTAACCTTCCTCCTCCGGCATGCTTCGCATGCCACATCAATCTTGATTCGCTTCGGCTTTGGCTCCATCATTTCCCCGTGCCTTTGGGAGGACCCTCAGATACAGAGGAACCGAACCGGTGTGTAGGGGTGCTGCCCTCTCGGGAAGAAGCTCCGGGCAGCCGGGAACAGGACAGAGCTCGGAACGACGTTGGTAGTCTCGGGACCGCCAACGCAGGGTTGCAAGATCCTGTCATGGATCTCGGAGAGCTTTTGGTTGCGCAGCTAAGACGTGAGACAGCGGAGAACAAGCTCAATTTGCGGATGAAATGTTTGCATCGTGAAGGTTGGGGGTCTGGGGATGGCACCGAGTTCCGAGGTCCCAGACATGGAAGAGCCACAAAGCGACCAGCGGGGACTCGGAGAGCGGAACGAAACTTGATTCGTCCAAACGGATTCTCTCCAGTTTGTTCCCTGTCAAACCCCGGTTTCTCCAGTTTCCCCTATGCTTGGCTTTTACCGACTTTGTCCAGCGCCCCCTCGTTGAACAATTCACGGATTTCAGTCCCACATCGCAGTCCAGTGTTGCGTTTGGCATTCGTCAGCCCGGAGACACAGTTGGCCTATCGCCTCGTGAGAGATTGCATCCATAAATACTCACCTCTAGGAGGATCGTGCGTATGAAATGAAACCCCCCGTCTCCGGTGGGAATCCCCGCTTATGCGTCGAGGGGGGCTTGAATTTCTGTTGGAGTTGGAGACAACGATAGCCTTTTTCAACAACATTCGATTGATTCAACCTTTCAATTGGCCATGCGGTGAACACAGATGCAACATCATTTCATCTTGTCTTCCTCTCCTTCATCAAGAAAGTCGTGGAGTCTAACGCGAACCGTATGCGCCATTGCTGCAATGACAAGTAACCCTTCCACCAGATGTAATGAAGAACCCGTGAAGTAATTCCCACCAAGGCTTGTTGACGAGCAGCTCAAGCCTTTCTATCTGCATAATCTTCCACTTCTTGAACCTTGCCGCCATCGGCCTTTTCTTCACCAGCACAGCCAGTACCAAGTGTGTGGTTCTTGCCGTCAAAAACTTCGGCAATCTGCTCCAAGGTTCGGCCTTTTGTCTCGGGAAAAGCAGCCACATCAAGAAGAATAGACGGGTCAAGAGGATGCAGAAGACAATGTAGTACTTCCAGCCCAGGGTGGCCAGTCCGATAGGGTTGCAAAACTGACCAATGATGAGACTGATGAAGGTAGAACTGAGGGCAATCGTTAAGCCCCTTCCACGCTGAGTGTACGGGAAAATCTCAACCGCGTACGACATCAGGAGCGGCGTCCAGGCAACGTCGTAGAAGAAGTAATAGATGAAGATGAATGCCACCACGGCGTAGTCAGCCCTCTCAGCTTTTGTTCTGCTGAAGACGCTTGTGAGGATGGTCCACGCGACGTAACACACAAGCATACCACCCGTCAAAGTGAGAAATAGCTTCCGTCGACCTATCCGGTCAACCATCATGGCACCAGCAAACACCGCTGCAATCCAATTGAACAATTGGAGGAGACCGTTGATGAGGGCTTGATCCTTGGTCGCTGTGATCCCAACTGTGTTCAGAACAAGACTGACGTAGTACGAAACAGGTTGGGAACCACTCCATTGTGAGCCAACACCGACAATGCAGGCAATGAGCACCCGGCGGCGGTTCGGTGCCGTCTTGAGAAGATCGAGATACGAAGCTTCCTTGGCAGCCTCGGTTTCGAGACGAACGTTCTCTTTGATCTGCCTGATTTCGTAGTCGACAACGGCCGAGGACGCGTCGCCGCCGGCGTGATGGCGGATGAGAAGCGCTCTAGCCTGTTCGGTCTTCCCGTGGGCAACGAGCCACCTCGGAGACTCCGGAACGAAGTAGAAGAATGTCACCTGAATTGCCGGGATTGCGCCCTGCAAGACAGAAGGAATTCTCCAAGCCGATGTGGAAGACATACGGAAAATTGCATATGTAGACCAGGCGGCGATGATGGCTCCGAGAAACTGGTAATCGTAGGTCAGAACAGCTTTGGTATGGCGAAGGATAGGGCAGACTTACGAAAAAGGTGTTGTAGAGCGCACTTATTTTGCCTCGCATCGTAGGGTAGGCAAGTTCCGTAACAAGGACCGGCGCTGGCTACGCAATGAAGGCAGTGGCGGCGCCCAGAAGCCAACGAGAGATGATAAACATGGGCAGATTCCGGCTGGCGCCCTGGAGCGCAGCTCTGACGAGCAGAAGAAAGAACCCAAGCCACATGGGGGCCTTTCTGCCGTACTTATCTGCCAGATATGTCGTCGGAACCAGGCCCATAAGCTTTCCAATGGGATACACAGCGTTCATAGCTCCGAGTATAGGCGCAGTCGGGTTGTTAAAGAATCCGCGCCACTGTCCGAGTGTTTGCAGACCGTTCATCATTGCACCTATTAATTATCACATACATCAGAAACCTTGCTTTGTAGACCTGTTTTGGGTAGAAGAATACGTCCCATGGTGCCGGGTTTTCGGGTAGCACCTAGGTTGATTGTTTGAGCCCATGGTGATGATACCAGTATGAGGCAACACAACGTACCGCGAGCAAGTCAGATCCGACGGCCTGGGCAGCCGACTTCGACTTTTCAGTCGCGCTCGGCTTGAGGAAGCCCATCCTGCGTGTTTGCCGGACCGACCTGGGACTGAACCAGAAACTGCCAAACGTTCACTGACTACCGTTACAATTAGTTGAAAACAGCAAAGCTCTTAAACTAGGACCAGACCAAGTCAATCAAGGTTTGGGGAAGAGCGGAAAGACATGTAATCTACGCAAAGCTAATGGAATTACAACGATGGCTGGGCTGGCCAAGAAGCCAGCCTATCAACATGATCCACGCGCGCCGGTTCGTCCCCGGGTCGACCCCCCAAAAGGATGACCTTTCCCCACGGGGTGTGGATTCTTCCCCAAACCAAAGCCTGTACTCCGTATTGGAGCCTGATTCGCTGCTCGCAGTGGAGGACGCCTTCGCGGAACTCGGGAATCGGATGACAGGTTGGACAGGACGAACGCCATCCATGTTGTTGTAAGCTTCATGCCTGTTAAGCCCATACATGGCCCCTTTCGGGTTTTCGGTGTGCCGGCGGAATGACATGGGGCCTCACCATACTCACACCGATGGCAAAAGCCCCCCGAAGAGAGCGACCGACCAATGGACGGTTCGGTCGGGGATGGTCCCCGAGCGTAAAGAGTTTGAAGCAGACTCTATGACGCGCAGCACAAGTAAGTGAGGGGAAGGATGAAGCTCATGGAGGCCATTGCGTTGGCTCTGAAACGATTCTGCGGAGAGCTGCGAGACCAACGCTGCGATAATTAAACTTGCGGTTGCCGATGGGCTCACCATCCTCCTCTCATCCTCGGTCGCTGTTCTCCCCGACACATGATACCAGGTAGCGACGGATCTCCCGAAAGTCATCCATCTTCGTAATGGACCCACCGCCGAAGAGGATGAGAATGGACGCCGATCGGGGTTTCCCCGACATGGGCATGCCCAGCGGATCGCCTCCCGGCCGGCTTGGTGTACCTGTAGATCATGCGCACGCCCAGCAAGCCGACCCCAGGATACCGAAGCAAAGGACTTGGTCCCGCGCATCATCCGCATGTCAGACTTGTCGCGGACGCAAGACCAAATGCGACAATGAGAGGCCCATTTGCGGCTACTGCAGGAGAGTGGGCGCGACTTGTACCTACATCGAAGACTCAGTTCCCGCCACGTCGTTGTAAGTTGCCTTCCTGGGTTCCCCACGTTTGCAGACCAGCTCGCATCCGGCTACACTTCGGGTATCGACCCGTGGGATATAACGGACGGACACTGATAGGTGTGGATGACGACACTAGATGCCAAGGGGTTGGGCCGCGCTTGTTGGGAGCAATAGAGAACCTGGCCAACCTCATCCAGCGCAACGAGGACAACTTTCGCGCCATCCCGCAACTCAGCCGCGATCTTTCCCGTGACTCTGCCGACTACCCAGACAGCCCGACGTTCCAAGGCGGACGCCCTGAAGCCAATATTCTTGGCCAAGACGGCGCTGCCGGTGGCTCGACGAGTCTCTCGTTATCGGATTCCGCCGGCCTGGATTCCGTGCTCGAGTGGCCCATATTTCCCAAGCCCGTACCATTCGCCATAGACCCTTTCAGCCATGCCTCTCCCCGGGCAGAAGTGTTCTCCCCGAGGTCACCTCCGGCCATGGAGTTCTACGAGCTGTCGCGGCTTGTTGACCTGTTTCTCGCAAACGTCAATCCCTTGAATCCTGTAATTGATGCTCAAGTGCTGCGTCAGATGCTGAAGCAAGTCGCGGAGAACGGCCCTGACTGGTCGGCTGCAACCTGTATCGTTGCGCTTACGTGTGCTCTTGGCGCCATATCACAGAGACCCGGACAGAGGACGCCTAGTGGGACCCCTCGCGGGTACTCTGTGGAACCTAATCGTCAGCTGGCCTCACGATACTGGTCCGTCGCGGAGAAGCGGCTGGGGTTTTCCATGGGATCGCCAGGGTGGGAATCTGTTCAATGCTTGTGCCTGGCAGGGTAGGACGGCCCCTCCCGCATGTCTGTTTGAATCGTTGTCCTTGTCGGCAGGGCTGACAATAATAGAATCTGGCACATGTATAACATGGATCCCCTACAGGCCTGGAAATGTTTCAGTATGGCGAGCAACACTTGGTACACCACCTCGCTCATGAATAGGTATTGGTTCATTCTCATGACAATGCTTGGGTATCCCCTGGCTGACAAAATCCGCAGGCTTGCAAAGTCATCCGGCAAAGCCGAGACACCGTCTGACTTCCCTCAGTCACTGTCGCTAGAGCAGATACTCTACTTCACCTGCTTCAAGTCTGAGTGGTACGTGTTATTCGAGCCTGTAGCCTGTATCATAGGTCGGCCATTGGCTCATTGTGTCTTAGTGAGCTCGCGTTTGAGCTGTCTCTCCCCGGCTCCATCTTGGCCGGGGTGGACTATCCATATAGCCTGCCCAACCCCCCCAGTCCTGGGGTTATGAATATTGACAACAAGCCCCTCCTCGTGGAGTACAGATCTTGGCATTACTACGTAGCCGAGATATCCGCGAGGCACCTCATCAACCTCATCAAGCAAGCTCAGAAGAGATCGCCTCTAAATCTGACCGATGCCGGCATTGACCGCATGCTCGAGGTTTTTGACGTGTATGAAGCCCAGCTGACGGACTGGTACGAGCAACTGCCTCCGCCAATCTCGTTTCAAGTGCCCACCGGAGAAATATCCCCACTTGCCGATGACTTGTGCCAAATGCTGCGTTCGCGGTACCTGGCAATCCGAGAGTTACTCTGCAGGCCGTTTGTGCGGCTGGCCACAGCCATTTCCATCCCCGTAACGGTATCGGAGCAGGCCCTCACGAGAGTAGCGGAGATCACGTCCAGAGGGTTGCAGTATTGCCTATTCAGGATACAGGCCACCTCGTCGACGCCTCATCATGGCCTTTGGCTTCAGCTGCGGGGCTTCGTAACGTGCTCTCTGATACTGACGGCGGCCGAACGCGCTCAGACGATACCCTCGCTCAACATGCCAAGTAGAATGGTGTACCCGAAGAACTGGAAGAGAACGATTTTGGTTCAAAAAGACATACTGTCAAACTGTTGGGAGTTTGACGAAGGTGGCATCAGTGACTGCGCCAGGGTATTAGACTGGGCGCTCGCAAAGTTCACTGTTTGATGTAATGTACCGTGGCTGTTGTAACATTTTGTTTGAAGCTATATATTGTACGTTATCCAAGCACCATTTTCTACTGTCGTGGGGTCTCCCTCCCCTGCCAGCTGTCTGTAGATAGGACACAAGAACACATATCCACGCTACTATCTTTTTCCAAACCCCTCTCTCACTAGTAGATTTCTTTCGCCACTCTAATTTTGAACAAGTCTCAATCCTATGCTGGCTTTGCGTCACGCTCAGTCTGCAGTGACACGGGGGAAAGAGTTTTGCGGAGTGCGTAACCAAAAAGAACCACAGGGCCGGGATGGGCTGATATGAGACACGATCCGTCAGCGCGTAGTAAGTAACTTTTGCTCAAAGGTTGGGCCATGATCTCACCCATATTCAAAGCCCTAAATATTTGTCTAGGGGCGTAGGACATTGAAGGGGCTACTCCAAGAGCAAGGACGTAAAGCAACGCGTAAGAAGCCGTAGCAAGGTTTTTCCTGACGTGGCCAAATCATTCGACGACTGATTTGCGACGTATTACTAGATTCGTGTCTGAGAGTTTGACGTCGGGGAGCACTCCCCGACTGCATCGCTGGCCGCGGTTCCCGAATGCGCAGCTCCCGGGGCATCTTGAACTACCGGTACACCTGATGAAAGGGCCGATTCTAATGACTCGTTTGCTTTCGGGTTTTGCAACGCATCTGCACATAGAATGACTTTGCCTTTTCTGACGAGGTTAAACTATCAGACTAAACCTTCTTTTCTGCTACAGTGAGTGATGCGACTCCGGTCTTTGTTGGCAGTTACATGCGCTACGAAGCAACAACAAGCTGAGCCCTTGTTCAACTACAACGCACTAATAAAAAGCTGATCGACGTCTCCGGCATGTTTTCGGTTCCAGTTGAAGGCTCTCATTACGTGTGTTCCAGATGTAGACAGGCGGGGGGATGAATTCGTTTCATCATATCTCGTAGAGCCGTTGCCAAAGCCATCAGGGCGACCGTTATAAAGACATCAGCAGCTGTGAAATTAGCACGTTCGGCATCTTTGGTGTTAGTCGCGCAACCAGACACTGCAGAGTCAAAACGATCTCATGAGAGGACCATCTCTGGTGATGGGAATCAAGTTATGGCATGTGAGCTTTCGTGCTCCACACAGCGCTACCCCTCAAAGTGTCCCACCACCGACTCAGTGAGGTGTTATTTATACAGATTATCTCAGTCACAATCCTTGTTTATTTGATGTCCTTGTAGGACTTTATGAAACAGAAGATCACAAGCAGTAAAGATAAAAGCCAAATCCGTATGAGTTTTGGTAGATATCTCTATGGATGATGACCGTTTGATTTGCGAAGCAACGTTGCAGAGCATTCTGACAAGGCGGTGATACTGGTAGTAGTAGTAATATTTAACGCCGCGAAATCCAAGCCAGTGGCGCAGGGCGCCTGCACAACCTATCTAGCTACCTCCTATACAGTATATATCCCCCAGAAAAGGCCTAGAGGCATCTCACGATGTCTCTGGACCCCTTTCTGTGCCCCGTTTTAATACAGTGTGAATGACAAGGCGGTGATCGTCGGGAAAAGGCCGACTGATCAAATCGTTCTTTTAGTATGGGCAATCTGATGATGAACAGCCGCTCAGCCGTGCTAATGCTTCAACTGCCACAGATGAAAAAAGTATTTCCGCTTCCTCAGTCGATGTAGATCACAGCTTCTGAGATGCTTGAGCCTCAGCACGATAGTTACGTTGTCTTTGTCGATTCACCACATCATTCGTATGGTAGAATGGTGCTCTCGTCGCCCCCGAAGGCAGCCTGAAAGCTTTAAATGGCATTGTAAGCGTCTCCGACATAGTGAGTCGGCTTCAATCGACTTTCGTGCACAAGCGGGGTCGAACTGGACACATGCAATCAGCAGTAACGTCTTCCAGTGCAGCCTTCACACGTGCTATCAGATGCCAAAACCCTCCGTAGATATGACCGTGACTTGGCCCAATCGCACATACTAATCAACTGTGTACAACATCTTATTCCTGTGATGCTGTGAGACCATCTACGTATCTTGAACACCACAATGCCTGGAATGAACCAGATATAATGCATCATGGAAGCCAGATAGAATCAGTTACCCAAGATTGCCCTATATCTACCATATTTTATCGGTAGCTACAAATTAATGCCTCTCCCATCTACATGTTTGGAAGCCCCCGGGGCTAGAGGAGACGAGTCTTGGGCCCACCTATTCGAATGGGTTAAGATGTTACCACAAAGTGTAAAACAATATCGGGCATCAATGTGCACGGCGTTGAATACGAGCTTGTATTCATTTATATCTACTTGGTACTTCTTTCTCTGAAACTTCATCTAAACTGGCATCACGCGTTTTCGTCACTTGACCAGGAGAAATAGGGCGGAAGCAGGCCTTGGGGCAAGCAGGCCAGGGCGTTTAGTGACTCATCCGCAAACTCAACGAAAACTTCAAACACGCTCTCAAAATTGATTGTGTTGTATTAAATCCCATCAAATAGGCAATCCATCTAGAATACCATGTAAGCACTCGCTTTTCCTTCTAACCGGCACAGAAACTGCTCTAGTGCTCTCGTCTCTCGGAGCTAGGTTACTTCAATACTAAACGCCATACCCGAGATCATAATCTCAGCTCTTCCCCAGCCTGTCGTAGACTCTTCCTGACACCTACCCCGACGTCTTTTTTCTCTGGCAATCAGCACAACACTTCACGCATGCCCTGCCGTGGCTCTCATTCTGTCTCATGCTGGAGGAACTTTGCCGTAAACGGCAAGTAGTGTTGAGTTGAAGGGTGCCTTCAGGTTCCCATTTGCGATATGTTGACTTTCACAGTAGTGAAAGCCAAGCGCGCTCGGTTTTACTAGGACACAGCGCCTAGACAACTATGGCCCAGCTCAACGCACTTCTTGACCTTGTATGCTCATTTCACACTCTCCTGGGGATCAGAATACTGTAACTTTAAACTTCTAGAACCGGGACTTGAACTGGGGGTTGAGCGCGGAAGAGCAATTGATGCACTTTGGGATCCTTTCGGGTTGATTCCATGTTTGTCTTGGATTCATTTCCCCCAAGAAACGTTGCGGCATCCCATGGTTGAAGTCTCATGTTGAGGTCTATAATATCTAGTCCGCTCGTCAGGCACCCATCGTCGATCATATCTCTATCGAGTCCTATAGCTTCTTCATCTCTGTGGAAGTCGTTCAATCATTCGGAATCAATCCATTCAAAGGGCGGTAGTTGGTTCTCTCTTCGGTCGAACCTACGGCGTTCCTCCGGGCTCATGTCAGCCCTTAGAGCAGCAGCCTCGGCGCTCAGATCATCCACCTCCATATCCGCCACAGCCTCGGCAAGAAGCTCGTCTGCTCCCCCTTGGCCCATGCCGTTGTCGTCGTCGTCGTCGCCGTCGTCGCTATCATCCATCTCAAAGTCTTCATCATCGGCGTCGTCCACGTCCTGCGCGATCTTCTGGCGTTCTCGTTCCTGCACTTGGCGACGCCAAGCCTGCAGGGCGGCTATGCACTCGTCGTGGCGAAAGTCCGCGTTCGGCCATCCGTGCGTCATGTAAATCTGGGCCACTTCGCGGCCAAGGCTGCCCGAAGAGGGACCAAGCACCTCGGCGTCGAGGTCCTCGGTGGGCGGCACTGGCAAAAGGTTCTGACCCAAGTCCGGCACGAGTTGGGCGAAGAAATCTGAGACGGGGTATGATTGAACAGTCCTCCAGGGCTTGTTGCGCGGGACCTTGGCGATGCCATAAGTGCTCTCCTTGAATGGCGTCATGATGCCTCTGCTGCAGTCGACAATCCACCAGTACGGTCTGGCGTCGTTGCGCGTCTGGCGCTCGCCAAACGTAAGGCAGACAACGTCAGGTGGCAGATCCATCGGCGCAGCAGGCGTATCGCCCATGGGAAGAGCTGCCAGTTCGTGAAGGCCTGCGTCCCCGCGATCGGACCACTGGCTAAAGCTGCCCATATGGCGAAGGTAGCGCACAGCTTTCGACCCTGGTGCGACGTCCCAGGGCCCCGGACGCGGTCCGTCGTGCATGGGCCTAGGGTAAGGGAGATGGCGCAGCAAATTGATGACCGTCTCGGAGCGCCGCAGAGCATGCAGAGCTCCCACGTCAAGTTCGGCATCAGTCCAGCCACCAGGAGGGGGGAAGTCGACATATGATGCCGGGATATAAGCCATGCGCGTAAGGATCGAGTAGTACTGCATGAGGCCCGCGACGACATCGTCGGGGTTGTAGGTGCAGTTGAGCGGGCTTTGTTCAAGAAGCGGCATGATTGCTATCTCAAGGGATGGCGTTTGGACAGGTTCGGTTGCAAATAAGAACAAAGACTGATGGAAGCTCACAAGACAAACCGACTGAGGGAGAAACACCTTCAGAATCTTCTTGTTAAATGGAGTCAACTGGATGTGTTTTGAGGCATGCTGCTTGGAGTTTTTCTGTCCAACGGACGCGACGCGTTTGCTCGCTTTCACCCCGCTCTAGGCAACTGGCCCAATGACCAGGTCTCAATTAAGTAGACATCTATTGGTTGGACCCTTGGTATGACTTGACGACCCTTTCAAGAAGGTGGTGCGGGGTGATGCAGTAGTATTGTTTTCTGATTGAATGAACTGTTCTTATTTTACCAGGATACTGGCCAGGGGTTACAACACCATGTCAGTCAGCAAGGGTTGCCGAAGAGGGCACTATCATGTTGTCAGCAGTTTAAATTCACATCAATACGGCGTCCATGGGCATGTCATGGTGCAGATCATAGCTGATTTCGGCGGTCTTCATGCCGGTCACTGTTGCTGGCCCGTCCATGCTGCTTCTCCCGCACAGCTCACTCACCCAGCGCGGGATTCTGCTGCGGCGAAACGAAAGTCACAGGATGATGCCGACGTCGCTGACGACGATGATGACACATGGACCTCACTCAAGTTGGCTCCAGCGGGAATGGAGGTATGGGGTAAATATCATTCATATGGGAAACCCGTGATCACTCTCGAATCAGAATGCATTTCACACCGAACTATGGCCCGTCCCAAGCTGCGCCGCTGCCCAGTTTCTCATCCGAACTGTTGCGTCTCCGACCCGACGAGTCTGGCCCTCGAGCAAAATGAAATCGTGAGCCTCGTGTTCTGACAGCTCAAGCAGTAGATCCAGATCATTATTCCCGCAGCTCACGTGCTCCGAGAACGACCTGATGTCGTCCCTGAAAGCCTCTTGCTGGCCCGCGGTGATGTAAAGGCTCGCCGTCGCCATCGATATGTCATCCAACCAGGCCATATCGCCGTCCATCGGCATCGCCATGGCAAGATCACTCTCGTCGGATTTGTTTCTGACGGGGAATCGTGGGTGGAGGAACTCCATCGTTCCGTTACACACGGCTGTGGCCTTGATCATGTCGACGTAGTTGTTCTCCTTGAAAGAAGACGCCTTCGTCTTGCTGGTAAGCCACGGAGACACGAGGAAGACGCCCGCAAGACGGGTCTCGAGTCTCAACGCCGGGATTTCGAGATGGCACGGGTGGCAGATGTGACGAATGACGGAGCAAGCCAGGTTGCCCCCAGCGGAATCGCCGCCGATGATCAGGTCGCGGGGCTCGATGCCCGACATGATCAGTTGATTGAGCGCCGCGATGGCTTGCTGGAGCTGCGTAGGGTATCGCGCTTCGGGGACGAGGGTGTATTGCAGCACGGCAACTGCCACCTCTGCGTGCTCTCCCGGGCCGCCGTTAACGTAGGATTCCCAGCACCATTCAAGATGACCAGGGAGTAGTGGCACAACGTAGCCGCCCCCGTGGAAGAACAGGACGAACTTTGTCGCCTTCTGTCTGTTGCCGATCCACATGATCGAGCCGTCGTTCGCCGGAAGCATCTCAATGTGCCTTTTCAGTTTGCCCGCGTGTTCCGGATGCCTCTTTCTCTTCTTGGCGATCCATTTCTCGTACGTTCTTAGTGATGGAGGAAGCATGAACTGGATTTCACGCGCTCGCATGCATCCCAGCGCGAAGCGGTAGTATGCGCAAATGGCGAAGAACCGGACCGAAACGCCTCTTGCGGCGGCAAAGGGCATTCCATAAGCGAAATTCCAGATCAGCTGCAAAGGAGCTTGAGTTTCAGGCGTCATCAGCAATGCCAGCAAACCCTACAAGACGTTACAGGAAAGCCAACGTACCGCGAAAGAGCAAGCGACACACTAGATCTCGCTTCTCCCACAGCGAGAGCTGCGGTCTCGGTGCCTTCATGTTGCGAATCGTTTCCTCAGTCGCACGCGATAGTCGCCCAGGAGAAGACCGCCGAGGTTCGTCTGGTGTCCGACGAGTCTACGATTCCGTCGTGTGGCCGACCTAAATGTGAAAGACTGCTGCGGGTGGCCCAACCATTTACGAAATGCCGCACGGCTTTGGTCGCTGCCGAACGTTCGGACAGACGGTTTGACGCGGACAGGAAACGCAAAGGCGTCTGGTGGCTCGGCAGTATCAGTGGCATGTCTGTCCGCGAAAGCACGGCCTGGAGGGCTCAGCAACGCGCCAGATATGGACCGAGGCATCTTGCGGGATGCAAAGCGAGGGGGGGGGGGGGGGGGGGGGGGGGTATTCGCACTCGTTTGCACTCGTAGACAAACTGGCCGGCAAGAGTTCCGACGAAGCATCCCGTCGACAGTCCAGGCCAGTTCCTGGTTCTGATGTGCTGTAAGCCCCTCATTTGACGGGTTGCAAATCTCACCTGGGTTTGGGAGCTTCATGGGTGTGCAGATCTGTGGTATCAGATTGGTCAATTCTGTTCTGTGGTGGTGTCCCCACGGACCTCGGCTCCTCACATCAGAGGCACATTCTAGATGTCCGGAGTGTCGCCCTCGGCATATGTTGAAACATGCCCGTTTCGATAACTTGATTTATCGAACTGCTGGCCTCGATTATATACCACGGCTGAATACGGAACCTAGCCCTCGCCCGACTTTGTAGGACTGTATCGAATTTTCAACATGATTACATCACATGAAGGCTTCACGATAGACGTGGTTGCAAGATGGCTTCGGAAATCTTTTCTTAACCCGTATCTATCGGTACCGTTCGCCGCTGGTGTGACGATGATGTCGGCAAGAAATAATGGAGCATCCGGGTTGTTGGATCTTCGACTTGATACCGCTCAGCGTGTAGCATTGCTGGCCGCACTGGCGAGTTTTGTCATTTCAACTACACAATACCTCAACAAATGGTCAGCAAACAATTGGACGACAGATGACACCTGGGACTTTGACAAAGAAATCATTGTTGTCACTGGAGGAAGCAGTGGCATCGGCCACAGCATCATCAAACACATTCTGGCCAGAACCCCTCGGGCCACCATTGTTGTCGTTGACCTCGCCCCGTTGTCTTGGGAGCCCCCGAAAGGCTCGAATATCCACTACTTCAAGTGCGACCTCACCGATACCGCGGCGCTCAAGTCGCTCTGCACACTCATCCGGACTCTAGTTGGGGATCCCACCGTTCTCGTCAATAATGCGGGAATCGCACGGGGCCGCACCATCATGGAAGGCTCCTACGCAGATGTTGAACTTACCATCAAGACCAACCTCATCGCACCATTCCTCCTCACCAAGGAGTTCCTGCCCTACATGGTCCGCACGAACCATGGCCACATCGTCAATATTGGGTCTATGAGCTCAGTGGTCCCTCCAGCGAGGATCGCCGACTATTCGGCCACCAAGGCCGGGCTTACCGCGATGCACGAAGTGAGTGCCATGTCAGACGTTCCTCCGCTCTGACTCTTTGCTTAACTTCTCACCAGGCGCTCCAACTTGAGTTGAAGTACGTTCACAAAGCGCCCAAGGTTCGGCAAACGCTTGGAATATTCGGCTTCATCCGTACACCGCTTGTCACCTTTGACCCCGGTCAGCCGCACTTTGTCATACCTCTGCTCCACGTTGACTCGGTTGGTGAGGCCATCGTAGACTCTCTGTACAGTGGCTTCGGAAGAACCATCTACCTGCCCGGCATCATGTCATCGGTGGTTGCTTTGGTAAGTGATTTGATGTTCTCTGCGCTAGAGACAACGCTAACAGTCTCATAGAGAGCTGGCCCAGAATGGTTATGGCGGCTTGCGCGGGAGACCACTGCAAAAACAAAAGATATCATATTTACCCCTCGGCAGAAAATCAATGCTATTACTGGTGGGTTGGAAGCGATGGAGTCTGTGAAGGCACAGGTGAATGGATATTAGCTAGCATAGTTTTTTAAGAGATTTAGGCGAGATTAACCATATGAGGTGGTACTTGGAAATTCACAGCTTGCTTGTTGGACAAAATCGTACGTTGGCACTTAGTTTATTGCAGCCAGACTAACGCTTACTACTCCGTACTATGACGAGATTTGCTCGTACTGCACAAAAAAAGCATAGCACAAAATCGTACGACATTCTTATCTTAGCTCTCGGCGGAGGCCTAAGACTAAGAGCCTTCAAGAATAGCCTGCGAGGATAGAGACCCGCGTTCGGCGGCTGGCCTTCTAAGTGAACCAACCACTGGTACCGTTTCCCCGGCTTTCCGGCTCGCACTCCTTATCTAGATGACATTAATACCTCTCAACTAAGCTACATCGGTAGCCAACAGTCTAGACGGAAGACATCCAACTGATGCAACAGGCCACAGCTCCCCACTTCGCGGCTTCAAGGCACTCAAGCTTGTTGGTACTGGGTGGGTGGGATGCATTGAGCTTCGGATGAGCATAACAGTCCTCAAACCAGGGTCGTTTGTATCCTGGTACTCGCCACCCATGGACCTGCTTCATGATGGGACGAGCCGAGGCATAGGTGCTTCCGATGGGTAGAAGTTTGGCCACCTCCTCAAACCCACTCCTATCTTTAACAAATCCGTATGACGGCAATTGCAGACGTGGAAGTTGAGGAGTTATACGCGCGTTCGCCCTCACCGTAGACCAACCGACAACCATCAGTCATGTCAAAAACATCAGAACCAGCCAGCTATACCCAGTTCGCGTGCGTGGGCACCGGGTTCTCGGCCATTGCACTCGGGGCAACGCTGAAGAGATGGCACGGCATCGGTGACATTCGGTTCTTCGAGCGACACAGCGAGCTCGGGGGAACCTGGTTCATCAACCAATACCCCGGTATGAAATCGTGTCGCGCGTGGCTTGGTCAAAATTTTCTCTAACATGCTGCTTCAGGATGCGCGTGTGACGTCCCCAGCGCATTGTATAGTTTTTCCTTCGAGCCCAACCCTGACTGGAGTCGGGTCCTGTCCCCTCAAGCGGAGATATGGCAGTATCTTTACGACGTTGCAGAGAAGTACTCGCTCACCGACAAGATGCGCTTCGGGGTCAATGTCGAACGATGCGAATGGTCTGAAGAGAACAAACGATGGCGCATGACGATCCGGCAATACGATACTGACAACATCTTCTACCACGATTGTCAATTTCTCTTTGCGGCCACTGGACAGCTGATGCAACCTCAGGAGATCGACGTGCCTGGAGCGAGCAACTTCAAGGGCCGCATATTCCACTCGTCCCGGTGGGACAAGGATGTAGATATCGAGGGTAAGCGGGTGATAGTGTTCGGCAACGGATGCACCGCCTCGCAGATTGTGCCCGCGATTGTCTCCAAGACCAAGCACTTGACGCAAGCCATCCGTTCAAAGCAATGGATCCTGCCACCTGTCGATTCCGAGAACACAGCCATTTTGAAACACTTTTTCAGATACATCCCAGGAACGATATCATTGCAGCGGTTTCTGTGTTATGCGAACGCAGAGGATGCTCTCCGAGGGTTCTACATGACAAAGGCTGGCAACAAGTATCGTCAAAGGGTGAGGGCTAAAGCTGAGAAATACATGAGGGAGACGGCGCCTGCAAAATATCACGACAAGTTGATTCCCGATTTCGAACTCGGATGCAAGCGGCGCATATTTGATGCCGGCTACCTTCAAAGCCTGCATTCGGAGAACCTCACTCTGTTAGACGAGCCGGTACAAGAGATCATGCCGGATGGTATCCGTACACAGAACGGGATCGTAGAGGCGGATGTCATTGTTATGGCCAACGGTTTTGTGACGAACAATCCTGTGGGGGGGTTAGACGTCGTTGGTCGAGGAGGAGAAACAATTGATCAGCACTGGGAGTCCTTCGGGGGCCCAGAAGCTTACAATTGTACCATTGCGAACGGCTTTCCCAACTTCTTCATCCTCCTCGGTAAATATGATTCACAATACGCCTTATAGATAAAAACCTGGAAAAGAAAAGAAAACTGACACTGACCTCTGAACAGGACCCAACTCACTCACGGGGCATAACTCTGCCATCATCGCAGCTGAGAACTCCGTCAACTATGCTCTCCGTATCATCGAGCCGCTCCTTGATGGTAAAGGCACAGCTGTCGAAGTTACCCGGCAAGCAGAGCAGCGATACGTCGACCGGATGCAAAGAGACATGGAGAATACTGTCTGGGTCACCGGATGCACCAACTGGTACTTGAAAGATACCAAGGACGGCAAGAAGTGGAATGGAGTAACCTATCCTTATTCCCAGGCATACTTCTGGTACCGCTGCTTGTTCCCCAACTTCAGAGACCTTCAAATCAGCGTAAGTTGCAAGCTGTCATTTGGATGGGCCGCCGACGCTAATATTGAACAGGGGCCAACCCACCGAGGGCGAAGAAGGCGAACCTTCCCAAAAGTTGCCTTGGCAACCTTCGTGGGATACATCTTGTCCATTCTTTTTGGACTGAGTCGTAACCCGGTGGCTGGTACCCGCTACTGGCGGCGATTGAGGGTGGGACTGCAAATGCTGTGGAATGTTTTCATCGAGAAATTGACCAAGAGACTGAAGTAGTGTACAGTGTAATTGTCGGAGGATCGTCGCTGTACCTTTTGCGCCGGGATTCGTACCAAAGAAGCCCTTCCGATGCGTCTGGTATTGCAACAACCTCTTATAGGTGCAGCAGACTAGAGGTGAATTAATATCCTCAGAACTAATAGTCTATGTATTTGTGCGGACTACGATCATATCGCCCTGAATATCCAAGTTGATGACACACATTATTAATGCATTAAGGAAAAAAGGAGCTGTGATAGAATCCAATTAGCAATCAGAGGTGGTAAAGTCAAATATCTGTGATGGCTACAATTAACATACGATCTTTAATACCTTACCAAGTGCATCACAGATTCATCATGCATTCGGTGATTCTAAGCGAGGAGGATGTTGAATGGCAAAAACGAATTGCTTATGGTATCTTTTACTTTTTGTTATGAGTCTCCCACTCGATTAAACCAGGCATGGCCTTCGGTGACAGCAACAGAAAAACCCCCAAGACATTGCGTCTTATGTCTGCCTTACAACTTGGCAGCAGCCTTGGCAAGGTCGGCAAGGGCCTCGCGGCGCTTGAATTTAGCATCCTGGATGACACCAGCATCGGCATCGCTGGAGAAGTTGCCAGTCCACTCGACGAAAGTGCTGTTCTCAAGCTCGCCCGAGGTCACCGGGTAGCAGCGGATAGTGCTGACCACGCTGGTGTAGGACAGCTCAGGCTGGGAGGTGATCACACTGTAGGTGATGTAGTGGTTGATGGCCTGATCTGATGGTCAGCACATCTCATGGGTTCCGTCCAAAAGGTGATGTCGACAGTGTGAACTCACGCTGTGCTCCTCCTGCTTGACCTCGAGAACGGTACCATCCTTGAAGGTCCAGCGGACGATGTCGGTCTCCTCCTGAGCCTTGACAAACTCACTGCCCTTCAGAGCAGACCAGAAGCTCTGAAAGTTCTGGACTATTCGCTCACATACGGAATTAGCGGTTGCCCATGCCCCAATATTATCTTTCAACCATGTTACCCCGCCAAGGTACATGTGCGATGGCTGCACTTACGCTTGATGAAGTGCCAGACATGGCTGAGAGGGGCCTTGATGACGGCGCTCTCGACGACAGAGGTGGAGGTGGGAATGGTGGAGGAAGACATGGTGATGATTTACTGGTGTGTGAATCTTGATTCGAGTGAGGGCAGGCTTCAGTGATGATGCACGGGTACCACCGAAATACAGAGAAATTCTTTTTCTTCATTTGATGACGTAATACTGTGGAAATGGAAATAAGATCCGCCGATGCAAATTTTGACTGGCCGAGTGCCATCCGTTTGCCCTATTGTCTCTGCTCATCTTGTTCGATGCAAGCGTTATACTTAGGTGAGAGGTGACTGAGGGGTAGCTGGAGCCGCACGATCCCATAGTCAGGTGTACTTTCGCTGTATGCGTCAGCGGCACACGCCTTTATATTCTTGGCAATGCAGTCGCAGCAACAATCATTACGCAGCCACAGAACTCTTGACTTTCGGCCGGGATTCCGGATTTTGTGAAAATTTGTCGGGCCCATCGGTGTTGCGAAAAAGGACCCACGCCGATACCGATCCACCCGTCTGAATAACACCTTTGACCATGTTGTCACCGGTTGCCACCGGTTGCCAGTCTGCATGACGGACGGAAGTCGGATCTCTTCTTGGAAGCAAACGCACTCACTCGATGCAGGGATGGTCTGAGCCTCCCCCGCACGTAATATTTTTGCCTTTCGGGGAAATAGTATTATCCCCGCACTACGGTAGGTGATTTCGGGAAGCCGGCTCTATCCCGCTGGAAAATGCAGGCAGTGGTCAGATGCATTAAAACATTGCCTCGCCGTAGAAAACAGTTGGTTTGGATCGTGATCCTTACCTTACAGCATGTCCGAAGAGTGTGACGTTCTTATTTGCGGCAGCGGCTCGGCCGGTCTCTGTGCAGCCGTCTGGTTAGCCCGAGCTGGCATCGACTTTAAAATTCTCGAGAGACGCGAAGGCATGCTCAAACAAGGCCAGGCTGACGGAGTTCAAGTCCGAACAGTCGAGATTCTGGAGCATCTCGGCTTGTCTGAAGATGTGCTAAAGGAAGCCTGCCACGTTCTCGAACTTGCCTTTTGGTCACCAGACGGAAATGGCGGAATCAAGAGGTCGCATCTCGAGCCGGACACTGAGCCCGGACTCAGCCATCTCCCCCACGTCATTCTGAACCAGGCACGAATCAACGAGTTTCTGATTCAGGACATCGTCAAGTCATCGGGAGAATCGCACATCCGATACAACAATGACATTTATGAAGTTGTCGTCGACAGTGAAGCAGCACATGACCCTAACGCGCATTGCGTAACTGTGAAATCAATGGAGAATGGAGTCGAGCGCACCTATCGTGCAAAATATGCTTTGGTTGGTCTTCTTTCCCCCTACTACTCCGTGCAGGATAACTGAAACAGAGGCAAAGGGTTGTGATGGAGCTCATAGCGCTGTCAGGAAGTCTTTGGGATTCAAGATGATAGGGGACAGCACCGATGTGGTCTGGGCCGTGATGGACGTATATCCAAGGACTGACTTTCCCGATATCCGGAAAAAATGCGTCCTTCAGTCTGATGCTGGCAACCTTGTCATCATCCCACGAGAGGGCGACGAGAAAGTCCGGTTCTACATGGAGATGCCCGTTACTACCCCGGCCGAGGTTACACCAGAAAAGGTCAAAGAACGGCTCGATTGCATCTTTAAACCTTACCAGGTCGAAATCGCAGAGACTTCGTGGTTTTCATCATACTCGATAGGCCAGCGTCTTGCCGACCACTTCACAAAAGATCACCGGGTCTTTCTTACTGGAGATGCGTGCCACACGCACTCCCCCAAAGCTGGCCAGGGCATGAATGTCAGTCTTCAAGATGGCTACAACATTGGGTGGAAGCTAGCTGCGGTGCTTCGAGGCCAAGCCCATCCGTCCATTCTGGAGACCTATGTCTCTGAGAGACATCAAACTGCCAAGGATCTGATCGACTTTGACCGGCAATTCGCCAAGATGTTCTCATCTTCCTACAGGAAGGCGCACGGCTATTCTACCAAGGACTTTCAGGAATACTTCATCAAGTCTGGCAGATACACTGCTGGGCTTGCGGTACAGTATAAGCCTTCTACACTGGTGAAACCCGGTGAGCATGATGGCTTGGCCCGTGGTATATCAGCTGGCATGAGGTTTCCGGGCGCTCAGGTCGTTCGCTTCTCGGATGCTAGAGCCATGCCACTTTCGCAAGCTCTAAAGGCGGACTCTAGGTGGTCTCTAGCTGTCTTTCCGGGTGATATTACCCAGAACCACACGGAACAACGTCTGACCAAGGTACGTGAACATCTGTTATTCGAGCCTCATACGCAGACCGGACGGGACCAAGATTACTGACTCATACGGAAGCTTGCGGACAATCTCGAACATGTTCTCAGGCAGTTTACTGAACCTCAAAAGGAAATAAACAGTTTCTTGAACCCAATACTGGTACTGAAGTCCGACCGTAAGAGTCTAGACGATAAGAAGATTCCCAGACTCTTTACGCCTTACGCAGGGAAATGGAGGGTTAAATGTAAAACCCCTCCCCCCACACATGGAATCAAGTACTTCAAGTTCAAAACGCTTACTATTACTTGGAAATAGGTCTTCAGAACATTTTTGTGGATGATGAAAGCTATCATACAGGCCACGGACAGGCATATGCCAGATACGGCGTGGATCCCGAAGTTGGTGTCATGGTTCTTATTCGACCAGATCAATGTAAGTCTAATGTGCCCCGAACATGTTGCTCTGGGCAGCTACTGAAATTCCTAGATGTATCTGAAATCTGTGCATTGGAAAACACGGAAGCCATCACGACTTTTTTCGAATCCTTCCTCGTGAGCAAGACCAATGGTTTCCACTAGACTCGGAACTAGCCACAATGTAAAAAACGTCTTATTGATGCAAAACTTGTTAGCCAAGACCCGATGACTGATTTGCTATGGAGCCTGGACTATCAAATTGACTGCCTTGGACTATTCAAGCTCCAAAAGTTTGAGCTGCTTCTTGTGAAAGCCTATTTATTACTAGAAGACTCTTACTATAAACCTTTAAAGCCATCAGGTTGCCAGTATTGGTACGCGGCATGACCAGTTGAGTCAGCTCAGGCCTTCGACTCGACTTTCTCAGCCACCTCTGGTGGCGTCCTCATGCTAGGTGATTGGCCGTCGCTTACTGGCTTCTGCCTTCCTCCTATACCGAATAAATCCTTGGATATCATATGTGTCGTACGCACGATGGTGCTTCGAGACTCGAAGATCGGCAAGAAAACGACCATGATCACGGATGCAAACAGCCATGTGATGCCCACCACGACCCAACCGGTGAGGAACTGTACATGGTCAGAAAATAGTGTATCAGCCGTGAGCCTTCTCTGGATTAGGTCATAACTTACAGATTTCCCAAAAACATAGCCACTGCCGTACAATGGCATTGGCCAAAGAATCAGCAGGATAAGAGCAACGCCAACAGTTGTTGTGGTCGTGATTGCCCTCGTGGTCGCCGGCTTCGATGGAGGCAGCAGCAAGGTTCCACAAAGCATCAGTGAAATCCTTGTAATTCTTGTCTGTGTCTGCACCAGCGGAGTAGGTACAACGAGCGTTGTCCGCACCATGGGCCTCTGGGCCGGGGCCTGTCCATCCGGGATCTCCCCAGTCAACGCCGTCGGCAATGCGGTCCATGTCGTACACCTCAAAATTGAGCCCTGGGCGAATTGGCGCCGGATTGTCTGTGATCTTCGGCTTGATGTAGACGCCAGCTAGCGCAAAGGTCGAGCGCCAGGCGGCATCCATAAGATCGTTTCCATACAATCCGCGATAGAAACGCTCTAATTCGCGCAATGCAGCCACGGTAAAAGATGCGCCGCCAACGGCGGGGAGGGGATTGTCGTCGTCTTTGACCGCCAAAATCTTGTTGTAACCCCCAGCGGATCCGAATCGCACAACGGATGGCATAATACGGTTACAGCGAGCATCAGGCATCCAACGGTAGCGCCAGGTGTAATTAGCGGCGCCACGGAACACAAGGAGAGATAAGAGCGCCGACTTGGCATTGTCGCTGAGCATTTGCGGAAGGTAAACAGGCAAATGGTCAGGATAAAGACGCGCATCGTCCGGGTAATCCGTGAGAGTTGTCTGGATGACATAGAGCTGACCAGAGACGGGCATGGCCTGAGCCG